TCCGTTGATACTGTCCTACTAAAGCATGCCTCGGACTCAGGCTCTTTCGTCACTCGCAGACTTCGCATATGGTACGTGACATGCATATATGCGCTCGATTGCTTATAACTGACATGCATAGGCCTTTGTAAGACATCCTCGCTCACTCAGCAAGCTAAACCTATTTGTATTGTACTTCTACCCTATGGTTTCACTCGCATACTAACGCCATTCTTAGTAGCTGTATATGGCCCACTCTCTCGTGCTCCGGGACCCACACAAAGCCCTCGCAGTAAGCATAGCAGTCTGCAGGTAGTTTCGTACATGAGAACTTATGCACACGACTCATTCAGGGTTCGCTTTATGCACGCTGTGCGCCAACTGTGTAGCCGTTGCGCCGGGAGCCGCTTATTGGCTGATATCATGTTTGCATGCGACGCGACTCGGAGGGCATTCTCGTCTCGATACTGCCATTTTATGCAATACATATACTTTGTATTCTATAAACCTCCATGAATATATTTCTCGCCGCTCCTAATTTCGATGTGCAAATCAGTCCCGAATATTTTTGAATATCCAACGAATTGTTGCGAGCGCTCAGGCAAGCGCCGCCAGCCTGGCGCTCCCTGGTAATGCATTACCAACCTTACCCGAATGGTAAAGGTCCTCAGACTGGTAAGCTTTAGTTATCATACAGGTGAGATATCTACCTTGGCAAGCCTATTCTCATAATGATTACCTTTATAAGTGAGATTAGCTTTGCCAGGGCTGTTCAGGCTAGGTAAGTTGCCGATTTTTTTGCTGATGTTTCAGTCTCATACATCACTGCGCTTCAAAAGAAAAGGTCGTGCGAACTACCTTCCGAACTTGTACTTGCCCAATTTGGCGTAAAGCGCTAGCATAAGCGCTGTCACGTGACTTTCCGAACCGCGAAAATTCACGGGGTCCAAAGGCAAAAATGATCAGAAAGGCCAAAAACATCATTTGAGAGGTAGAGGGAAAATAGTCAACGTTTTGGATACTGCGCCTGCTAGAGTCGCTTTTTCAACAAAATAACTTGAACATTCTCTCTCTTATGTCTGTACAAACAAAAATTTCAGGCCAAAGAGTTCATTTTCTGTTTGTGCGTAGTGCAGTTCCGACGGCGAGGTTGGAGCAACTTAGGGTTAGCCAAGCGTGCGCTAGAGGTCTTTTTTTATTTTTAATCCACATTCTTTTAGTGCTTACGACCTGGTACATGAGCACCTAATAAATACATACCAACCTACCGAACAAGACGAGCGAGGGGAAAGAAAGAAAAAAAATGAAGAAGAGGGATAGAGAAGATAAAATATCCTAACGTGCGAGATAGCAGGCATCCCAATTGGGTCACCCCTCCGGCGCGCCCGACGTGACGTACCGCTGACGTCCCCTCGCCTTGGCCGCAGGGAGCCCGAATTCTTCCTGCAGCGCAACGAGAATCGTCTCGTCAATTTCAAACAATTCGGCCACCACCTCCGCCGCCTCGATGGGATACGATTCGGTTAACGAGGCGAGATCTACATCCGGGTGCGTGTCAACCCACATCTCGTACGCTTTCTTACGCTGCACTGTGTGTAGGTCAGCTTTGAAGAGCGCCCGCGCGCTAGAGGTCGTCGAGTTGATGTGAATTCTATCTTAGCGTCCTTGTGCAGTCGACTTCATGCCCACCATGCGCCTTGTTTTACATCGTCAAGATGACGGTAAACAGTCTTACCAACGACCGTTCCCTGTCTTGCCTCAAGAATCAAGATACCATACGGAAGAAAAGGAAAGGAAAAGGAAAAGCACAAAAAATGTATCCCCTGAACCTGGCTCGAACAGGTGACATTGAGATGTTCATGAAATGTTCATTGCATCCAATTACAGTCTCACGCTCTTCCAACTGAGCTATCAGGGGTTTACAGAGTTATGATATTAAACATAAATAATTTACCGTCTTCACTTTGCGCCTGACGATTAGCATCCTCAGCTGCTCGATCAAGCTCAGCTAAGAGTCCGAAGTCAACATCGCGCAAGTACGCTCCTAACGTTCTTGATTGCATTTGTTTGTATAAGTACAGGGTGGTACAACCGGTAAATATCTTGTTAGGAAAGATACAGGAGTATAACTCTAATGTAATGACGTGTAGTGGTTGCGACAATGGCGAAGAGGATCAGGCAAGGATGATGACATACAGTTTAATAGCCTCCAGAGGCAGTAGGACAAGAAATAAAGAGTGTTATCCAGATGGTGGTGCCTCCAAGACGACGACTGAACGTAGCTCAGGTAAAGGTGCGACTCATGCCACGCCAGCGGCTTGATAAGTGTTGAAGCTATGATGAATGCCTGGTATGCCCTGTTGGTATGAATTGTCGCCCGACTGAGACGGGCCCCACTGATTCTGGAAACTATTGTAGATGTGAATGACGGCGAGAACTTAGCAGAAGTACGCTACATACCCAGCGGTCATCATATCCGACCAGTAGGCGGGCGACTTCAAAATTCTCAGTGCGCCGAGCATGTCGTCTTCCGTGCCCATGCTCGTATCGAAGTCCAGGATCTGACCTGCATCCGCGGTATATGCAACCTCGGGCTCATACACGGGCTCGTTGAGGATACTGTCCGGTGGCGAACGGGAGTGACCCATGCCATGACTATCTGTTGGTCCTTGAGGAGCAACTGAGAACACCTGCTGAGACGATCCGCCTTGCATCGGTTGTTGCACGTTAGCGGGATCGGTGTGGAACTGACGTTCTTGTGGTGGCGGTGGTGGCTGGGTATGTAAGCGGCCCGTCGTCGCAACATCGCGCTTGTACCCGGATAGAAGCCCGGTGAGAAACCGGGCATGCAGCCGCGGCGTATGCCTCTCATCTATAGCAATCTCCGGAGATTGAAGGGTCTGAATGAGGCGATGAATCAGTGTGAAGATCTCATCTTCCTGCTGTTTCGTGATCAAATTTAAGTTCATGAGCTCGGGCTTGAGAAGCTACAGATTGATCTTCGTGAGCGAATGTTCATTATAAAAAGGTAGTGCCCTTGTACCTTGAGCAGGAATGCCGACGCGAAGGTCCCGAAGACGAAATGACTGTCAGGGGCAAAGCGCATGAATCCGGAGGGTGCAACGCCCTCAACCATGGATTTGATGACAGCTTTCGCGGCTTCGAAGCACTGCGTCGTATCGTTAGCAGGTGGCATGAAGTGACATTGTAGGACTACAAACCTTGTCCACAAACAATTGATCACTAGGTTGCATATTACGCCGGAAGGCCTGCTGGCAGCCGAAGGACCACATCACCAACCGAGAGTAGTTGGTGAAGCTACGCGACGTCGGTCATGAGATGTAGTGAAATGGTGAGCAGAAGTGGGCTTACAATGGCAAGAGGCTGGCACGAAAGGCGCAAGCAGGATCTGGTCACGCTATTATTAAAACAGTCTTTGTAGCATAGACCGGACGTACCAGTCATATCAGATTCGGTAGCAAATCGCCGAGTCCAGTCATCGAAGTATCGTGTGAGGTCATCGTCATATTTCGTGGTGATCGCGACGAAGTCCAGCCCCTGCAGCTGGAGTCTCAGTAGAATTACCAGGGAGGACGACTTCATGACTGACTTCATTCAGCCCCGTAGGAGAGTCAGGGTCGCTGAACACTTTTTCGTGGAACTGCGCCACGATGCGCAACATGGAAGTGTAAGCGCATAGGCCGATATCGTACTGCTTATGTGATGAGTTAGAAAGGAATACTCAGAGATAAAGCTGAAATACCGGGTGATTGTACGGTGACATCTTGTACCAGTCGTCCGAACGGCGCACGATGCTACAGGCAGTCAGGACACGTGACAACGTTGATGAACGCAGATGGAACCTACAAGTCCTCCTTGATCGTCGAATGCTTCCCGAACTGTGTCGCGGTCGAGCGGTCGAGATTGTAGCAGTTCATCCAGACCCGAACGCGGTTGATGACCTCGCGCTCTTGCATTTCCGTAGTCGGCGTTGACGAAGGAAGAACATGCAGGTTCAAATCTGTCGCAATCCTGATAGCAAGACCAGTGTACAACCAACCCCGGTCTTCCTCCCACCGGCGCGCTGGCACACTGTAGACGCTGAGGATGATGTATGCCTGCGCAAGCTCGACGGACTTCCAGCCGGTGATCAGCGCGTTGGCGGCTGCGTGCTTCGCGAAGTGCATTGCGATCGGATAGATCTCCGATTTCTCCTTGTAGTAGCGCGATGCAACAGCACATACTGGACCGGAATCAGGAAGAGAGCAGAGTGAGCGGTGAAAAAGATACTTGCCTACGGTGAACAGGAATGGGCAACGTTGAAAGGTCGTCGCCGGTGTATGGAGCACAGGGTCCAGGACGGAGACGTGGCACTAGACAGAGGTCAGAAGCTGCGGAAAACCTCGATTGTAAATCTTACATTCAGACGGGCGAAGAAGCTGCGAGTTATGATGAGTATATGTGCATACAGACACTTCAAACGGAGCGCGCGCTTACATTTCGAACAGATTATCCACGTCCTCAGGGGTCACCAAGCCGTGCACCAAAATCTCGGGAGGACTATCCTTCTGAATAATCTTGGCCCTGATGTTCAGATCATTGGCCGGACCTGAAACTACATTTAGCTTCTATTTAGAAAAGTCACGCGACGACACTCACCAGGCATGAAATAGGTGTCGTTCGCCACGCCCTGAGAAGATGTCCGATGAATGAACCATTCTTATCAGTCGGACTCTCAAATGTCGACACTCACGACATTGTCGTCGTCCGTCTCCTCCTCGTCCTTGACAGGCTTTCTGCCCTTGCTGCCGCGCGGTTTGTTGCTGAGTGCGAGTTCCGCAATGAGTCCGAGCGGGACCTCCGAGCTCGGCAGGCTCTGATTCTTCTCATCCTCCTCGACCTTGACCGTGCCGGTCGTGCTACCGCGCTCGGTAGGCTCAACCTGCTCCTCGGTCTCCGAGTCGAGCTCGTCCTCTGTTGTGCTTTCCTGTTCGCTACGCGAGCTCAGCCCGAAAGCGCCCGGGCCTCCAGAACCCCCGGCAGTCCGGACGCTATGCTCAAGCCGTTCGAGCCAGGCGAGTACGTTCTTGTTGTTCTGATCTGATGGTGACGTTGCCATGCGATACGACTCAATGCTTAACGGTGTCGCTAGGTAGGGATTGTGCAGCTGCCGACGACAGATGGCATGGTGCGTGTCCAAGTCAGTAGGTGCATAACGATAAGCTGCTGCGCACCCACCTGCTTCAGCAGCGACTCGATGATCGCATCCTTCTGACGTATCTGCGCGAGCAGATACTCGCGTTTGCTGGAATCAGAAAGTTGTATAGTAAGTTCATCGTTCGTCTCGTCAGTTTCAGAGCTCATATCGAGTACGAAACCACAGACGGAACAGGCAGAGGGAACAGCGGCTCTCGTCTGCTCCGGCTGCCCGTCTTAATAGGCTCGCACTGCATCACGGAGAAACGCTCACAGGCGCTGGAATGGACGGCAAAAAACTTACTTGGGCTGGTTTCGCGGCTTTCGCCCCTCGACGACACAGATATGCCCGCTCGTCTTGCACCGGACGCATGTCTTGGAGTCGCCGTCAGGGAAAAAGCATCTCATCTGCGCAAGGGGGCGGCGTTAAATTAAGGCAGATACCAAGGGTTCTGCCAGGGAGCACGGGATAGAATTGCACGCGAACGAACGTACCTTAAGTTTTTTGCAATGTGTGCATGCGCCAGGACTATGGACGCCCGCGCAGACACGGTCATGTTTCGCCACAGAAGAGACCACGAGAAACAGGGTCCGGAGAGAACAGATCGCCGGAGCGTAAACAGCACATGAGTGGACAATCGCGCGGGCAGGCAGTCCGTTGTTCCGCCAAGGAGTAATGTATCGGTCGGAGGGTAACCATTCGGGGGTGCCAAGGGTACCACACGTCAGTTCCAACGTCGACAGGCAAGTGCGGGTGAGTAGCATGGAAATCTCAATTAGCGGCAAGCCGAATAGAAGATAAAGGAGACGCACAGTCTACCGGCATTCCCATCAGGACCCTTGAGGGGAGGAATAGTGCCTGCTACATCGTCATCATCCTCGCTACCACTCTCATCGTCACCGGGAGGGTTCCTCCTAGCACGCTTATTCCCTGGTCGCTTCGTCCGAACCGGTGCCAGGTTTGGCTGCGATTCCGGCCGGGGAGCAATCGGTGCAGGCTGTCTCTGCCGTTTAGGTGCCGTAGTGTTTGGCGAAGTCGCTTGTGGTTGTGGGCGGTCGTCCCCAGTGTCCGGGGAGGGAAGACCTGAGTGTTGAGACGACGGTGTGTAATTAGCACTGCCAGTACCGGTTACTGGTTCCACTGCAGGTGCCGCGTACTCGAACGTGAAATCTGAAACAGCCAGTGGCTGGTGCGGAAAATGCAGGTGCATGTTGGTCATTCCGGCGTCGTGCACGGGAGCGAAATGCTGAGGATAGGCGGCAGGTACAGACTCTGTCTGCCCTTGCATGAATGATGGCGCCGCGGGTGGCATATACCCAGGTTGGTGAGCACTGCTGGTGCGCTGAACCTGACGAGATTCCCGGGGACTTCGCTGGGTAGGGTCAACAAAGCTAGTTTGAGCATAACCTCGCGTATATGCGTCTCTCTGCGGCTGGTGTGCAGGAGTCATATAATGTGCGAACTGATACTGGTTCGGTAGAGGTTGTTGCATAAGGCCAGGGTTCGTCATGGATGCTGGCGCTGGAGGAGGCGGCGCATGAGGCTCCGTGTAGGGAATCTGGAGCATACCCTGCGGCTGCTGGTTTCCTAGGTGGTACGCATAGTGTATCTGGGTGTTGTAGTTCTCTACATATTGCTGATAGTCACCAGCGTCCTGATGAGCCGCCTGCTCGGGGTCGTAGAAGTATGGAGTTAACATCGAGGACGGGGTTGACGAGGACGGCTGCTCAGAAAGAGGGACGTGTGAGCCTGCTGGGCTCTGGTGGTGTGGTGGTGACTGCCGCAGGGTGGAAGATGGAGCACGCAGGCTCCACTGTTGGGTGGCTTGATATTGACCAGCAGCTGCGGGATGTTCCATGCATGGCGGAGGGGTTGACAAGAGATCAATCATTACGGAGGAAACAATGAGGTGAAAATAGCGATATCTATACCTCCTGAATATACTTGCTGGTCTGAAGGACTTGGTCTGCTCTGCACAGGTTGACGTGTTGCTGTGTCTGCAATAAAAGGGTCAAGGCTGTGAGCTTGGGCTAACTAGTAAAGAAGATAAACAGTACCAGCGCTGTTCGAAGGTACGGACATAGGATCAATCAGAGAACACAAAGTAACACCGCCCCTGGGGTCTTTAGCAGGTGAAGCGTGAGATAACCGGCTAGGTTCTGGCTGTACGTCGAGGGCGTTCAAGAGGGCTATTGGCCCAGGCGAAAAAAAATAGGAGGTTCAGCTCGTGCAGCCGGACAGTCTCTGCCGCTCTCTCTGCCGCGGCAAAATGTGACCAAATAGCCGAAACGTGGGGGAGCGAGACAAGCTGGTCGCGAGTCGACCAGCTCGGACGTTTCCTGGGCGCGATCTATACCACGCCCTTTGGCGCCCGCTTGTTAAACGCTCGCATCCCGCGTGGCTGTTGCCGAGTGCCGCACAGCTGCGGATGACCCCAGAATAACCTGCACTTCTCGTGATGGCAGACCTCGCATACCCGCCAACGCTCTACAGCAACGATCCTCCGAGTCGAACCGCCTTTCTTCAGGCCATGCAGAGTCAGCGGGTGCTTTGTGGCTCATACGAATTGAATTCCACCCGAAACGCCAGCGGATACCTCTCCTGCACTAGTCCTTTCATACACGATCGGACCATCAATCATGCGTTCCGATACAAGTCGGCACCCTCTTCGTGACATGAGCGTTGTAAGATTACAGTATTTCTATCGTAGCATTACATAGTCCACTATGCCGTGTAGAATGCGCTGTCCGAGATTGTGAGTAGCGAAGGGAGATGCAAGATGCTAACTTAATTGCACAGCATCACGGAATTTTCGGATCCCTTGCCTCCTCATCGCCATATTTCGACACTGCGAGGAAACCCGGAACCCGTCTAATTACCGCCTTTAAAAGAACTGTTCGGTATCATTTATGACGCAAATAGAGTGTGGGTGGTAGAGGTCTGCAATAATAATGATCCGAGCCGATATCCCTTATTTTCTGGGAAGAATCCGAGCAACTTGCACCAACGATAGGGTGTATCATCTAGGACCTTGGCCTTCGAGTTTGACAAGACAAGGCCTAGGTCGCGGCTCCACCTGGTCAAAGTACTCTGCGCGGTTTGCGGGGTCTTCCCCGCGTGTGATCGGGTGCCTGTGTGGACTTGTCCCGTTGACGCGTCGCCGACACTGAGATATGCTGAGATTTGTATCTCCCCACGTGCGGTGTCTGAAGAGTGTGGTCGTGGTGCAAGTATACCGAAGCGATGAAGCGTCGCCGGCCCTCTAATGTTAAGCGGAAGCGAGTACCAAGGGTCCTATTCAAGTGAGCAATGGAACGCTGACGACCGTACCCTGCTCGTTCGAAAAGACTGAGACCTAGTAGGTCCCAGCTGACACGCTAGTATAACAGGCGATTCGCACGTCTGAGTCGAGCGTGAGCCCCCGTGAACTGCCGTCGGCCCGCACACCCTACGTGCATCAATATTGTTCTATTAGGCGGAGCATTTATGCAGCAGACAGACGATAAGCAACGGTGATAGCCCAAGCAGCCACTGCATTACTTCATATTCTTCTAGGTCCAAGCAAATACTTTCATTGCGTCTTCTTCTCGACCAAGGGGCTGCTCGCCAAGTTTGAGAACAGCTGCGCGACGCGATCAGTGACGCGCCGCACCCCAACGCCGATGCCGAGCAGCAGCGCAAGGTCAACAGCGATGAGCGTCACCGCGGCGTTCATAAATCGTGGCGCAAAAATCTTCCATACCATCAGGTGGCGCCGCAGCCACGCCGATGCTGCAGCACTGCCGAGCAGGAGGATGCCGTGATAAAGCATTACACCGAGCGCCGCGCGCGTGGCCTCTCGACGCGCAACGTGTGTCTGCATAGGGTGCGGTAGCGGCGCGACGTTCCAGAGGGCGAGCAGTGGCGCAGCGAGAGCGATGATGAATTGCGCGCCCAGCATGTTGACGGTGACAGACACGGGCGAGAGTGGATACGCAAGAGTTGGGGTCAGCACGAACGCGCTCTTCCACTGGATCGAGGAGATTGTCGACTGGTGCCCGGTCGCGTAAAAGGTATGTAACGCGAGCAGAGCAAGAGGAACAATTTCGCCGAAGTGTACGCTCGTGCTTGCGCTCAGGAGCGACTCGATATTCAATGCGGCCGACGGCGTCGCGGAGGAAAAGGCGGCATCAAGGCTGCGGACGTCGCGCACGCTGTCTGTAACTTCAAGGTAAGACAATATAGCGATGGCGACGAGACCCATAACAATCTGCGCGGTGAGCTGGCTGACGGTGTAGAAAATGCCGAAGGGAATGCACCAGAACATGAGGTAGGGAGCGCCGTACGCATTGGCGAAGCCAATAACCGTGACTTCGGGTTTTGCTTTCGGATCGGTTTGCTGGGCGGTCGACACGCGAAGGCACAGCGGGATCACCCACCAAAGCGAGCAGCCGACAACAAGAGCTTCGAGTACGGCGCCCCAGCCGAGCGCAGTGCGCCCGACGCGTAGCGCCGACGACCACGAGGGATCAATCCCCTCCGTAGTCTCAAGCCACTCCGATATCCATGCGAGGCATCCTTGGAGGAGGACGGTGGGCATGATCCACGGCAGAAGTAATCCGGCAAGACCCTTATCCGACTGCGAGATCTGGAGGAAGCGCCGCATGGCGAAAGGCAGAGCCAATGCCATCGGAATCGCCGTGATAAGCACCGGAAGCGGCGGCGCGGTCAACGACGCCATAGCGAAGAAAGTTACGTGACAGTGCGGCTGTTGTTCCTCTCTACAGATTGTGCTCACCGCCATGAAGCGGACGCAGAGGGCGAAAAGCGCAGAAAACCCGAGGATCCGGTATCGCAGGCGAGCTGTTGGGGCGCTGAAGCCCGTCAGAATATTTGGTACCATCGAAGTGAGCAGAAGGAAGGTAATGATGCGATCTTCCCAGACAGTGAATGAGTTGGATCCGAAAGCTGCGGCGTGGAGCACCAGGAGGATTGGTAGCGACTTCACGTGAATGTCGGAAGGCTTGAGACGACACACGAAGATACACGCCAATGTAGACGCTAGGGCCGCGCCAAAGAGGAGGACATGTGCGATCTCTAGACCTTTGACAAGACCGCGGAAGGGAATGAAAGCAGCGCCGATAATAAGGCCCACACCAGCGCTGTAGGCGTTAGACTTGATAACAGCCTTTTCCCATGTCTCCCATTGCTCCTTCTCGGTGCTAAGTTTAACCCATATCTCCCAAGTAGCCGCCATGCCAAGAGCGAGCAGCGCCAGGCCCATGCCAATTAACGTTATGTTGAATTGGGCCCATAGCTCGCGACATACAGAGAGCGCATAGCGCATGTAGTCGTTGAGCGACGTCCAGAAGAACCCAGGAGGGCGCTCAACGGCAGTGTCTGCCAGTTTTCGAAGCTTTGCCCAAGAGTTATCGAGTTCGCTGCCATGTGGGCTGGCCCGGTAGCTGCGCAGATATCTCTCTACTTGAGCAAAGTTCATCTCGAGGGCGCCGTTGAAATGCCGGCCTTCACGGTCGTCCCAGAACAGCTCGGGGATCAAGCTTCCGAGATTGTTGTACGGAATGGGGAGACCAAGCAATAGGGATAATGTCGGCACCAGGTCAATTTGTTGGATGGATCGATGAGCGACAGTCGCCCCTGGGAAGACGGACCGCGGAAGAAGTGTTTCCGGGACCTGGGCTTCAGGGTGCATCATTGGACGGCCCTTGCTGTAGAGCCAAATGGCGGCGGTTACTTCGAGCTCAGTGTCGCCACCATGGTCTCCTTTCCGGTCCATACCGTGGTCACCCATGAGGACCAAGAGCGTGTCATCGTCCAGCAAATCTACAACATCCCGTAGGATGTGGTCCATCTGCTCGAGCTTCGTCTTCATGACAGGGTGATCGGGACCAACTCTATGACCGACGTGGTCCACACCAAGGAAATGGCCAATGATGAAATCCCATGAGTTCGAGTGGTCCTTCAGCAGAGGAAAGAGGTGTTCGATAACGCCTTCATCGACGGTGTGCAGATCTTCAACGTTGAATGAATCGTACGGAAAGGTCATGTTTGGTTCGAAGGAGGTGGGAAACACTGTCGTCCAGGTGTCATCTCCCATAAACGCGATCTACGTCTGAACGGTTGTAAACGCGCGCAGGCATTGTGATAGAATTAGTCCCCACCTTCTTGCCCGCAGCACGAAGCTGCCCAACCACAGAATCCTCCAGAATCGAGTAGCCCCCGAAGTTAGAGCCCATATCCACGAAAGTTGGTAGGGAACCTGCGGTGATGCCTTTGATTCGCTGGAGGGTCGTAGTCGGCGGATCCACGAAGGACGTAAATAAGAACGACCTGTCGGGCTGTTGAGCGCTCAGCTCTGCGGGTAAGCGCAACACATTGTGGTGGTAAGGCGAAGGCGGGGAAGGCGGGTCGGGGGAAAGGAAGTCAAAGCGTAGGGCGTCGATGACGAGTAGCACGACACGTTTGTGAGATGGAGGCAGAGTGCATTTTGTGTCACCTTCCGTGCAAGTCGAAATGTCAGAAAGCGACAATCGGGTCAGCAGAAAGCCTTTTGTGTAAAGATAAATGCCAGTAAAGTGGATAAGGGTCACCCAGAGCAGCAGAAGTAGTCCCCTTGACTGCATCCTTCCTGATTGCGTTCTCGAGGTATTCTGTGTCCAAGCTCCTTCAGTATACAAGATCAACTAGTTCTCAAGCTTACTTTAGAGCATATAGTGCGTTATTGTGGAATGCAAAGAAGAACGAAGCCGGCTGAACGGCGGGAGAGCTGGAGGTTCGTCGCGGCGGCGCGAGGTGACGCGTGCGTGACGACAACGGATCACTTGCCACGTCACGATTGGTGACAACAGGGCAATTGCGCGCTTCGCCACATCTGCTTTCAACACCGACCGCGATGGACGCATTGCAAGCGAAAGTCCAGTCCATTTTCGAAGGGAAAATAGTGCGTGAAGTATCGCATGTGGCAAACTCGTTCCTGAACTCTGTAGGACTTTGAGGGTCAGAAGAAAGTCGAACAAATCTCTCGAGTGACTTTAGTGGCAGTAACAGTACGCTGCACGCGTTTCTTTTCGTCCTACCATGACATAGAAACCTTCTAGATTGTGTCTTTCATCGTTGGATTCGCTCTACAATCTCTGCGTGCAACGTTCGGTATCTTAATTGCCGCTAATATCGTTCTCTTTGCGGTGAGTGGCGTGCTTCTTCTCACGGGCATTTACTCAACGGATTTGGAACCGCTTAGGTTGTCGTTCCACCTTGGCCAATGTTCAACTGCCATCCAGTGAAATGGCTACCCGCAAAAGGTAATTCGAATGTCAGAAAGCTATCTTAATTGTATACACCTGTAAGCCTCGAATAATACACCTGGAATGTACGTGTATTGCAATATATGCAGCCAGGGGCTGGTGGATGTCTGCACGACCCAGATCGACGCGATAATTCTTGGGAAAGAGTCTATCACTGTTGCCAGACCTGGATGAAACGAGAGCTTGGGTGGGTTCTTCAGGCTGGCGACGAATCGGTGATAATACAAGTCCCTAGGAAGCCATACTCCGCTCTCTGAAAGGTATGTCAGGAATATTAATGCAATCGAACGACCCTGGTGTTTCTAGACAGGGCTACTTGCTCACTTGATGGCTTTAGCTCTCAAAGACAGTATCCTATTTCAGTTTCCGCTTTCATTTCGTTGACACGTCTTACCAGCAACATATTCGACCTGCCTGTGCCTGCTCTTCCTCGTCGGGCCACCAAATACAACTAATTGGGCGTGGTATCAGCTTCCGCATTACGACTTAGACCGCAAGATGGGTCGCGGAGGATATTATACGCTACCTTGTTCAATTCTGTCCTGGTTCCTCAGGTTCGTACGAAATCCTTCTGATTCTGTTCACACTGACCACTAGATATAACCCGATGATCGTTGACGGTAACTGAACGTCACGATCTCGCGTGAAGTAGCTCATCCAGACACGGTCGGTCTCAGGTGGTCGCGGCGAACGCTGTTCAACACTTGAATTACGCTTGAAATCAATGTCAGCGTGTCGACCTTTTCATATTCATGCTCTTGAGCCCAACTTACGCGTCTGAGGGGCCAGGCTAAGTGCTGAAGGACATTACTGTTTCTCATGCGACGTCTAAGTCATTGGCAGGGCGGCGATCAACGCGTGCTGGCACTGAATGCCTCGAAGACTCTTAAGTCGTCGTATCAAACCGTCTGGATCGAAGTGCTTCGCACCTAGCAACCCCGTGGGGTCGAGTAGCCCGGCTTCTGCTCTGATCTCAGTTGGTTAATTAATGAGTGTACTCTCAATCTCGATTCTGGACAAGTGCGCTTGGTATTCTGTTCATGCTCGTATATCGACGCTGAGTCCGCGAATAATATTTCCCGTTCGAACACTGCCACCGCCGGCGTTCCCAAGAGATCCCGACGCGGTTCACACAGCCAGAGTCTAATAATAATAATATATTTACCTCTACAATGGCATTCTGTTAGGCCTGTTGGGAGTTGTATGGCCATTTGTACGATCTGTAGTGTGCGGACCATAAGTTCAACAGCAAAGCTCTAAAGCGCGGTCGGACTGTGAGCCGTACGTGGTGACGCCGACGCCGGGAGGCACGATCACAACTTTTCCCTCCTACCCCCACATCGGCCGTCGCTACGACTCCCTCTCTGCGCTCTCAGCGGGTGTATGGCCGCAACTTATCCGACTTCCTTAGCAACTAATCCTCTCCAGACTGTCGCGGAAGTTGGTGCCATCACCCCTACGCACGGGGGAATGGTGAACGGCCACGAGTACGACCTGTCCATCTCCCAGAGGAGCACTGCCGGCGAACAGTCACAGACGACGGACCCGCCTCCGCCGAACGAGACAACCCCGACACCTCAGCCTGCCGCGCTTTCGCCCGCACCTCGCCGAACGACGTCAGTGAACCATAAGCCACGACCAGTATCCATGCCACCCCAGGCGTATACGCAGTCGGGCAGCGACCGAGAGCGCGATCGCTCCGAGGACGAGCGACGACATGCGGAGAGGGGAGAGAGGAGAGACAAAGAAAGTTCCTCGGGTAGCAGGACGCGGACGTCAAACAGGATCTTGGGAGACTACACCCTGAGCAAGACCCTCGGAGCAGGCAGTATGGGCAAGGTCAAACTCGCCCACCACAACATCACCGGAGAGAAGGTGCGTGACCTCTCGGCGTGTGTGGTGTCGGATTCCGTACTCACTGTGCGCACTTCACAGCTCGCCGTTAAGATCCTCCCACGCGTCACCCCACAGAGTGCCAGCGGTGTTGCGGCCTCCGCGAACCCTGAAGCGGCGGCGAAGCAAGCGTCCAAGGACGCTTCGAAAGAGATACGTACTCTCAGAGAGGCCGCGTTGTCGATGCTCCTCCACCACCCGTATATCTGCGGTATGCGCGAGATGATCGTCCACCAGCATCACTACTACATGGTCTTCGAGTATGTCAACGGTGGTCAGATGCTTGACTACATCATCAGCCATGGGCGACTACGAGAGCGCGTTGCGCGCAAGTTTGCGAGGCAGATAGGAAGCGCTTTGGACTATTGCCACAAGAACAACGTTGTTCATCGAGGTCAGCATTTTATCCTACTGCGTCGCCGCATGCTATAACACCCCGCAGACCTCAAGATCGAGAATATCCTCATCTCTCAGACAGGAAATATCAAGATCATTGACTTTGGTCTCTCAAATCTCTATGATCCTGCCCTACACCTCGCAACATTCTGTGGCTCGTTATACTTCGCAGCGCCCGAACTTTTGAATGCAAAAGTCTACACTGGACCCGAAGTCGATGTGTGGAGTTTCGGCGTAGTTCTGTATGTCCTTGTTTGCGGCAAAGTCCCTTTCGACGACCAAAGTATGCCCGCTCTTCATGCGAAGATCAAGCGCGGGCTGGTTGAGTACCCTGTTTGGCTTAGTGCTGGTAAGCTTCCAATATTCGTATGCTGAGCCTTACGCTTAATAGCTACAACAGAGTGCAAGCACTTGCTCACACGAATGCTCGTGACAAATCCGGCGCAGCGCGCTACTCTTACGGAGGTGATGTCCCATCCATGGATGGTTCGCGGATTCAGGGGCCCTCCAGATTCTCATATTGTCCATCGCGAGCCTCTGCGTGCAGATGAACTCGACAGGAATGTCATCCGGGGCATGAAGGGTTTTGAGTTTGGTACAGAAGAGGAGATTGAGCGGAAGCTCGTCGAGGTCCTAGAGTCTGACGCCTACTATCGGGCCGTGCAATACTGGGAGCGAAGGCGTATGTCCGGTACCAACGGTCGCAACGGGCATCCTGGATGGGGCGGTTCGCTGTCTAACTCATCCATCGCCTTGTCTTTCGATGGATCGATCGGTAACACCAAGAACGACGTCTCGACCTCGCCATCCAAGAAGTCGAAGCGCTTTTCGGGCTTCAACTTCTACACGAGAAAGCTATTTTCGCCGTCATCGTCACCACCAAATTCACCACTAAATTCGCCGCCCACTTCTCAATCTCACCTATCACATACGTCTCTTACTGATGCCCACCAACGTGAACCACCGGATCCTACCTATGGCTTCCATCAACTAATTTCTATCTATTTCCTGGCACGAGAGAAGATGGAGAGGGAACGTGTCTATGGTCCCGGTCATTTCGCCAGTTCTCAACTGTCTCTGGAATCCGGCGGCCGCGCCGAGCCGACTGTCGATGCCCCAGCTTCTCTTTCTCCTACGAAACAGCTTTCTACGCCGTCTGTTCGTAAGCCTGAGGCCGCTGTTGCTGGCAAGCCAGACTATAGCATGCCCTTGCCCCGACTGCCTGCTCCGGAGACCTCTCACTTCTCTGGGATGTCCTACGACCCCGCTGCTGCCGCTCCTTCACCGACAGCATCTAATTTCCCCCAGCCAAGAGCCCGAGATGCTGCACTTGGTATTCCGAAATCTGCCGGCGGAACTGCGCCAAGAAGTGTGCCTACTACCCCGGCGAAGCCCGCCCTTCCCCTACCTCGTACGCCGGAGATTTCTGCTCACCGGCGCAGCCACAGCGTCAGCTCACGGCCAAGTGTCACTCGTGGGTTCACGAACATTTTCGGGGGCGGTGCACCTACGACCGTCGACGAGCATGGTGCCCAGAGACGCGACATTTCTGAGCCTCCTAGAACAGCAGGTCCGGAGCTCACGTCGTTTGCAGAGCAGGTCGCGCAACGAATGAGCCAACAGGAGGAACAGAACGAAGATTCGCGTCTGCCGATGTCTGCGGGCGCAACCCTGGTCCGCAAGTTTGGCAGTTTGCTCGGTGGACGCGGTGATGGCTCAGTACGAAATGGCACTATTAAACGTGGAAGCATCCTCAATGGCTTCTCACCGAGGCCCTCTGCTGAGGTTGAGAAGCTTGCGGCCGTAGAGCAGGAGAAGCTGCCAACCGCCAACGAGAAGCAGGGGGCTGACGTCGAGGATAAGCCTCCTACCCCGCTGTCGCCGAGCCAGAGTCAACCTGTCGGCTCCAACCATCGCAGGGCTGCCACGATTCTCGATCCACAAGGGCGGGCGGCACGTCACGAGCGGCGGAGCAGCACTGGCGCATCATTGTTTCCCTCTGGCACCGTCGGACGACAACGCCGGCCGTCGACTGGCTTTGGTTCACCTGGGCGGCCATTGGGCGACAGGCTATTTGGCCGGACGGACGAAGAAGACGAGCATGCAGAACAGGACGAGAACGAGCCGCCGACACCCACTACGAACGGGGCGGAACTAGTACAGGAGCCTGCGGAGCACAGTGCAGACGAGAAAGAGTTCAAGCCTGTGTATTTGAAGGGCTTATTTAGGTGAGCGTTATGTGCCGTTCGGCTGCTTATCAACACTAAGAAAATTTCTTACAGTGTCGCCACGACTTCAACAAAGCCTCCATCAACGATCAAGCAGGACATCAAGCGGGTGCTCGATCGCATGCAGGTGCAATACCGTGAGACGAAGACCGGCTTTGAGTGCATCCATATGCCTTCGATCGATGTCGCCTCAGTCATAGATCCGGCACTGCCACAACAGCGCGGACACAGGAAACAGGGGTCTTCTGGATCAAACGAAGTGGACGGGGCGCGCAAGTCTATCGTGCGGAAGTCGTCGAAGCTGTCCTTTGGAAGGAAGAGCCGAACGGAGAGTATCCGGGACGGAAAGGAGAAAGACTTGCCTAGTCGACCGTCTGGCGCGAGCGGTACGGTACTCAGCATAACTCCAAGCTCTGCTTCCTCATCGTTCTTCCACGTGCAAGGCTACTCCGGTGGCGAGGCGAGTCGGCCGGACACAGCCTCGGTCGCGGAGGACGGCGCGAGCGTGAGTGGCCAGATCAGGTCGCACTCGCCTGCGTCATCCAAGATCCTTCCACCTATACCCCGCGACTTCGCGCCTGCGCCTCAGCAAGGCATGACGCAACCCGCGCCGCTTCCTACGGGCCCAGTCGATCAGGACGTCTTCGATTTACTTGGAGCGAGCTCTCTCGCTGTCCGGTTTGAGATCAACATTGTCAAGGTGGGGCGCTATTAAAGCGTAAAGCCTTCATCTGCTACGTGGCGGCTAATGTGAGTTGAACAGGTGCCCTGGCTGCCGCTACATGGAATCCAGTTCCGGAGACTAAGCGGTGACGGCTGGCAATACCACATGCTCGCGCGGAGAGTGCTAACGGAATTGAAGCTCTAAGGAAGGCCCGAAGACTCATCGTTCTTTTCATCCTTCGTATGGTAACTTAAGATCAGTTTTGTAGCGCTGTCGTCAGCACTTATTTCTTCTTTTTCCTTTGGTCGCTTACATCGTTACCCTGGGTATCTCCACATGCTCTGCGTTATGTCATTTTGCTTTTTGGAGCTCGGCGTTGCTGACGACTGTCTGAATGAGTAGAATCGGTCTTCGGCGAAGATCAAAGGGCGGGGAAGTGAGTTTGCGGGTGGAGATGTGCCTCATCTTCCCACTGTATGTTATCGCCGACGGGGAGCATAGTCCAAAAGTGTGTCTCATATGCTGTGCCGAGGCCCGACGGTGTATTCTTCTTTATCGCCTCCCGATATCTGTGATGCTCGACAGGCACTGGTACTACGCCTCGGCAATGATATCAAAGTCCTTAGGAACGCTTATACAACTGGGGCCCATGATATTGATATGTACACAACTATGATCCACTTCTAGTGTCCTGTGAAACTTCTGATCTTCTGGAGCACGACACCCGCCACGGCCGGGAAAGATACTTAAGTGAGCCGACAGTCCGTGGAGGATCGTCCATTCATTCTTGAACCTCAACTACCACCCCCCGTTCCTGCTACCACCCATGCTACTCACATACGGCCAAGAACGATCGCAGCGAAAGAGCGCAGATGCCACCGTCGGCACTGGCCTGCTGGACCTGCCCACCGAATTGCTAATCGAAATACTGAAATATCTCCAGAGTCGAGACATATTGCGGTGTCAATCAGTACGCCCCGTTCACTCTGGTCTCTCGTCAGGACCTCACTCACATGCCACGTCGATTTGCCACGTAGGTATGCCGCGCGCTGCGAGACATCGTCGCTGGCTGTGTCGAACTGCAATATATCATCGAGCTGGCTGCCGACAACCTTGTTGACGGCACCCGGAAGCCAGGATCCCCCTCCACCGCAGAACGACTTAAGCTGCTCCTCGACCGACGCAGGCGATGGAGGGAGCTTGATTGGACACAGAAGGTCGTCGTGCCAATCCCTGGACAGTGCCAAGCATACGAGTTCGTCGGAGGGACCTTTGCCAAGTCGATGGGTACCGGTGACAACTGGACAGGTTCGAAGCACTTGAATGTCACCTGGCTCCCTACCCGCGACGGCCAGGCCCGGAGCCTCGTTCGCGAAGATCTGGGTGTGCCGACAAGAGATTTTGCGGTTGACCCGTCGCAGGACATGATTGCTTTGGTGGAGATGGACGAGCAGTGAGTGCTTCTCGGTGTCTGCATATGCAAGTATGCTCATGTGTCACAGTCACTTCGACTCCGTACAGATCAAGGTACACATTCGAACTATCAGCAAGAACCAGAAACATCCGCTCGCCGCCAAGGAATGCTTGACTGCACCCATTCCTTTCCAAGTCGGAACATGCTTCATACAGATCGTCGGCGACGTCGTCGGCATGTTCTTCTGGCTCCACGGCCCTGGACTTTTGGTGTGGAACTGGCGGTCTGGAGAGATGCTTGTGGTGTGTTATCCTCTCGGCGGATTTGGAGCACTTCCGCTCGCTCATCTGCCACCCCACATGCAACAGTTCCGCTCAGGCTTTGACCTCCCGCCGGGTGCCTGGGACTTTGCTTTCCTGTCGAACCGCGCATTCTTCCTCACTTCCACCAACGGCAGCGGTGCCATCGAACTCTTCACATTCGGACCTGAGTCCGTCCAAGCCTCCCCACCGAAGCACGTCGCCACTCTGCGCCTGCCCGAGGTCAAGGAGGGACGTGCAATCGGGAACTTTTCGACGCACTCGTCACCTTTCCTCGGAGTCGAGATGACGGATGATGTCCCCTTCACTGCATCCCAGGAAGACCGCGTCCATGTCATGACGCTCACCTACGGCGAGCGTCAGCAGCGCTTCCACCTCTTCGTCAAGAACAGCTTCCTGCTGTCTCTCATCTCGGACACGAAGAAGACACTCGACTGGAAAGACTGGGGCCCGAAGAACACACGCTTCTTCGAGCACAACGTCCAGTTCCAGTGGTTGCGTTATGTCCACGGCCAGCGCGTCATTCTGCCTCCCGTGCTGCCCACCGCTGGCGCGGACGTGACGATGATGTTCGTCCTCGACTTCAACGTACACCCCAGGCGGCGGCACGACCCTGCGCGCGACCTTCCTGTCGTCCCCCAAAGCCACACACACGACCACTATGTCAGTTTCGCGCCGTCGGCGGTTGAAGGCGGCACGCTTTTCAAGTCTGACGTTGTCACCGAGCTGCCTTATACAGTCTCGCACCGCACTGGAGCTTTGCGTTATACCGGATTCATGATCGACGACCAGCGTATTATTGGGATGAAGGTGCGTCGACTAGCCAAAAACTCCGTCTTTTGCTCGATATCTGAAATGACCACAGGACTCAGCATTTGCAGAGGGCAATTTCCAGGACATTGATGTTTTCACGTTTTAGTTTTCTGTCAGAACATTCAACGAAGCTCGGACTCATGGACCTTCATTTTATCACATGTACTTGTACGATACGAGATACCCGCCTCTCAACACGTCGAAGAGTGTACTTGTAGGATATTCGCCTCTCAATGTATTTTAGCCTCTTCAGAGATATCACGATAAAGAGTGTAAATTTTACCCATGATGAGTTACCCCGAGTTCACGCCAGATAGAAGGCAAGTCAGGCCGGCAGAGAAAATTTTCTGTGCTCTCGCTTTGGCATACTTGTTGCGCAAGGACACACACACGGACCCGAGTTAGACTTGCCACTAGAAGATTGAGCTCACAGCCACAGCAATAAATCGACGTTCTCATTTCAAAGGGCGGGGCGGCGATCATAGCTGTAAACCTGGGGATGGATCGCTGTGCAGCCCGCCAGGCTTAGAGATGCGATTCTCGCTTCGCGTAGACGGCCGTCTCAGGCTAGCTTCCACATCGTTCCCGGCACTCACTAGCACCGCTCGCCGTAGACGATGACCCTAAGATATCAAATTCTGAACGGCTATTATACAACCCGGCTGACCTGGGTCGTGTATCGCAGTATGCAGACTACTGTTCGCGGCACGAAGCCGTCAACCGGCTCGAGACCGCCCCCACGAGGACAACCCATGCGACCTCCACGCTCCCCGCTACTCGCTGACACTTGACGCCGCTTGTCCTGACGCCAGGGGACATCTTGTCCCTTCCGACGCCCCGCGATGTCGAGCCCAGTGACCAGCTACCAGTTCCCGGATCTCCCCTCATGTTTCGCGCAGAGCTTCCGCCTGCGTACGAACCGGCACTGTCGTGCCGCGAGCGAGGCCGCGCGTAGGTGGACCGCAGAACAGGGTTTCTTCGGCGAACGTGAGCGCGAGGCGCTGGAGGGTACGAAGCTCGGCCTGCTCGCAGCGCTGTGCTTTTCGACGTGCGACCTCCCGCAGCTGACGCGCGCGGCCGAATTCTTCACGCTTCTCTTCCACTGGTGGGACCACGGCCTCGGGGAGCGGAGCCAGGCGACCTGGCAGGGGTGCGTGATTCTTTTTGAACGGCGTGTATAGGCACTGACAGACGTCGCAGCCTCTGGACGCAGCTCTGCCGCACCACTTCTAAGAGCTGGCAAGCGCGCTTCCAGGCGTACCTCATCGACTTCGAGGACGCGGGGCTCGATTCTGAGAAAAGTGAGCAGACGCTGACGAGTATCGAAGTCTACATGTCCCGGAGCAGGCGGTCGTCCGGCTTCCTGATGGCACTCGCGTTCATCGAATATGCAGAAGGGCTAGACTTGCCGGAGGAAGTGTTCGGGTCGCAGGCACTGACGAAGCTAAGGCTGGCCACGCTGGACCTCGTGATATGGATGCATGTACGTGCTCTTATTGCGTCTTCATTCTGGGAGCTCACAGATACGCATGTAGGACATCGCGTCGTATAACGTCCAGCAAGCTTCTAACCATGCGCACAACGCCATCGCCGTGCTCGTAACCTCGCAGCATGTAAGCTTGCAGGCGGCGATACACCGCGCAGGGGACCGTGTCAAGGCCCTTGTCGCTGAATTTCTAGCGCATGAGGCGGCGCTGGCGCAATGCTCGTGGGGTCCCTATGCTGATCGCGACGTGCGTGTATATATCGCTGGCCTGCGCGACTGTGTCGTGGGCACGGCGCACTGGATATATCGGTGTGACCGGTACTTCCTGGGCAAGGGCGAAGACATTAAGGCCTTTGGGTGGGTTTTTTTGTTGCCGAAAGAGACGGAGGATGAGGGGGAAGGTCCGTGAGTAGAATAAAAGTAGAACAAAGGGTTTGCATGGATTGAGGTGACGCGTCACGCGCGAAAGTTATATACAAATACTAGCAGGAGTGACCGGGAGCTCAGGCAGAACCAGCGGTAGCAGATGTTGCAATTGTCTTCGTCCGTTAATCGTTCGCAAAAAGTTACGCAGGGCGACGCGATCAGCTTGGAGGACATTCGGCGTGAGCTTGACACCTTTACCCCGCTCATATCCATAGCCGGTAATGCTTCGCTCATACGGACTCTGCAGCTCGAGGCGCTTGTCATGCTCATGCAACCCCCAGCCAGTGCGTCGGAGCGTTTTGAACTCGAGCAGTGCCGTTAGCTTGTCAGAAAATCGTTGGTATAGCAGGGCCCAAGGGCGTAGCGGAGTGTCGTCTGTGTTACCGACATGCATAGGGCAGGTGTCCAGCATGAGCGAGCGCAGCGTACGCCCGTGGTACACGATGAAGTCCTCGGTGAGGCAGTGCTCGCTGAACACGAACCCGGTGAGGTTCAGCGTCATCAGACGAGGGAAGCGGAGCCACGAGAGGTCGACAGTGGGGAACTGCCCGATTGGCTGGTCGCTGAATAGTGTGAGCGACGTTAATGTGTGCTGCGCAGGCCCGAGGAAACGCTCCGACATCATCTCGCTCCAGAACCAGGACCACATGTCCTCGCCGCGCCGGCCCTTGAAGCGCAAGGCGTGCGCAGTCAGCGAGAAATCCTCGAGGCCGGACATGATGGACTTCAGCACGTTGCCTTCGTACTCAGGCGCGGGAAACGGGATAAGGTTGTTCAAAACGAAGGAGCGCAGGCGGGGGATGTGGCGTGCAGAGGGGTCGAGCAATGCCTGCATGATGGAAGACTGGAGCATGAAGTATTTGGAAGGGTGGGACAGTGTGATGGTTCCGTCTTCTGCGCTTTGTACGGTCTGCCAGACCATGCCCGAGAAGAAGTTCAGCTCGAGCTCGGAAAGCGAGGAGAATAAGTATAGTCGGGCCATGTTGTACGCAAAAGCCGTGCGAATAGCTTTGGCCTCTTCATCTTCCTCGGCTGAGCACCATTATATCAAGAGAGCAAATCGTACATGGCCCGCGTGACGTACCTGCATTCAGCAGTTTGTTCTCTCCTGGCTCGGCTTCGCAGTGCACCATAAGTCTCTTCACCAAAGGGGCGAGTGACCGGGACTTTGCAAGCTGTCGATGTCCGCGTACACTCTTTTCAGTATTGACGACGTGAAGTGTGCGGAAGGCTCGTGGGGTAGCATATGCCGAGAATGTATGGTTCACTACCCTCAGTCGAAGGAGGTCTCCGATGGAGGGGACTTTGTGCACGATAGCCCCAACGAGCTCGACTGGCAAGTCATCGAGAGACAACTTGACCTTCCTTGTACAAACTGAGAATGCCATATTTAGGAGACTCGAGCGGTGATTATCGTGGTAGTGAACGGGGACCCGAGCTCGTCGTCGTCTTCGTCGTGGGCAGCGAGAGGTCAAGCTTCAAGCTTTCAGGCGCAGTACCCACGCTGCTTCCTGCCGATTTGCACGTAAAAACTTCTATGCATACAAATTAACGGAACTAACTCTTGGGTTCGGCCCGCCTAGACTACTCCCAGAATGCACACCTAAGTTCCGAGGATCCACGAGGACCTACAAGGTTTGGTCCAATCACAGCTTCCCGAGAAATCCCTGCCACTGTCGCTTTTTGAAAACATCGCGTCCTCCTGGAGCATAGAGCGGGCCAGTTCCCCCATCTTTAGTGAGGTAGGACACCGTTAGAATTGAAGGATGGTGAAACAAGAAGAGAGGGTCAACTGTGTTCAGCAATAATGAGCGCTGCGAGGGGGCCGTGGGAACCGAGAGGAACTTGATCTCATCAACCCGTGACCATTTCGGGCAACTTTGCAACCGCACCCGCCGAGAGGCCTCTCTTCAAAACATGCAAATGACTCCTCAGATCTCTCGCAAATGCCTCGTTGATTCAGTTCGAAAAAAAAGTTCATGCCCAGGGATCGCAAGTGAGCAGAGAGAAGAGATTTTGGAATTTGATTCTATCATTTCATAATTAGCGCCCAGTGTTTTGCCAACGTGAACCAGCTTGAACCAGCTCTTTCAGAGCTCGGCTCGCTGCCTGTAGCAAGCTAGACATACAGACAAGCTTATCATGGACGACGATATCCAGGAGCCGTGCGGGATCGAGCTCAGCTTTGCAGGACCAGACGAAGGTTTTCAGAACTTTGAAGGGACATACAGTACGAGACCTGGATTGACCGTCAGGATTGAAACTGCCACCCCTCCGCCACAGTCAGCCCCAGTGTCACCCTCGCAAGCTATAGACCATTCTCTGCTCAGTCCACCTGTTCTGATACGCAGACCTCGTCACCCCCCAAGGCCTTCGACTGCACCGCCCACGACCATCACATTCCCAGAAGACGTTATTGGTGCTCGTCAAAGCGTTCAGGTCGAGTCGTCGACGTACGTGAATACGAACGACACCGTGGAGGTAGTACTGCCCCCGCCGCCCTTATGTGAGCAGCCCTACTTTTGTCTCCCACAAAAAATAATCTGATGTCGTGAGTAGTCCGACCCACTACATTCTGGCGAAACGCGAAACGATCCGGGGTGACCGGCTCGTCATATTCACCAGGAACTTACCTCGTCCGCAGATCAACCTTTGTCGCTGCCGGACTTCCTCTGGACAATCCAGTCTCCGACCTGTCCGCTCTCGGTGTCGAGTCCCGTGTCGGGTTCGTTATTCTACCCCCGAATACCGATATCGAGCTCTCTCGTCGAGAGTAATGCTGCATCTACTTCTTTTCGTTTTGCTCGGCACTGCTGGCGCATTCAACGCCGCTGTGGCTGGTGGTGGTGCGATAACTTCCGTTCTAGAGCCTAGACAAGACTCGTGGTGGCCCTATGGACCTTACAGCCAGTGGGGGATTGCAGGTGCCCCCTCTTCCACTTCACCTCCCACTCCCCTCACAAATGTCGCCAGTACTGGCCCTACTGCGTCAAACCCTGCCTTATCTTCGATTCCCGCCTTAGATGTTGCACCAACATCTCTACTCACGACAACGGACTTATCCACCGCGCAATCGTCTACAGCAACTACAGCTCCAGTGGCCACTATCACAGCACTTCCTCCTGCCGCTACGCCTTCCCGCCGCTATAAACAATTCAACTCTGGCAGGTTCAATATCGCCTACTTATCCCCCGTCTTTGCACTAGCAGGTGCCATCGTCGGAGCACTTCTCGCGTGGATCGTCATCCGACTACTCCGCCGCAAGGGCCTGTGGGAATCGCGCCTGAAAGCTGGTCCACCATATGTGCCTACGGAGACGCTCAGGGACGAGAGTAACACCGAAGACAGCGCTTCACAGGCAACATCTGAGGCTTTTTTAGACCGAAGGAGAGCCAGTCGCCGGTCGACGCGCGACTCGAAGCTATCCCACGCAGCCAGCAAGAGGTCTAGCAACTGGCTAGTCCGCGCCCTATCTTCGCACCAACGTGAACCTGCGGCCGACTCTGATGCCGAGCTGGGCAATCAGTCTGGTCTTGCAGAACACGAGGACGATCCTTTTCTTGTTCCACCAAGCGCTGATAGACCTTCACGCGGGACCTCCCTTGCCAATACCCGCAATGGGTCACCTCCACGATTCGAGTTACTCCGCACGCCGGACGCACTGAGTGAGGACGAGGAGCTCGACAATGCGCCCTGGGACACCCTACGCCACAAGTCTATCCGCCGCGGGATTTTGGAGCGCTTGCAGGAGGGCCCGCAGCACCGCAAAGGCCACCAGCGTAACGACTCGGACGTCACTGTCGAGCAGGCACAGTACCTGTCCGTGCCACCCTTGAACATCCGCTCCCCTGCCCGCGGCCGCAGCCTTACGCGTGTGCGTTCGGACGAGACGGACAGCTCGGCGCCGAGTTCGAGCGGTCCCGGTTTCAGGATCGTCGAAGAGGACTATGAAAACGGCGCGCGTTCGAACATCCTGGGCATCGATATCCGTCTCCCATGGCGCTCGCCGTCTGCCAAATCTCGCGCACGTGACAACCTCACCGCCCTGCCCGCACGCGCGAGCTCTGTGGACCGACGCCGAAGCCCGGTAGCAGCGTCGCGCATCATTGAGATGTTGAACTCGCCTCAGACACCATCACGCGTACGTTACCCCGCCTCGCCTCCGCCGCGTCTGCCACGTGTGGACTCGAACGTGCTGCCGTCGAGCCCGCCGCGGATTGCGTCGCCGCCCCTGGAGGCACAACTGTTCTTTGCGCCGCTCGCGTCGTTCGGCTCGGCGCCAAAGTTGCATCTGACAGCCCCTGCGACGCCTCGCTCATCAGAATTGCCGGAGAAGAGGCACCGTAACAAGCTACACACTACCCGTGCTCCGCCTCCGCTGCCGTTCCCCTCGTCGCCGGAATACGCGCACAGTCCGACGCGGCTCGTCTCATCACCTCCATCGCGGCCGGGTACATCGGCTGAGCAGATCGAGCGGAAGCATGGTGCGTTGGACAGAGTAGGGCAGATCCTTGCTCAGTCGTACAGCCTGAAGGACCTCAAAGGCGAAGAGCGTGTGAGGAGCCCAACGATGTTCGGAGCAGTGGTATAAGGCCTGGACTTTCGAATAATAGGACGATCGGACCCGCTCTCTCCCTCATTGCCATGCACCAGGAAAGTCTAAACTGAGCTATAGCTGCCTGTCTGTCCATAATTTCTGTAACCATGCCGGGGTGATATGTGCAGCTATCAATTCGACACTTGACATGCGCATATCGCAACGATCCTGCGTAGGCTGCACACGGTGCAGCCCTCACCCAGTTTAACTTTATGCCCGAGCTCCCGAGCTATCTTAGATGCAAAATTGGGCTCCTGTGTTACGATTAAGCACGACTATCATACCCCTCATAGGCATTTCTGTCGATAAGGACGTGAAAGATCGCACAAGTGCCAGGCAAGCCCGAATCGCTCTTCCCGTAGCCGGCTCACGCTAACTGCAAAGAAAGAAGAAGAGAAAAAGAAAAAAGGGTAATACATCGCCGTGATCGCCTTCAGCAACTTCGCGACCAGCTACTACCTTCACACTGCCTCTATCTTCACGAAGGCGACCTGGACCCTTGACTCGATGATCATCAAGCGCTGGGAGAGACACGTCCTGCAGTAGCGGTTTCACACTCGGCCTTCTGGAGTACATGCTCTCCTGAAAGAGCTCGAACACGGCGTGCAATGCGCCGGGAAAACACAAACTGCTATACCTATTCGCGGACAATAAAGGAGCACTGCAGCGCATCTTTAACCCGCGAATTGGACCCTCACAGAAATGCTCCTTGCTAGCTAGCGAACGCATACGACGCTGGTTGGAAGCAGACCCGGAACGAACCATACACATGTCATGGTGCCCAAGCCATGTTAACGTGCCCTTAAACGAACGAGTTGATACCCTAGCTAAAGAGGGGACTGAACTCACACAACCAACGATTAAATCTTATGCCTACATCAAGCAAAAGATCACCGAGAACGAAGTTCGCGTATGGCAACAGAAAATCAAGGAGTCTCCCAAATATAGGGGACACCAACTGATAGCTGGAGATCATCACGATCATCTACGACAAATTAAACACACGTCCTCGAACTGGTTCATAGCCCACAGCGGGGGAAAGAACCGAGAGATGGGCAGACTCACCAGATTAATGTCTGGACACGCACCGATTGGGGCGTTCAGACAACGATTTAATCTAGAAGGACCCACCACATGCTGGTATTGCCACCACGAACTGGGTCAAACAACGACAGAAACAAGGGACCACATGATATACATGTGCCCGGGATGGAGTCGTCTATACGACTTTAAAACAATGCACATAGCGGGTCACCCGTTGTATGACAAGACTAAGATAGGACACCGTCTTAAAACTGATACCGAAGTACGCAAAATGCATCGCGCATACTGGGAGATGCAAAATGACTTGACTAAAGTCGACGAATTGACTGAATACAGCCAGGACCTTAATTACAGAAAGAAAATACTAGGCACCAAGTGGGAAGATATCTACCACTTCGTGCGAGCTAACCCCATGGCGGGTACCTTTGAATGGTCTGACCTTGTTGATAAAGCATTTGATGATGCCAACAAAGGTCGTGACTACACCACTTCAGTCCACATATGGAAAGCTCTCATGCACTCGAAGAGACGCAAGGAGAAAAGAAATGACTACACCAAAGATTTGGAACAACGCTGTAGAGCTACATACTCCAGCGCGGTTCGACAGCACAACCGTCTCCTAAAACCAGGGGACATACCAATGGATCCGGGGAAATGGCAACAAACGTATCCCAACCCGGACCAAGCCGAACGCAAATTCACACAGTGGTATGCAAAGTACGTGGTATCTCAATACCGAATACTTTTCAACCACAATGAGAGCCTCCCAGTGGTTGAGGAAGAGGCATTGGCGTGAGAGTTTGGATACAGGGGCACGTACAAACCTGTAGGACAAACTTTCGAGGCGTTTTCCGACGCTGAAGATCCGCCTGCAGACGAGGATGAATGGGGCAATCAGGTTGACGAAGAGCACAGATAAGTTGGGCAAATCGTCATAGGGCGGCTGGAGCATAACCGTCCGACAACCGGTGACCATACCTAATGGGGGTCACCATGATGATAATTTGTGTTTCGGTTATGTAGGGCGTGGGTGAGGGGAACCATTAGAGATAGGTCTAATGTTTGGTGAGGTAGAGTCCATCGACTGGCTCGGTGCTCGTGCGAGGCCAGGGCCGTCTGGCGCGGTCCTGCGAATTCCTCTGCGCCCCCAGACCTTAGGTCAACCAGGTGAACCGGCACGGACCCTGTTGTGGCTGTAGCACAGGCCCTCATGTAGCAGTAGTTCTACGGGCCTTTATAAACAAGCGGGAAAAAAAAAAAAAAAAAAAAAGACTGCCAAAGACCTACGGTATCTGCTACACGAAAGATGGCATTAGCAGGGATCTTCAAGGTCAACTCGCTACGCACCGCCCAGACGAAGCACTGGGAATGCCCATCCACAGGGCCTGCATTTCTGCATCGAATGGTGTGACTTGGCCGCACCCTATTTTCTTTTCTATGGTTTTTCGTTCGCCCCTTTCTAGGGTGTACGTAACTGAGCATGCAGCTCCAGTGATGACCTTTTCAGGTTCATTTTCCTCGTGTGTTTTACGTTGTGAGCCGTCAGTGAACACTGCCCGGCTTCCGTAGTTGAAGGAGGCTAATTTTATGATTGGGTTAAGGAACGTCCTTATCCAATTATGGAGTTCTTCCTTCTGGGCCTTAGGTGGGCCCTCAAGGCTCATGGTTATGCGGTCCCTGTACACATCCAGTATACGGTTTCCTGGTTGTGCTTCGGTGCTAATGGAGTTAAATTCCTCCGTGAAGCCCTCCGTGACTTTGTATGCCGTTACTATGGGGGTTTCGGCATCTCTAGTTTTAGTTCCGCGATATGGGAGCGGTGCCTTAATATTAAGCGTCCCACTTTCCATTAAATCTGGCAAGTGGGCCCTTATAGGGTGATTTTCATGCAACATATGTGTGCGCAATGCCGCATGTTTCATGAGTTTATTAATGTTCTGTTGGACAGGGATTAGTCCTGCCGACATTTCGAGAAAGCCCACAGGGGTTGTTTTGAACGCCCCCATGATCCAACGGGCCGCTCGGCTCTGGGCCTTGGATAGTTCTTTCTCGATCCAATGTATACCCTTCCAGGAAGGGTTCCACCATAGTTGTGCCCCATAGGATAACAGGGGTACTACATTGGATATATAAATCCGCCGTTTATCTCTAGGCTTAAGTCCTCTAGACGAGTTGCCCAACATTTGGATTGCAGCAACAGTGCTGCAAGCCTTGTTTGTGTAGACCTTAATATGGTCCCTGAACGTAAGCTTGGGGTCAAGCCAGAATCCCAGATACCTCATTACCGGTTTGGGGGTAATGACAAAGGACGAATTTTCGTCAAAAATTCGTAATTTGGGACCAAGTGGTTGTTCGTCACTCCACTTCCACCCTTTGGTTTTCCGCCGGTGTATGAAGTGCATTAATTCAAGTTTATCAGTTTCTGCTGATAACCCCAATCTATGTAGGGTATGTATAAGTTTGAAATATATGTCCTGGATTAGGACATTATTGTATAGCAGCTGCTTGTGGTCTGGGTCTTCCGACCCTTTGCCCAGCTTGCCTCCAACGTGAATGAGCCCGTCGTCGACGAAGAACTGCACGGTGGCATGTCCGTTAGCCTGTATGTTTTTGTCAGTCCACTGTGTGCGGACCGTAACTCGGTGGTCCCCTAGAGTAAGGGTAATCGCCTTTTTTAAAGGGGCGATTTTGTGCATGGCCGGGGCTAGGTATAGACCCGTAAGGATAGGAGAAAGGCTCGAGCCTTGTCCGACTCCTAATGAGAAATCCATAGGATCAAGGGTTTCTCCATTAAACATGAATTGCGTCTGTCTATCTGACAGGTAGCTGACGAAATATTTACACAAATTTCCTGCGAATCCTTGTTTGGACAAGATTCTTGTCAGGAGATTGTGATTAACCGACGGGAAGAACTGGGCAACGTCGAGCAAGACTGCCGAAGAATCAATTCCTTTTTTCCACAATTGTTTCACGTTGTGGACAAGTTGTATTCCTGCATCCGTGGTACTATGTTGCATTGTACCACCGAATTGACACGGGTGCATTGCACCATACTTTTGTGCTTCAAATTGCATTCGTCGGGATATTATTTTTTCCATCAATTTGCCTAAGCAGTTGAGGAGAACAATGGGCCGGTAGGCCTTTGCCTTGGTGTAGTCAGGTCTCTTTGGCTTCGCAATGATAACCGTTTTCGAGACCTTGAATACCCGTGGTTGTATGCCTAGCTTAACGCATGCATCGTAAAATACGAGTATGGGAAGCTCGCAATCTTTCTTGTCGGACTCATCATCGTTGCGATACTTGGGGGATGATTCGTCTTTAAGTATTCGTTTAAGCCAGAACCACGAGACGTTGTCTGGGCCCGGTGCAGAGAAGTTGCTAGTGCCCTTGAGAGCTTCTCGCATTTCAGTGCGACTCATGGGTGGGAAAGCTCTTTCCTCGAGCTGCTCCATCTCATCAGCAATGGTCATGTCGACAGGTCGACTATTGGTCGGAGTAAATTGTTGTTGGAATATTTCCCCGACCCCTTTCGAGTCGGTGACAATATCCCCTTGGCTATTTGTGAGGGCGACGTTAGCCACTTGTTTTCGTGGCTTTGTCCATTCAACATTGTTCCATATTCTTGAAGGGTGTGTGTGTTTTAACACCCCTTCGAAGAAATCACGTTTAGCTCGTTTGGCCGCCGCTCGGAGGCGGTTGGATGCATTCTTTATTTTCTGGGCTTCCTCCATAAGGTGGATAGAAGCCAGATCGTTCTTATTCTCGATACTAGTTAGTATCTCATCATCATTCTCAGATATTCCAAGACGATGAATCATGATGTGTCTCGCCCGGATTAGCTTGTTTCGCCTCCGGATGTCTTTCTTAATAGATTTGACCGAAGCACGTATATTGCGTAGCTCCTTGGCCCTTTTGTTACATTCAGCATTCCACCACGACTTAGCATGATGTGAATGCTTGACTTTCTCGACGTTAGCCGACCAGGCTGCGTCAAATGTATATTGGATCCAATTTCCCCAACGCTCGATGTCCTCTTCAGAGGCATAGTCATCGATGTTGGTGGGCATCGCTGCGAGTCGTCCTCAACAAGCTTTAATGAATTTCTGGCCATTTTCTGAGCCTCTCTTAACCGTGTATGTAATTTTATCGACCGTTTCCAGGTCGATTTGAACAAATACTGGGCAATGATCACTATTAACTTGTTGATCATGTCGGTGTTCAATGTTTATAACATTGATATCTTCGTTGGTCCAGACTAGGTCTAGGGTACCATCGCTTTGGTCCTCTCTGTTGGACGACCAAGTATGAGCGTGTTCAGGTGATGTGTTTAAGGACAGGTTCATGTCCAGTGTGCACATTGTAATGAGGTCTTCCGCTTGGCGGTTGGCCCTAGTTCCGATGGGGACGGTGGAGTCCCACATGTGATGACGTAAGTTAAAGTCGCCTGCCATGAGATGTATTTCTGGCATGTTGCTGGCTTTATTTTCTAGGTAGTGCTGAGCACTGTGTGTTTTGGAATCATTGTACACGTTAAGGATACGTATGATTTGTTTGTTGGGCATGGTTAGCTCCAAGCATTGGGCATCGTCATGATTTACGATGCCCGTGTTAAGTCTCGGTGCGAGGTGCGCTCACCGTCTATTGACGATGGTGCACACGCGTTCTTTCTCAGATGCTCCGAGGAACATATACTGTCTGTGTGTGATTCCTTGGTGGTACTCGTCTCCGTCTTTCGACGTGGTAGACATTACTTGTTTAATATAACCCCAGAAGGGTTCTTGTACTAGCACGACGTCTGCCGTTCGGTAATTTCGTTCTAAAAAGATTTGAAGGTTGTCCTTCAATTTTTGAACGTTAAAGGAGACCACGGTAAACGGTCTGTTATTATCATCCCGGGGTGTAGGGGGTTGAGCGTTGTTGGGTTGTTTAACCCTGGCTTCCGCCTCCACCCTTTCCAGGTTTATATCAAGGGGGGGCGGTAAATCATCTATCTCTTCATCTTCATCAGAGGGGGAGTCCTCGTCGTCATCTGTGTTCCAGTTTTCCTGGTACATGTTTACAAGGTAGTCCACTTCGTGATCTATTCCTTGGTCTGTCTCATCATTTTCGCCGGATGAAAGATCGAATTGGAATTCGATCTCCGGCGACATCAAGTTGTTCTTTTAGTCACAAAGGCGGTCTTTCGGTACCGCTTCCACGTCCATGTCATTTGTTGTACTACTCATAGGCAATGGTACGAGGTAGTGGGCTATTATTACATGAGTGCGTCATGTGGGGGGACGGTTGGACTTTGGACTCAAGTGGCCGTTTGAGTTCATTGCGTCCTGTCATCCTCTCAAGTATCGTGGTATATATTAAACTGTTTAGCCTGGGGCTAGGTGACAATTTTAATGTATCTAGGTGGTCTACACCTGTGATCACGTGATGAGAGCCTGGACCGAGCCCTGACAAGTCAGGTGGTGACCACGTCTCGAGCATGCCGCGTGTGAGGCGGCGTTTGTGTATCTGGTTTCCCAGGATAAAGTGAGACGCCTTCCCGAGCGTTAACTCGTTGGGGGTCTCAAGCAGCAAGGCTGCCTGTGGGATTTCTCCCTGCGTCCCCTTTCCCCCGAAGGGTACAGGTTCCGCTGAATGACTCTGCAGCCACGTTCCGCTGGGCAGAGACGACAGCATCGACCTCTTGCATGGGTCTAGCTGTTGTGGATGTGTTGGCGATGGGGGTGACTCGACGCCGTGGCTAGACGCTTCACGGTCGACCCCCAGCCCGAGGTCTTCCGGAAGCGTCGTCGGGCCCATTACCGCTTTTCAGGCGGTAGCAGACCCAGCACCTAAACAGATAAAATAAGTTCGAAAGGGATAGGGAAGTGAGAACGTAACAATGGGCGACGGAATTGGGGAGCGAGACTCAAACAACGTGGGCGTCTAAGGTAGATAGTGGTGGTTGAAGGTCAAGGTGCGCAAGGTCTTTGGCAGTCACGGCCCCTACATTGCGTTCTCGCCGATTAATACACGTACGTCAATATGTTGCCCAGAAATCGAGCATCCAGCGGTGACAAACACCGGCTTCATATATTCTACGGAGTCTCGGATGCAGGTGCGAGGAATTCGCTTACTCGATACTGTAGTTCTGACTCGGTTCGTCAGCTTTGCAGGACGCTACCATGAAGATCTTCCAGAGAAGAACATGCTCAATGACCGGATAATTTACTTATCGTACACAACGCCCAAGATCTCTACATCCAGGCATAATCAAACACATATAGATTAGTTTAAAAAATGCATCTAAGGTACCGCATAAGCTGCCTCTCGTAAGAGAGTTGCAAACGAAGGTCAACGTTCACTAGTTCATTGAGTCATTAAATATTTGCTATTGATTCTGCTTATTGTACAAATGTATATCCTGATGGCATGGCTAAGACACTGACGTGGCTAAGACATCAGTGTGGCTAAGACATTGGAACATTGAATATTTGCTATTGATTCCACTTGAGTATAGTTCATCTGCTCCGGTGTTTTAGCCACACTGGTGTCTTAGCCATGCCATCAGAATATACATTTGTACAATAAGCAGAATCAATAGCAAATATTTAATGACTCAATGTCTTAGCCATGCCATTAGAATATACCTTTGTACAATTGTGTTCCAATGCTTTAATACCTGATAATTGGCTATAATATTACAGCTAAGACTTTAAGGTCAAAAAATGGTATTATAGGGCAATTTCAACCTTATATTTGCAAGGTCTTATGCCTTAGTGGTGTAGTGCACTGCGGTTACTTTCAGGCTGCGGGTTTGATTCCCACTTGTGCCATTTTTTGGGCTTTTCTGAAATTCTTCAGCGTGTCTTAGCCGCTCTTGGGCGCTTCTGGGTGGCTAGTCCAGTGTAACTTAATAAGTTCCCGTGTCTGGGCCGCCGAACTGAAACTCTTGTCGATGCCTACCGGATCTCAATGCAAAACAGCAGATACAGTGTCAGACGCATCTGCGAACAGCCAATCCAACAGTTTCCCCATGTCTCACAAACGACGCAGGACAGCAGATACAGCATCAGACGTAACTGCGAACAGCCACTCCGACGGTTCCCCCATGTCTCACAAACGACGCAAGACAGATGTAGCGCCGAACACATCTACGAACACCCACCCTGACAGCGTCTCCAGGACTACCAGATCTCACACACGACGCGAGGCAGCGGACAGCGTACGGGTGGTGAGTTGTACATTGCGGTGACGATATTGGTGGTTTATACAACTCATCTGCGGTAAACAGACATCCACTCCCCTGGCGTACGACTTTTGGGTCGCTGGCATATTGTCATCATTCCTGGGTCCAGTCTGTGAGGAGGATCATGTGGTGTGGAATCTTCTCTGCGACTTGTATGACAGCCCGTGGGACAAAGTGCACACTGCAAAGCCCTCTCAGTGCCAGGAGCTCAGTCGGAACGCGAACCCCGGTGCGCTCCCTCATCGGGCGCACTGGGCGTGGGTTGAGGCCAACCTGATTCCGAAGTGACAGAGGTATAGTGTGTATACCGCATACGAATTCCATTCCCCCCCCCCCGAAAACAGCACCAGCAATACCTGTCTACGTTACCTGAATGTGTAGAGTTCGATTACAGGTCTGTATGAGTAGCCGTAGCTTGTCAAGAGTACCAGTGATCTGTTGAGGGGCATGCTCTGCACATGCATCTGCCATGTGGTGCGTGTTGGTGTCCGTTCTCGCATCGCCCGCACTTTCAACATCAGTACTCACCTTCAACACTTCTAGGTCTCTCTGCTTGCTTTTCGCTCACTACAGGCATACACCGACGGCGCCGGGCGAGGGTACGTCTGACACGGAGCGGCCGTCGTCGCGGGTGTCGGCAATGTCGCGCGCAAGTGCGAAGCCGAACGCGTTGTTACCGGGACTACTCGGCGCCATCGGGTCCGGCGACATCGCCGTAGAACTCCAAGGCCCCTCTAGTCTGTGATGCATCCAGGTAAGTGAACAGTCTCTGCAACGAGATGTCAGTAGTACGAGAACGGCGAGTGCTCGTTGAACGTGAAGCGACGTCCTGAGCTACGGCTGCCGCATCCGATGTTGAGGCCTTGAGGTTTGAACAAAGACACCTACGGCTGAAGCTGGGGCCGGTAGCGGCTGCCGAGTCAGCTTCGTCATCGACCGGTCGTTCATACTCGGCGACCGAAGCTATGAGAATGCGAGGGCACTGTACAACGTTGGCTGAATTGCCGATTGGCAGTCCAATTTTGGGTCTAAGCTCAGCGGCAAGCTCACTGTTCTCCTTGTATGCGCCGAGTTAAAGAAAACGACCATGACTTGCTCGCCGAAACATAGATTGTTGTAGAAAATTATTGCCGAATTTGTTTCTGGCACGGCCTGGATTGTGCGGACACGAAGATCATTCGGACGAATGACTCGTGGCAGGAGCTACTCTAGATCTATATCCAATCGCAAATTTCTATCACAGTTTGCAGGTAATTTGATCAGTGAGTAGCCTCACATGGACACGGGAAGTCCGCATCGACGACAGAGACCTTGTTTACAATATAGCCTCAAGGGCGAATGCGATAACGGCCGACAGCTAGGATCCAATAGCAAGGTACATCGTTCTGCCCACTGCATGTTGCTCTTAGTAAGCATTCATCAGTCTATACCTGATCGACAGAGGCGGAATTAAGTCATACAGAGAATGTCTGTTAATATCGGGTCGAGCTCGGTGATAGAGCGTGCTATGATGCCGTGTTCTGTTGTTGAATATCTGTATGACACCAAGATCAGCTCAACCACTGCGACACATCTCGAGTCTGAAGAGGAAAATCCACCTCTAGCTGCTGCCGCTCGCCGCTGAGCAGCCCATTCCCTCGCCCTCGCGCGTCTCGCTTCCATAACGGCACTGTTCGCATTTTGTACAGACACACCCTCGCTCTCCGCCTGTGCGCGCCCCGCCCCTGCAGAACCGTCCAGTGCCTCCGCACTCTCATCCACATCCTCATTATCATCACTGTCACCATACCCTGTCAATCCACCCAAACCCGCCCTGTCCTTCTCCGCCTCCTCTTTCTTCCGCTTCTCCTCCTCTTGTTGAGCCCGTATGCGTCCCTTCTCGAGCCGCCATGCCTGCGCCCAGCGGCCGCGCAGGAATGCAAAGCGTGGGTCGGCGCCGTGGTTCGCGAGGATGCGCATCTCAAGTTGTGCTGGATTTGGTGAGGAGAGGACGTGCGATGCCGTCCGGCGCATCAGTTCTCTCTGGCTTTCCTCCGGCTGTTCTCTACCGTCAGCGGAATTACATTATTATAATAAAGGAGGAGAACGCACATCCTCATCGCTTCCGCCCCACTCATCTTCAGGAGCATGTCCGCTGTCACCTTCTGACTCGCGCAGCGCACGCAGGCGCGACTCACGCCCCTGCTCTATGGCACGTCGACGCTTGTTGCGCTGGTGGTCCTCTACCTCGGATGGCGAAAGGAAGAACGTATCTTCGGTATCGGAAGGGAGGTCAGACCAGCCTGTGGGCGATGCACTGCTCGGAGAATGTGCACGTGTGGATTCGGGAAGAGCATTGAGGAGGAGGCGGGCGTCGTACCTGTAAAATTATGTCAATAGCTTGTATTACGAGTGAAGGAAGGGAACTCTAGACGTTCAGTATCGGCTAGCCTATGATCAGTCAGACTGGAGTTCAATTCGTGTGGTCACGGCTTTCATTCGCAGGCAATGTATAATCCGTGATATGACCTGAGGAGGTAGCATACCTGTCTACCCAGACAGCTTTCCGGTCTTCGTCGTCCTTAACTTCTGCAACATCTTCATCCTCTCCAAGTTCCCTATAAGGTGCGTCCGCTGTGCCCTTCCACTGAATCAGTCCCTCCCCTTGCACGAGCTGGCCATCTACGGTTCTGACTTCCAGCGCCAGCGCAGCGGCGTGTCCTCTTGGTCCTCTGATAATATCGGCCTCGTGAGCTTGAATAAACAGCGCGGGGTCAGGTTCAGCTGGCTCTTGCGGTGCACGTTCGCGCCTCTTGTCTCTCTTGTGTAATTCAGCTTTACGTTTGGGCATGATAGCGATTTCTGGCTAAGGGTGTGAGAGACGAGTGAGCGGACAAACGTTCGGACATGGAGGAGATACTTGTTAACGTAATCCTTCCTTGTCACAGGATCTGATGGTATTGCTAAATTGTGCTTACGTAGGTCAACATCAAAGGCGTTCGCATATCTTCTTCCCACACTGCACCTTCACTCTCTACGGCCATCCGCAGACCGTCTGAGAGATAATGAAAACGTAATCTTGCGTGAGTTCAAGGAGTCTGCTAGCGTGTAGCTCACAAGAATGCCGCAGTATGGTCAATAAATACTACCGAGAACGACCTCGAAGTCGTTCGAATAGGTTCAGCTCAACGGAGAGACCAGCAAGCTGATCCATGACCGTCAATATGTGTAGGCCGCGCTCATCCGACTACATGGCAGCCTGCCGTTAAGGGGTAGGTCTGCTACGGGGGTCAAGTAGTATTACGCCTTCGGTGCCCGACTTTGTCAAGCTGTGTTCGACCCCAGACCAATCTCCCACCTGCCACTCTGCGTCATGCCCTACGACATCTGTTTCTCTACTATCTATATCTCAGCTGAGTGCTCAAGTGCCTAGGATGTGCTCAGCATATATTGGGACTGGTGTGGGCATGATCAAAGACTCCGCGTGGAACTTCGCCGAAGGGTAACGAATCGCGGCGACGATCCTTCCTCACCACCGCCGAACAGGCATCTCGCAGCATCGCGTTTGTCAAATCTCGGCGAAGGCTATGCAGAGCACGTACCGTCTTATCGATACGCGACACATCTTGGAACTCGCTCGAAACCAGGGCTAATCGTAGGCCTGCCATTCTGGGCGATATGCGACCCACTGAAAGCCGCGCAGGGGGAAGCAGCCGTGGTGGCCTGCGTTGGTCACGCAGAGTCCGCAGGGCTCGGGCGGTACATTACCGGCAGCGGATCGAGTCAAGTCAAAGCTAGGGCGCCCTATTGGTCGTGTCGCCGGGCAAGATACCAGGACGCGCAAGCCGCACGGCCGCAAAACAAGGCTGATGTATCCGACCTCCGAAGACAGCCCGCGTCTCAGCTATGATCTCATCCAACACAACTGTTCTGTTTTGCTCCCGTGATCTCATCGCTGTGATCATCTCCTGCGCCTAAGACGTATAAAAACCGCTCGCGCGACAGCTCTTGCCCAGCACTTCAGCAGCACCTTTCAGCAGCTTCAATCCCCGCCAACCTCTACACAAGCCCACATCTCTTCACGCTCTACGGACCCGAGCACTCGCGATGGCCAACATGATCCAAGACGGCGGTGTCTACAAGTTCGTCAACGCCGGCGCGGGTAACGTCGCCGAGAATGGCGACGATGGCGAGTCTGTCATCGGCTACGGCTGGCACGGCGGAGACTCTCAGAAAGTATGCGTGTCTCCGCCACAACGACTTTCGTTCTGTTCATCAATGACGCACCTTGCTACAGTGGAAAGTGGCAAAGATACCCGACAGCCCAGGCTGGGTTATTCAGAACGTCGGCACGGGCCGGTACCTCTCCATCTACGAGGGCGCGCAGGAGGGCATCCGCGTCATGGCTAGCCGGGTCCCCACGCAGTGGGAGATCAAGCCTGACTGGAAGGAGCCATCGTTGCACAGGTGGGCGCTTTACAGCCAGTACTAAAAAACGAGCGTACTGATGGAGTCGGAATGCAGAGTGTACTTGTTCAATACGGACTTCAATATGGACTTAAGTGATAATGGCAACCCGACTCCGGGGACTGTAAGTCCGACACGCTGTTGTTCCGTCGTGCGACCGGCTGACTTCCTGTTTCTAGCCTTGCGCCATCTGGAGCGCATGGGAAGGCCGCAACCAGTGCTGGCATCTCGACGAAGGTGAACCTTCCTCGCCCTATTCCCAAATTCTGCTGCTAATAGTGGATCTCCCTAGTCGCATGAGTGTGACATGATGATACTAGTCACGACATCTTACGACGATCCGTTCCGTGTTGACGAACGTTAACGGTTATTCTCTCTGCTTATTCTGGGAAGGAGCGAATTCTAGGCACATTCGCCCTACGGGCCGTGGACGTTGATCGTTCACGGATGAGTCATCGCCTCGCAACCATCGGCACACGCGCACTGTACATTAGAGCACCTCGCAATAAAATACAACTCAGTGTACACCGAAGATCGCGATGATCCGAGCTTTAGGCTTTCAGAGGCTCGAACAAGCTTCCGGGAAAGGTCCGAGAGAGAGGCACAAAATAAGCACCGTCAAGCGGACTGACGAACATGTTCCAGAGAAACAGCAATTACATAAATATACAGTACAGATGTGTGGCGATTGGCAGGAAAAAAGACGAACAAGAATGCCGTGACTGACCAATCGCGCCGCTGATCCCTTGGATAACTCTAGAGTCCAACAAAGTAACCTATCCTTTGTGCGGCTTACCCCTTAAATCGATAGACTGCAGCGTCACGCCGTCCGCGCTCGACGTTAATGGCGCCAAGGATTGGCACTGCGCTCCACACCATGCATATTAGGAAGAAGAACGCGTAGCGGATGTTGCCTGTCGTGTCCGCGATGAGTCCGACGATCAACGGGCCGACGAACGAGCTTGACTGTCGCACGTTTGTGGTCAGCAGGCGTACGTATACAATAACGGATGTAAGCAAGTCGAGACAGAGAAGGATCCAAGCAAATAGCAGAAGACGGAGGAGACAGCGAGATGCAAGCGAGAAGAAAACGAACCTTGTCCGTGATAGAGTACAGCGCGTACCACCGGGCCTCCTCACCATGGGGGATGAGCTCCGAGTAGAACGCGCGGGCGTAGCCCTGGAAAGCGCCGTACACCGCACCCTGTATCCCGGCACGTAAGTGTTACAGCACACTAGTCCCGGCCGACGTAACGATGACGCACAAAATACACTGAGAGAACGTACATCTCCGCGGGCGTTGTCAGCCCGCCGAAGCGTATGCTCCCGTTCCGGAACGCGGGCAGGAACCCCAAGCAGCCGTACGCGGGCAGCAGGCTTGCGAGGCACACCAGCGTAACGAGTACGCGCAGGTTAGACCATCCGAGAGCGCGCTGGATGCGCGGCCAAGCGAGCGAACCCCCAATGCCCGCAATAGGACTGACGATGCCGATGAGCACGAGCGATGTCGCGGGCATATTCAGGGACGTCTTTGCGAAGAGCATGGCTGTGGAGGTGATCGTCGTGAAGCCTACACAGTTGTACGCGTCAGCGATATGATCGGAAGATAGAAGGGAAGGGAAGGCTCGTCACCATCTGAGAGCAAGAACCATGCTGCAAGGAACTTGAAGGTGTTACGTAGCCGTTTAACTTCTCGCCATCTCAGCATATTCCCGAGTCTTTTCCATGCCTTTCCAATCTCCCTCTTCGTATTCCACAGTTCCTTGCTCCCTTCCACATCTTCGGACTCCATATTAGCCTCCTTTGTCTTGCCAGAGGGCAGCCATGCCGCCGCGGGCAGCGAGAACGTCGCCCACCAAATGCCGCTCATACCAATGGCGAGGCGAAGAGAGAACGTCGTGCCGTGCAACTTCGTTACAGGTATAAGTGCGATGATGAGTAGAATGATGCCTGCCACATAGCCGAGTGCGATGCCAAACGAAGAAATTCGCGACGTCGCGCGCGACAGTGCATTATTGTACGCCTCGCGCAGAGCGTTCGAGCTACTGTGGTCATCACCTTGGGACGCGAGCAAGGGTTCCGACGCGTCTTCCGCCTCGCCGTCGTTTGAATGCTGGCCTGGCTGGCTTTCGCCGACGACCGAAAGCATGTCCGCGCGGGCCATGACTACTTCCTCAGACGCTCGCGCAAGTGTGGGCAAGTACGCGTTCATGGCTACGACAGACGCGCCAAACCCGACGTTCGCGCATATACCCAGCAACGCTGATGTGGGCCATATTGGAGATGTGGAGGGCAGGAGTAGGAAGAGTGTTGCGGCTGCGCTTCCAAAGAAAGCAAAGAACAGAAGAAGCAACTTGCGATGCGGTGCTGGAGAAAGGATGAGTCAGGGGCTGTGGAAATGAGACAGGGTCAGAGACGAACGATGGTCGGCAATGTTGCCCATTGAGATGACCGTGAGGGCTTGCAAGGCGACGGATACTGAGTTGACATACAGGCTGCGGAAGTCAGAGCCATGCTAACTGTATGTGTGCAGCTTGAGCGAACCTGAAACTCGCACTGTCTATCCACATCCATCCCAGCTTCACCACACAACGAATCTCTTCAGCAGGTGCTGTCGTTACGGTTGCATTAGATATTAGACTGCTTGTTGAGTTCGACAAGTCGCCCGGAAGCGGTATCGTCGAGTTCGCCGCAGAACATGGGACTGTATGGTCTGGGAGAAGGTAACCGTTATCTCTGTCAACATGCAAACATATAGTCAGGTCAACTGAAGGCAGAATTGAGAGATGCTTACCTCGCGAACTGCTCGAGACATATAGGCAAGAACAAGGTCAAAGACACGACCACGAATACCTCACTATAATCCAAAAGCAATTAGTCATTGACAAGCAGCTCGTGCGGGGAGGGCGGCACAATGGTAGGATCAGATGTGGTTGGTACTCGGTGCTCGTGGTGGACCGGGACAAAGCTCACAGGACACACCTGGCGAATGCATAGCTTAACCACCCTCTCAGCCATTTCTTGTACTTCCTGGAGTCATAAACAAGTTCCTCGGTCATCGCTCAGACAATTCAAATGGCCGAATTTGTTGCAGATACTATGAGCTAAGTCGGCTAGTGTCCATGGGGCTGATAGCGGGTGATAGGAGAAGTGCAATGCCAGCGAGTGTGCTCAAGGATGGCGTGCGGAAGAGGCGAGGCTTAAGTACTGAGGCGGAGTAGCAGATACTGGAGCGTGTAAAGCGTTTCAGAGATCTAAGAACTAAGGTGGGGGCAGCGCATACGTCCTGGATGTGGCTGTATGCGCACAAGCGACGGGCGCGGGAGGTCGTCGGCAAACCCCACAGTTTCAGCTCAAGCGGTACGGCTTGCACTCCTCAAAAACTTCTTGTTAACCACAGGAGAGAGATATTGTATGAGTAAGAAAGGTATATGTACAGGTAGCAAAGACCAAACAATGACAGGGCAGGCCCAAGATATCGCAGAACACTGGAGTCCAAGACACGAAGCAGCACTATTGGCAACAGTAACCTCCTAGCTGTGGCAGCAACATAATTCAAAAGCAAGATAGAGGCATACAGATATCGAGAACGTACCTGCTCCAGGTGAGCGTCGATAGTGTCTCCGTCTTCCATATTAAACTGTAGACAAAGGCCGAGAGTCAGGATTATTCTTTTCTTGACAGACGACGACCACGCACCTCTCCAGGCGTTTGCTCCGGTCGTATACGTTCTCCTTCAAAGGTATACTTGAAGGAGCCTGACACACACAGTCAGAGCAGTGCACTTCTGGCCGATACACGCTATGTACCTGATGAACGTCCAAACTTCGTCTACGCATTTCCTCCGGATCAAAACTCGTATTCCTTCTCTCCAGAGTGTAATCTTACCTCTGCTGCCTCGAAAATCTTCTTGAACTGCGTGGTGGACTTGACTTTCACCGTACACACTGTGCCACCAGTCAGATGAGACCACAACAAAGCGAGTACGATGCTATACCTTGGCTTTGGAATTGGACTTGAACGGTCAGCTTTGGCTTGACGTCCTCCTTGTGCTCTTGTTCCTCGGACATGGTGATGGTAGTGTTGACAGAATGCAGTGTCCCTGTCGCGTCCCAAAAACGCGACCTCACGCGAGGGGACGGCACGTGCGATTCCCGGGGTCTCGTCCATGGGGAGACCCTCTTGCAAGACCCCTAAGACGTCCGTTCGTCCCACCCCCAAGCGATGCTCACGCAAAGCAAGTCTTAGCCTATGTTTGAGCACGCGTGCTTTCCTGCTTCATTTTAAAAACAGGCACCCAGTGACGCAAAAGATGCAACACTCTGGGCACGACTCGCGGGCAGTGCGTTGTTTCAGGCTGAAGCAAGTACCCCACGTGTTGGACCACGTCCTTTTCGTATGGCGCGGGGAGTAGGCATCCACGATTTCTCAAGTAGTCTACTGATCCTGATCACGGTACGCAGCATCCTCTGACTCCATACCACGCTGAGGAAACGTGGGACACGGCATGCGCAAGCATAAAATACTCAGGCCTTGGCTCGAGTAGCCTGCACAACGTTAACCACAACCGCGACCATGGGCAACCAACAGAGCACTCCATCCGAGCAGGCAACGAGTATACGGTCAAAGAGCTCTAAGCGGACGCGGATAAGCGTCGAGGAGCCTCCGAACCGTGCTTCGCGCGCAGTCTCGTTTTACCAGACCCCGCCCGGCTCTTTCGATACTCCCAGAATGTCGACTACTTCACCCATAAATGAGAGTCCGGCGACATCAGAATCTGGCACACCTTTTCGGCCACTCTCTACCGCCTCTGAGCAGTCATCGCAGACTACTCCGTACCCAGGGCCAAAGTCTGCAGACCCAGGCGCTCCAATCGAGGAGCCGAAACTCGTGGTGAAGGAGAAGCACTCTTGGAAGCCAGGAGTCTACTCTCTCATGAATGCGAAGAGCGGAACATCTGTCGATCTCTCTGGTGGAGACAGGAAGAGTATTATTGGCTTCCCTCCGCATAGCGGGAAAAACCAGCAGGTCAGTTTCGTTCTCATTTGAGGTTGGGGGAAGCCTCATCATATGAACTATACAGTGGGAATTTTTGCCCTCTGGTGAAGGATGCACTATCAGAAGCGTCTTTTCCGGATTATACCTGACAGTTGAAGACACTGTTGGTGATGGCGCTACGCTGATCGCCAGCCCATATCCTGTCAGTTGGAAGGTCGAGGACGTATCGGACGAAGACGTGGCGAGTATACGGTACGTGTCCCTATTTTTCGAACGAACGTGGCTCCATGTATTAAGGACGACCACCAGCATCCTATGGCCTACCGACAAGTACGCCTTCGACTTAGCGGACTTTGGTAGCGTTACGCCGGGAACAAAGGTACACAGCCAGTCTAGCTCTATTCTTGATAGGAACGTCTACTTACTTGACTTATTCACAGGTGCAACTGGCTTCGTCCCGCTCTGATGAGCGCTCTCAACGCTGGAACCTCATAGAGCGCGAAACGTCTCCGGTCGACTTATCGTTCAAACGCTCGCCTCATCTTGAGAGCGCAGCATCCAACCCGCCTGTGGAGACCGTGTTCGTCACGGAGGACAAGGATCACACCACTACGACGCGCACGACCACCACGAGCACGATTACGACTGTGACCACTGTTACCAAGACACCGAAGAGCCAAGCTTGAGATCTGGAGTTCTACTTTCGAGGCTATCTCGATGCCGGTGTAGGCCAGCTATTTAGTGAAGCCATTGATAAGTATGTACAAGTATAATTACAGCAGATTGAATATCTATGCACGACGTACTACAAGTATCCTGTAATCTCGAATTGTCAGCTTGCGTATAATGTCGTGGCCCTCTGCTTAGAGAAGTGCTCTAGTCAGTGGCTAACAGCGGTAGCGTAGAGCGCGTCCTTATTATGGTCGCTCTCGACCAGAGCATAAAACGTTCCGTCTTTCCTCTCTAGAAGCGCCTTCGGCGTATCAAACTCGACCAGGCGACCAGCATCCAGTACCATCTGTACACTGTTAGTAAGGTATCAGCTTGAGACACGAAGATAAACTTACGATCTTGTCATAGTCCATGATGGTCTGCAGCCGGTGCGCCACTGTTATGACAGAGACACCTCGTTTCAGCTCGTCGCGAAGGGATCTTTGAATGGCGGCATCAGTACAGTGATCTATGGAGCGGAGTCAGATGTTGACTGAGTGTGGAAGTATCGAGCGCTAAACTGACCAACAGCGGACGTTGCCTCGTCGAGAATTAGCAGCTTGCTCTGGCGCACGATCGCCCTGGCCAGTGCAATGATCTGTCTTTGACCAACCGAAAGGTTCGTACCACTGCCCGTGATCTTCGTATCCAGAGTGATCCAGTTCGCGCCGTCGGACTGTCGCAGCGAGAACATCCCTGCAGAACGGAGCGCGCCATTGAGGGTGGCGTCATCGTGTAGGTCGAACGGATCGAGGTTGTATCTCAAACTACCGCTAAGAAGTTCAGGCTACGTATTTTTTCAGTATCCTGTGACGATACACATGACAAAGCACTGACCACTTGGGGTATGATAGTGATACTCGAACGTAGTGTGTCCAACGTAATAGAGTTAGTAGGAACGCCATCGAAGGTGACGACGCCTCCAGTTTGAATGCAGCGAAGAAGTGCCAGTGTTAATGTTGACTTTCCGGCACCAGTTCTCCCCACTGTGTATAGTTTTATCAACGAATACTCATAGCAAGTCCGAGACCAGCTTACCGACGCCGATACTTTCGCCGCTCTTCACGTTGAAACTAACGTCCTGCAGAACTTTCGACCCATCGACATTGTATGACGCGCACAGTCTTTCAACACGCAGGTTGCCGCTCGCAGGCCAATATGCCGGAGGTGCGTCGCCGTTTTTGGATTCTTGCTCGATATGGATGTATTGATCAAGGCGTTCCAAGCTGCGAAAAAGCAGTCGAATTTAGTGGACGCGTCAGGGGAACTATGAAAACAAGGTTGACCTGTTGGCGTTCACTGTAATGTGAACCGTAGTCAATACAGTTGCCTCTGCAGGGCAGTGCAAGTAACTCTGCTCACCCTCGAGTTGGTTGAACCAGTTGACCAGATTTAGGATTAGGTCGGTGAACGATACTGAGTATAAATATTCTCAGTATATTGCAGACACATGGGCACGTTTTCAAGATGCTTACCGGCCATAGCAAGAACGAAGCCGACACCTGACGGGCCGATAGACGAGGCATACACCAGGTACCACGCTATAGTAGCCGCGAAAAGGGCAGAGAGACTGTCAAGACGGACGGCAATCCATCTTTTGGGCCGTGATGAGACATCAACGCTCTGAACGACAGAAGACGACGAACTGATTCAGGCACCAAAATATCCTCGACGCCTGGGTGTAGTCGTTCACTCGCCGAAGCAGCTGCCCCCTGAAGTGGTTTTGCGCCGAATATGCCCTGATTGAGACTTGAGAGACAGCAGTGTCAGGGATTAGGTCGACAGTAGTCAACGCTACGTACCAAGGCCATGCATTGTGCTACTTAAGACGGCCAACACAGGAGCCTTGCGAGTGGACAGCTCGCGCTTGACGGAAAGTTGTGCCTTGATGTATATGCTCCCGAAGCACGCGCCTAGACACACCACAAGAAGACTAGGCACCAACAGGATCGGGGCATAGATGAATACTACTATGAACTTAATCGCCATGGCGAGGAATGTGTTGGCTGACGATCGAGGTAAGAAGACGTAGCTAAGAGATATGGACGGTGACGCACTAAGAATATTGATGGCTTGCGGGATAGCACCGTCGACTGTATAGTCTCAGTCCGTAAATAATACGAAGAGTTGCAAACCATGCCGCCCTAGAACATGGTGCATTACGTACCAGCCTGGATATCCTGAGTGAATCGCGTGATGACCCGAGAGGTAGGTGTAACATCTAGCCAACTAATTGCTGCGTCAGAGTCGGTACCCCATGAGCTTCCAAAAATATTACCGGAAGGTAGTGCCCAGGACTGACTCTGCAAGCTCGCGGTGGATGGCGCGCGACGCTCTAATCCTTCCCCAAGAGTCCGTGAGAGACTGCGTTAGGAAAAAGATAGTCGTCACAACCACGATGGCCGAATACATGACGAGATAGCTGTGTGTTCCGACTCAGCGATAGCAGGGGTGCATGAACACATGACTCACTAGGGCGCGTCGACATCGTTTTTCGTAGCATATTGTTTCGCCCACCAGCCAAGCCACCAGGTCTGCAGAATGCTGAACACCTGGGCGATGGTCTCTGCGCTGAGATAGCTGAGCCAGTGAAAGATCCCACCCATGCTGCGTAGATACATTCTATCTAGGAGATGTCAATATTAGAAAACTTTTAAAGGTGAGCGACTCACAAGCTTTGCGGTTGATGCGGCCGAGGGAGATTTCTTCTGGTTCCACGAGCTTATCCTCTCGTGAACCAGGCAAGACCTGATTCGTTTCTGTGTCCGTGCTTCCGTCTAGCTCCGTGGTTTCTGAGCAAGTAAACAGCCTTGCCGTCTCCACCTTCGGCTCTGGCTCATAAGTGTCCCGCATGCTCCCTCGGATGTGCACTTCGCCACCTGTTATCGACACGACAGATGCAGCTAGCGGTGCGGTCAACGCATCACTATGGGTCTAAGGATGGGCTTTAGGACTGAGCACAACGGCGAACAGCGAATAGAATTGTACCACTAGAATGATAGTTCTGTCCTTCATGAGATCTCCCTTGAAGCATTGATCTACTATCCAACGGGACGTTTGCACGTCCAGTGCAGCCAATACCTATTAAGATATCAGCAGATGAACGTGCACAAGGAAAATCCTCACGTCATCAAGCAGGAGGATTTCTGCTGTGGAGTAAACGGCGCGGGCAAGTGTTATGCGTGCCTACAGGGAAGACGATATCAGAGCATTTCAGCCATCATCGTTTTGGAAGAACTACCTTCTGTCCTCCGCTTCACACTATATAAGCGAACAAATCGAAGAAGTGAAGTGGCACGCGTACCTAAGCGTGATGCCCTTCTCACCGACTTCGGTCTCGTCTTTAGAGCCGAACATGTCGAGGTCTCTCAATAGTGCGCATTGGTAAATCACTGAAGTAGAATGCTGAGAAGAATCCGGGTTGCAAAGCGAGCAAGTCTTCATACCTTTATTATACCTCTCTTTGTCATAAGGCGACCCAAATAAGATATTCTCCTGCCAAAAAAAAAAGGTGGGATGAGCAATTCCAACGTGCAAGGAAGCGACGAACCTTGATTGTATCACTCAAAACCCATGACTCTTGCGCGGCATACGCGACACCGCACTCCCTGGGCAGGCTGACCCACGAATCCGAACCTACAGGAGTACAGTGCATCTCGCCGAGCAGTGCCATCAGTAGCGATGTCTTCCCCGCCCCCGTCAGGCCTTTCACCACATTGAAGGTGCCTCGCTTGAAAATGATGTCTCCTGCGGCGCGCAGGCAGAACGACCTCTGCGGTCCGTCAGTCGATGCTGTCGACCACAAGAACTCTGATTCGCCGAAGCCGATGTCTTGGTCGTGAGTTAGGGCTATGCTGACGTCTTCGGTGGGCTTGTCATGGTGCGAAAAGATTTCGAGGAGCTCGCTCTATCTCATGAGTCTGGTCAGTAGGAGTACCTGGGTAATCGATTGTAGAGGCTTACATTCGAAAGAAATTGCTGAATACGCCCAATGGAACTATACGCTGTATTCGCAAATGCATCAGTTCCGAAGTAATGGATTGATCGCAGAAGGATACGTACCTGCGGTTACCGGACCTAGGATCGAAGATGCCCTGTCCATGAGCTGCCTAATGTTGTTAAACACTATCCCGCTGGTTACCACTATGCGTTCGCCATCTGTGCACACAGATTTACTGACCGGTAATAGAGGAGAATACGATAGACGCTTCAATACCATTAGCGCCCGATCTTCTCATGAGACAGACAACGCACCCGTCAAGCTCCGATGCATCAGCAAAGTCTAGAAGAGATCTTATAGGTTAGTGCATAGAACGTGAAAAGTCGAAGCGCATACGTATGTCGAATATGTTGTGATCATGCACAAAACAGGGATGAGCTGGCTGCGACATATAGCAAATACATCAGCGGGTGCCAAGATAAATAGCTTTCCAAACATACTTGGCATTGAAGTTGACAAATCCATACATAAGCCTTCTCCAGACCCAGATAAGCTCTTGTTCTCTTTTCTCTTCAAGTTTCTGCTCGATACGCTTCGTCCACCCAAGGAGTTTAATCATACGGATGACACTCAACGCTAATGAGGTCCAGTCAGTGAGGTGTCCTTGCACGGTGAACAAAATCTAGACACTTGCTCTCTGTTTCAAGTTGTACGCGCTCGTCCGTCTACGGGTGTCTCATGAGCGTTATCTAGATGTCGCAAGAGATAAGGAATCATACCGCCTTCATTTTCTCTCTCTGCGCGTATGTCAACAAACTTGCTATATCCTTGAAGACAATGAATAGTACGGCCATGACGGCGAACCCTACGAGTGCACTTCACAGAGGTAAGTATGCATTCAACACAATCCGAACCGACTATATGCACGTACCTCCACCCCAAGATGATGTACAAGAACCATAGGGAGAATATCATCTCGGCCGGGACGCCAACACCTGTCGCAAATTCAGTGAGCACACATCCAAGAAGACGATACACACACATAGCATCAGAAAATCTCGACCAGCAGTGATGTTGTCCAGGTCACTAGTCGCCAGGTTCATAATCCTGCCTACGAGACTGCCAGAGTCGTTGCTAGTCGCGTTCTGTGACGCGGCTTTTGTGTCGGGCGGTTGGGTATTCGCAGAATCTGCGACGCCAGACTTACTGCGAAGCCGCAGCGCGTGCTCAAAGATGAGCGCAGTGAAAACCGCTTCCATGCGCGCCAGCGAGCGCGTCTACACGTGCCTGAATTAGCTCATTGCCGATCCTCGAGGACCATGGCAGGCACCACGTACAGATAAAAACGTGTTCTGCTGCTTCAGGACGGTGTCGGCGATGGGCCCAAGCGCAATCCACAGGATCCAGACCCAGGGTTGCACGAAGGCATCTTCTCTGTCGTTCTCCAGGAAGCTGGTGGTCAGAGTTAGGGCAGGTACCGGGCGGAAGACAGCAAGAACATATACCTCAAGAGCCTGTTAACGCCGATTGGACTCGCCAGGCGGACTAGGGCCTGTTTTACGCATGTGAGTTGCGGAAGGTTCAATATTGGCAAAAGTATGAACATACCATACACAGGATGCACGCAACTTGACAGAAGACAGGTTTGCGGAGGACCTTGAGCATCGCCCAAAGCAGGCTCGTCTTCCCTGCATTGGAAAGTGGGTCCAAATGCTAGATGGGCGGCTCAGCAGCATGAACAATATCAACACAAAGGTGCGATGATTTACGGGGAAACTCTGCTCTGTCAAGTATTTAGCTTGGTCATAGTCGGTCAGCGGCGGCAGCTCCTCATGCGAGAGACGCGAAGCATGGAACGCGCGCCATATGACGGGATCGAGGAAAGTAAAGAATGCCCGCGAGAATAATGACGCTGTCTGTTCGGCATTTATGCCATTTTCGGGGCTCTTGGACCCGGGAGTTCAGCGCCACAAATCGGCATCAGAGGACAGGTATAACACACCTCGTGACAAGATGGGACGTAAGGGTACGGCTCCAGGATAGGGCTGAGGAAGCCTGCCCACGCTGCAAGAGCAACCTTTGCCCAAACGAGCTTGCCCTCGCTTTCGTCTTGCGGGCGAAGCTTGTAGGTCATTAGAGGCCAGATGTCCCGGTACGCATACGTCGCGAAGATAGTACACGCGATAACAGTTAGGTGAGGGGAGAGTGTTAGTGCTGTGCGGGCAGGCACGAGTACACTTGCGAACGCTAGGACGACGGCGAAGGACTGCACCGAGGTTAACGTTTGCCGTGCTGAGACATGTCAGCACCTACCAGAACTTCTACCAGGATAGTGTCAAGCAATAGCCACGCCCTGTTCATAGCGGCAACGATAACAAGGCTAAGCAGTGCGATGAGGGCTGCAAGCCGGGCTATCTTGAGCACGAATATGAGGAGGCCGCCGATACGGAATACATGACGGCGAATGACGTCCGTAGCTCTGCTTGCGCTTGCGTGTGGACACTGTTCCAGCTTGGGTCCCACCGATACTGAAGCACGCCAGATTCGCAGAGTGAGCAGCAGCACGTTCAGCGCAAGCACAGTATTGGCGGCGAGGAAGAACTGCATGTGTCTTGGGATACTTGCAAGACAGTGAGCCCCGGATGTCGACGCGATATAGCAACATACCTATCTAGACCACCCCATCCGAGTTCAACCTGGAACCCCATGCTCGTACTCCAGGAGAAAGCAAGGTCCACGTTGCAGAGCCATGGTTTATATGGCCATCCGTGTCAACTGCGGACACTAAACGTAACATCCAACCTTATTTCCATTCGTCACGGCTTCGCACTGCGGGAGCGCGCCAAATACGCTGGGCGAGACCCATCTTAAGTCCGGAAGAAGTTGAAAGGGCCTGCCCTGTTGTCGAAATGCTGTCTGCCTCCAGCAGGCGTGCTCAATTTCAAAATGAGTGGGATGGGATGGTTTCGAGCCAGCTCAATTTACTGCCTATTCCACGTTCCACCTTTGTACCCCTGTCTCTCGCCAACACGTCTGTCAAAATTCACAATCAGACCAGTCAGACTGAGATATCGATATGTTGCTGGCTGCCCAGACAGTAAGTATGCTGGGTGAAGTGGGCAGGTCAAGGCGGGTCGCCAGGCCTGAGGCGCCGAATCTCCAAGATCTATTGCGGTGATGTTCGCGTCGTGAAGGTTGCTTTGCTTACTTTTGGAGCGGAACAAACAAAGAATCGAGATTCCATGTGAGCGTGACCTCGGACCCCGGAAAACGGCAGCGAGCGTGCTCCCTCATCCCAAGTTGCACACGCCCATTTCTGCGCCCTGGCTTCTGGTTTTCGACTTTTTTTTACAACGCCTGAAGTTCTCAGAGAGAAAGGCGGACCCTTGGTCGAGTTCCCACGCCATCGACCCCGGTGTCATCAGTCCAGTTGACCGCCGTCCGGCCACCTCATTCCTGCAGCTGCCATATACTCCTACCTCGCGTCAGCAAGCTTGTCTTACGCCCACAGGTCCTTCTAGTTACAATAAGAGAGTTGTTGGTTTTCATAAGTGTCCCTTCATGCTGCAGTGTTCGCTGCAGTGAATGTTTTCTTGCTCGCCAATAGTGTGCTCAATCAGGCAAGTGTTCACGCGTCACGGAATCTCGATGTTTTGTTAGTAGCTGTATCGTTCCTTTAGTAGCTGTAAGTAGGATGCCCTGAGTGCTTTTCAGCCCAGCCGAGGAGGACGCCGCCTGTGGTATGATTCTGGGAATATCCTGTCAGGATACTAGTCTAGGCTCGATACCAACCACCAGCGTACCAACCACCCGTATACCCTTGGGATGCGTCCCAAGAACTACCGAGCAGACCGGCCATGAGTTCAGTACTGGTCGGGTTTGGTTATGATGCATGAGCTTCGATCTAGTATACGACAAGGGCAGATGCACACAGTCCGCTGAGCTTGTATATCCTAGTCCGAGTCGAGGCTCGTACACCGGCCATCGCGGACAGTTTGCGGACGGATTCCCCGACGGATGGTGAAGGAGAGGCACGCCGCGAGCCTTCGTTGGCGCGGAGCTGGACGTCGTCGCGGCGCGTTGAGAGGTGCGTGGCTAAGTGATGTGTTTGGCAAGGCACTGATGTCAGTCTGCAAAAAGAGAAGTCATGTTCGCCCACGACGCGGAAAATCACGCTTGACGCGCCAGGGCTGCGTGATCTACGAACAGATGCTAATCTGCGTGATCTACGAACAAATGCTAATCTGTAAGGTCGTCACACTGAGCATCGTAGTGCTGTAAGGTACGTTGGTTGGGTAGGCATCAAGAGGACTGCGCCCGCGTTGCATTCGTCTACGAGGTAGACGAGAGGGTAAGAGACCATACCTTACATCGGTCTATGCCAATGTTCAGAGAGCTAAAATAAATGGGGCATATGAAGATGAAGAGGAGGAGGAAATACGACGAACACCCATAGTTCTACACTACAATAACTTAGCGAAGTACACCTAACACAGGGAAGCCAGGGGAGGGAGGGGAGGAGTAGGAAAGTGGAAGCATGTCATTAGAGGTCGTTACTTCGTTGGTGTTACCTCAGACGTCAATATATCGTTAAATAGAAGTGCGATCACTGAGCAGCAGCCATGAACACCAACGCTGAGTCATCAAGCTCGGCGGCGACGGGCGGGAGGGCGACACCGTCGTATTCGGGCAAGCTGCGGCGTATGCGCCCCGCGACGCGCCTTCGGATGCTCCGCCACTTGGGGGGCTGCGGCACCTGCTGCGTATACGCCGCGGCTGCCTTTGCACCTGCAAGCTCGGCGTCGCGGAGGGCGTCGTGCAAGAGACGGAGGACGTGCTGGCGCGAGCGGCGGAGGAGCGTCGTGCTTGCGAGGCGGCGTGCGTGCATCTGGTCGAGCGCCGTCGAGACGAGCGGGCGGGAAAGTAGGTACGCTGGGATGTACCAGATACGCGGGGCCGCATTCATGACACTGGGTGCGGAGGCGAGCTTGGCCTGCCGTGCCAGACGTCGCCGCTTGAGGATGCCAACAACGCAGGCCTTCATCCAGAGAAGGTGCATCGGAAGAACGCAGCTGAGGACGATTGTGGGCGTCCAGAGGACGGCTGCGGGTGCCCAGGGGCCGCTTGCGGGAGAGAGGGCGCGCAGAGCGTACGTGATGGTGATGTAGATGTGGAAACATATCCGGGTGAGGAAAAAGACTGTGGCGAACACCTGCGGAAGAGATTAGCACAGTTTAGACATGACTGCTGAGGTGAAGCATACATAGTCGTTGCGAAACGCTGAGTTGAGGCTTCCAGCGGCCAAGAGGAAAGTGGGCAGTTCGAGGATGCACAAAAGTGCGAATAGGGAAGAGAAGTCGTACGGGATGATGAGAAACGTCAAGAGTACGATATAGATTAGATGGTGACTATTCCTGGGATCAGCGATGCCGTAATGAACGATCGCGCTAGAACTTACATCCACCCGGTCAGGAGAGATATAGAGGACCGATAATGCATTGAGCCTACGAGAAGGTCGCTGCGTACGAGGTCACGACATGACTAGACGTCCTCACGACATGCCTTACCTAGCCAAGTATCCGACGAAGAAGCAGCAGCTGTAGTCGGCGAACGAGTGAAGGATGTCAACGTTCCGGGTTTGGCACCAGTGCCAGAGATATGGCAAGCTGACAAGTGTCATCGTGGCACTATGGACGCGACTGTTAGCAGTGCTCGTCGTGTTATCGCATCGAGTACGCACCTCGAGAGCGTGGAGAGCACCCAACTCTTCTGCCGTTCCGTCTGGGACTTGCCCCGCATACGAAGAACGCCCTGGACCGCGTAGTAAAAGGCGAAGCACAGCGTAGCCGACGCTGCTGTGCACGCGAGAAGGCGGGGTTTGGCGGCGGGAACCATGACCTTCATCGTCCTCAAAGGGGACGACAACCTTCGTGGTCGGGGAAGAGAAGTTGGCCTACGAGGGACAGAGGCAAGAATCAACCACGGCGAGCCGGTATTAGAGCGCTACGTGCGGTGACAGTATACGTAGTGACAGCCGGGGGGTCGCCGAATGGGGGATCGCGAGAAGTGCCCATGTTCGTGGCTTATCTAGTCACGTCCGATACGATAGTGTGTCAGTCGGCAATCGAGGGCTGCGCTCCGGGTACGGGAAGCAGGGATGGGACAGCCGCGGGCGATGCTCTCGTCGTATCAGCGTGTCCAGTTCGAGCCCTGGACGCACGTTGCACTTTGTTTTGATTCGTCGTTCCCAGCCACACGCACATAAGATGCCCATTTACGGCATGCTATAGATTGGGTCAGATGTCCTCTAGAGGATGAGATACCGCTCCAGACCGCTCTCCCGGTATATCGACCATCGCGCATAGATAAAATCTAGGGACTCAATCGGCTTGAGCCGTCTCTGCCAGATCAGCAGTGTTGTGCTGCACTCTGCCCGTAGGCAGCGTGGACTTACTAGTTACCCGTTCAGGGTCACCACAAACGTTGTGACGCACTGAGATGGCTACGGCACAGGGTGGTAGGCGCAGTTTGTTTCTCGAGAAAACTCAGGCAAAAGTGGCTGAACAAGGCCCAGTTATTCCTCGATTTCACGCCGATGCAAACTGAGGAGAAATTGGTGCAAAATCAGCCAAAAAGGTCTGAAACACAGGAAAACTGAGTTTTGCCTTTAATTTTTTTCAAGTGAAAACCGGAGAAAGTTGGGGCCTTGTTGAATCAGTTTTTTGGCTAATTTTACGCCGGAAAAAGCGCGCTTACCACCCAGTATGGTGGACGACCACTCCGATCAGAGACCTGTCTTGGTCCAATCGCAAGCTGTGCAAAGTGGTGCCACGAGTCTTGGCATGCTATGCCCTGATTTGTGCAAAGTTGCTCTTCCGTACAGATCACCACCCTGACACTTGCTCTGTGGGCCTTGACCTGTGCATGAACACGTTTGGTTGTTGTGTTCTGCGAGAGCTGTGCGAATGTCGTGTTTCCCTATACGCAGCCACAAGTATCTCGAGAATATGCACTCCCACGCTGAGCAGGATCCGAGCGTCTGATCGCCATCCTAAGTTTCCTAGCGGATCTTACAACTCTATAACTGTTTCAAAAACGAGAGACACTTTCGGGTCAGATTACATAACTCGGAACTGGAGAACGTGCGAGAGTCAGTGATGAAACGGGTAGTCCAAATCCTTTGCAGGATACTGTGCATGCTGAGTCTGATGGGTTCCTATGGAGCGGACGTGAGTATCGAGATGATTCGGAGCACGCTGCCACGGTGGATGTATGTGCGCAGGCAAATGCACGTTATTAAAAAATACTATCTACGTGAAGCAAAGGTTTATACCGGAGCTAAGTGGGAATTTTCAACGGAGTTCTGAAACCAGTCTATCGTTCCTGGAACAGCAGTAAGAAGTAGACATCCCGATAGGTGCTGGTAAGTACTAACGCACTAAGTAACGCACTAATGGCTACGCTGTCATCCCGTGACACTGCCTTTGGGGTCCTGATCATTTATCGTCGGACGCTCAGGTTGTACCAAGCCCCTTTGAGCTTGCTCACTCCTTGTGACGCTCGTCTGTGAGTCGCCACTAAGAACCGGATAGTCGTCGACGAATGGACCAACGAGTCTTCTCGAAGGAGCGGGGGTGTGAGGCAGGGCCCCTCGATGGGCGTCTAGGGCCTCGAGGGTCCTGCGCGTAGCAGGATCGCGTCGCGTACGACGCGAAGCTTTGCAGGCAGCGGGCGACTTTGTCGCTCGCTCGTTGTTTTTGTTGGGGGGCTCACTACGCATCTAGTCGGCCGCTCGTCGAGAGCGCAGACAGTGTGTGTGGGCAAAAAGTGATGATTTTCTAGCTACTACAGACGTGCTTAAGGCCTCGTCCCGGAGGCAGACTGTTGCTACAACGGTAAGACATGCGGGAAGATGGCGGGATGCTCTGATGTACGGAGACTACTCGGTGCGCGCCGCCCGTCGCTGAGACACGACCAGGCGCGGCTAGCGCGCCGAGGCACCCGTCGGTCACACTCCTCCTACCCTTGGGTTTAGGTTGACCCTGGGTTGACCATGTTCGTTCAGCGTCGAACGTGCCATCGCACGGGTGGACGCGGAAGTATTGTCGAACGAGTCAGACGAGACGTGAAGCAAATCTAGAGAAAAATTCGCAGCTACGTAAGCGATCGAGGTGCGTTTTATCTCATGAAGTGTGTATCACGGGGTGGAGAGGCGAGAGATCGTATAGCGCGGAGGGTTAATCGGGGATAGTACCTGTGAACGTGCTCAAGACAGCGGGGCAGTCATTAATCGTCTCGAACAACGTTGTCGTAAGCGATCGAGGTGCGTTTTATATCATGAAGTGTGCGTTACGAGGTGGACACTGCTTCTGCGGGTTTACACCGTGACGGTGGAGAGGCGAGAGACCATATAGCGCGGAGAATTAATCGGGGATAGTGCCTGTGAACGTGCTTAAGACAGCGGGGCAGTCATTAATCGTCTCGAAAAACGTTGTCGATCAGCTTGTGCACACGTTCCAGATTAGCGGAAGCTCCTCCAGGTGCTGCTCATTCCTGGCATTTTCCCTCGAAGCCGCTGGAAAGAAAAGTCGCCGGTATTTGGTGCCTTCGTTAATTTCTGCATTCAAAGCTGATGCGTGCATGCGGGTCTAGAGATTATCAAGTCTCGTCGCTAACAAAAACTTAGAGACAGTGGGCAGCAACAGTTTGACTTAAGGAGACCTGCAGCGACTTTGTTCCTGGCATGCTCCTGTTCCCCCCCTTCGAGCCCCCCGCCCTCTCTTCAAGCTTGCTAAGATGGGCAAGGACCGCACGCACCCGCTCAAAGCTCTCGCTCTGGGCTGCCTCGGTGCTGGAGTTTTCAAGTCATACCCGTGAGCGACCACGTTTAGCTAGCAGTGCCCGACTGCTTACCGTAGCCGCAGCTCGGATTCGAACGCGAAGGCATCGCTCGTCGCGACAATGAGTGTCATCATCGCCATCTCCTACAAGCACCTGCGCCCGTACCTGATTTTCGCATGGATGTGCTTCTTCCGTCCGATTGGCAAGAAGGAGGCTGATCAGCGGCAGAGACTGGACAGCGTAAGTTCCATGAGCCACGGGAATGCTCCCACAGTGATTGATTTTTACTGCCAGTTCTATGCAGGACAGGCCGATGGTAGGGTTTACATCCCAAAAGAGATGCTGAACACAAGTCGCTGATGACACTCCGTAGTGTATGACGCCACGCGTCACCGGCTGTTGCGCGGAAGACAGACCTTACTTCGTCTATGTGCAGCACACATTCGCCACATGAAGAAAGAGAATCCCACAAAGCCCCTGGTTTGGGTCGACATTGGCGGCGGCACCGGTAAGCCCCCGGCATTCGATCTTCGCAAGCAAACCTACAGCGTTTCAATCCAGGATTCAACATTGAGGAGATGGACAGCTATTTCCCAATCAAGGACTTCGACAGCGTGTATCTCATCGACCTGTGCGAACCGTACGTGTCCCATGTCCCATCGGTGCCGACGTGGCATTTACACACGCATAGGCTGCTCGACGTTGCTCGCCGACGATTCGCCGCGCGGGGGTGGAAGAACGTGCAGGTGCTCTGCCAGGACGCCACGTTCTTTAGCCTGCCCGAGTGGGACAACAACCTCGTCAGCGCCCGGGGTGCCGTCAGGTGCGTGTACTATATCCACACTGCCCACGCGCTATCTCCAAATTCTCATCGGAACGCCGCAGCGTGTTCACGCTCAGCTACTCGTTGTCGATGATCCCTTCCTATTTCGCGCTGCTCGACCGCATCGACGAACTGTACGTCCCCCTCTCGTCCGGATCTGCGGCAGACATCATTGACGCGGTGCCGCTAGGCTCGACCCGGCCGGTCTGCTGGGTGTGGCTGACTTTTACACGTCGTCGAGGGCGAGTACGCCGCTCGAGCGCGCTATTGGCAATGGCAATGAGCGCCGTACTGGGTTCTTTAGTCGGTGGTTCTGGCAGATATGGTGTGTACATCGTCATTTGCTACCAGTATTCTAAACTTGATGCGCTGTAATCTGCATATAGGTTTGATCTCGACCATGTGTCTTTGTCTTCTGCGCGTCGCGAGTACTTGGAATACCGCTTTGGAACGTGAGTTGTCCGTCCTTGCATTATATCTCTGTTGCTCATGCAGATTATCCATAGCATTAAGTATGACGCCCATATTTACTCCATGCTTTGCCTAACTTATTCTACAGGTCCTACAATGGGCGGAACCACATGATCCCTTGGCTAGTCCAAATGTAGGCTTATTGCTGCCCTCCCCTTCTGTGCGCCCTAACAAGCTTTCTTAGCCCCTACTACGTCTTCCTCGGCTGCTCGCGCTCGCGCTCGACGGCACGCGCGTTCAAGGCATTCGAGATCGAGGCGGGCAACATCGTAGGCTCGGGGCACATTACGCCGCTACACTCACCGCCCGCATCACCGATGAGTCCGACGCCGTCCTTCTTTTCGAGCGTGACAGCCGTCGACATGCCTGAACTCGAGCTTAGACCTAGTGCTCTCGAGGACAAGCTAGCGAAGCAGAACAGGCTCGCGTTTCCACTGTCGTCGTTCCACTATCAGAACCGCTACTGGCGGCTGCCCTTCCTCGAGCAGAAGGAGCACGGCAATTTCAGGACGTGGATCTACGGCTTTACGGTGCGCATATACCTGGTTGTTCGGATATGATCCGTGTCTGACTAAACTTCTGTCGTAGTGGGAAGACCCGGAAGTTGATATGCAACACTTGAACCTCACTCGTGAAGACTCGCTCTTCGTCATTACGTCAGCAGGCGACAATGCGCTGCACTACGCGATAAGCGCTCGCCCGCGGAGGATTCACTGTGTCGATATAAACCCCTGCCAGGTGCGTCTTGTCCAGGTATGAAAGCATTCCAATGCTGAGATTTAACCGCAGGGCCACCTCCTGGAGCTGAAGCTCGCGGCCGCCTCCGCATTGACGTATGACGAATTCTGGGCGATGTTCGGCGAGGGCTACATCGCAAACTTCGAGGAGATCCTCGACCTGAAGCTCTCCCCGTTCCTGTCCTCGGTCGCCTACCAGTTCTGGCGCGCGAACGCGAACGCGTTCCGCTCGGGCTTCCACACGTGCGGGTACTCGGGGCAAGCAGTATGGATCTCTAAGTGGGCGTTCAGGCTCGGTGGTGTGCGCCGCTGGGTCGCGCGCATGGCCGACGCCGAAACAGTCGAGGAGCAGGGACGCATCTGGGACGAGCACCTCCGCCCAGTGCTCCTCTCTCCATGGTTCGACAAGCTCTGCCTCACGAACCCGATCTTCCTCTGGAACGCGCTCGGCGTGCCGAGAAACCAGATGAACTGCTTCCTTAAGGAGGGTGTCTCAGCGCTGCAGTACGGTGCGGAGACGTTTGATCCCATTGCACAGTGAGTTCCTTGGGCGATGTATCCAACGGTATGAATTGACAAGGGTTTTAGTAAAACACACATGCGTACCGGAGCCTACCACTACCTTCTGGTACGTCGTTCGTTGCCTCCCGCAGATACCTCGTCTTATCTGTATGCAGTGCCTCTTGGGTCGCTACACTCATGAATCGTGCCCTCTCTTCCTTAAGCGCGAAGGTTTTACTGCGCTCAAAGAAAATAACTGCGAGCTGCTCGACTCCTTCCGCTTGCACACCGACTCCATCATGAAGTAAGTAACGCTTTTATTTTGTTCGGAAACGTATAAATCAGTCGCTCTGTAGTGCACTGCAGGGTCTTGCTGATGGCTCTATCACCAAAATGGTCGTCATGGATCACATGGACTGGTTCGACCTTAACGACGTACGCCACACTCATCCTCGCGTTGGGATTGTTACTGACACCAGCCTTCATCACAGGGCCCCGGCTGCCCGGTCGATGCCGAAATCTCACAGATGCATCGAGCCTTGAGCGAGGGCGGCGCCGTCTATTGGCGCTCTGCTGCGCGGGAGCCATGGTACATCAAGAACTTCGTGAACAAAGGCTTCGAGGTCGAGGCATTGGGTATTCGGCAGCATGGCGGAGCACCTATTGATCGGGTGAACATGGTATGTCGCCGCTGATGTAAATCTATATGGTATGTTGATAAACATTTATTGCAGTACGCGAGCTTCTACCGCGCGGTCAAGCTTTAAGGCGGTTGTTAGAAGTACTCTTCATTGGATGTCTGGGGCTACTAGTACACGTGACGAGGGTATATGAGACGCAGAAGCAAACTTTTACGACATCTTTCATTCCCATCTATGTGGCCTAAGTTGTACTTTGGAAACGATTCATGTCCTGTTCAGCCTGCATGCCGTTGCTTGTTCAATGAGAGCGTGGACGGGTGTTCGGGGTCGTGACGAGTCTGCCACCGCCGGGTTTAGCGCACATCCTTCTCTCTTTCCCTCAAACATGCATACGTCCCCGGCTCGTCTCCGGAAATTGTCTGATTCGTGCTTATTTACGCCACGAAGATGTCTTCTCAGTATCATACCCTCTCTTGTGCTTCACAAGGCAGTTTTGCGGCTTTTTGAGCTGCTCGCCGTTGGAGACGTTGTGTATACTTGTTTGTTCCCGCGGGGTGTGCGTGTTTCGCGTTTGATTGGATGCGAGCTCTTTCTCTTTCCTCGTCGTGTGCGACGCCCAGTTGGTCTGCAGGGTGTCGATAGCGTCTGTAAACCGTAGCCAATAGAACGTAGACGCGGGAAGGATGGCCCAAGTGTCTGAGTTGAAGTCGCTGGTGAAACAGCTCCAAAGCAATCCGACGGAGCAGGTACGCAAGCAATCTTCCTAGGGCCTCCCTGTCAGTTCGATTTTACTGACCTACGTCGTACTTCGCGCGTTCAGGATATCCTGGGGATCCTGCAGACTCTGAAGGAGCAGCAGATTGTGACCGAGGCCCTTCTGCGGGTGAGTGGCGGAGCTTAACTGAAGAATACGTGCTCAAACCCGCTGCAGGAAAGTAAAGCCGGTCTCGCGGTTGGAAAGCTGCGCACACATGCATCAAGAGTCGTCGCTGACCTCGCGAAGGAGATTGTGAAGAAGTGGAAGCAGGCAGTCGAGCAGGAGAAGCAGGGTGGAGGAAAGTCACCCACGACGAACGCCGCGACCAAGCTCCCTCGTGCGTAGCCAGGTCTATTCTTCCGGTTGTTTCGTCTAATCATCCAGCTTCAGTGCGAAAACAATCCACGTCCGTCCCCCCTCCGACGCCTACCACCCCGTCTAGCACCGCTGGCACGCCAAGCAACATCAAGTCCGACGTACGAACGGCCAAGAGCGATGGTGTCGTCATCGCTAAAATGACCGGAGATGCCACACGAGACAAGTGCCTGGAGCTAATTTACGATGCGCTGGCCTTTGATTCTGGGGCCCGTGAGTCATCCGCGTTTCTCGTATGCATTGCGCTATCTTTCCTGACTCATTGTGCAGCATCTGAACAGATCCTTGGGAAGGCGAAGGCAATCGAGGCAGCTGCTCTCACCGACAACGGTGGTGTCACGGCAGCATATAAGGCCAAGATTCGAACGCTCTTCGTCAACCTGAAGGATAAGAACAACCCCGGCCTCCGGGAGAGCGTTGTCGCAGGAGACTTACCAGTCACACGGTTCTGCAAGATGACTAGCGCAGTCCGTGCATTCGCCTTCCCATCTTGGAGCCATTGCTAATGAGCCGCACGATTGCAGGAGATGGCCTCTGAAGAGAGAAAGGCCGCCGATAATAGAATTCGAGAAGAAAATCTGTTCAAAACTCTGGGCGCTGAGGAAGTGCAAGCAGAAACTGACGCCTTCCAGTGCGGTCGCTGCAAACAGGTGCGTATTCGCAGATAATTCACAAACTCGTTTTAACTTCAGTTGTTCTCGAAGCGTAAATGTCGATACCGTCAAGCACAAACTCGCAGCGCTGATGAACCTATGACCGTACGTCCCACTCTTCTGTGCAATCAGACATTTCCTGACTGGGTTCTACTGAATCCACAGACATTCGTAACGTACGTCCTTTGTATCAATCGATCCTCTGTCCAAGAGCACCATACTCACATACTCTCTATACAACAGCTGTACAGTATGTAACAACAGGTACGCCCGTCCCGTCTTTCCCCTATCCTCTGCTCATGCCCTTGCCTCTCCAGATGGAAGTTCTCATAAGCCTGTGGCTACATATATTTCCGGCTATGGTACATTTTCTCTAATCGTTGCTACTCATCCTGCGTCGTTCTCCGGAGGACCTGTTCTTGCCGCTTATCCCCTCTTATTGCTTGCTACTTCCCGCCCCGCTATATGCCATCACTGCCGATATCACGAGGGCAATGCAAACTGTACCATCTATTCTTTGCCTAGAACATACCATGAATGCAGTATTGAGATTCGATCTAGGTACGGTCTATTGACTGATAATCTAATAGATCTGCTGAGTTTAGACAAGTATCTACACGCCCACTCTCAGCACTCAAATTCTTACAAAACTTGGCTGTAGACATCCTAGCTATCTAACTCATCATTGGAGTGCTCGGTGTCCATGAAGACTTGCCGCTCTCGTGCAGAGGTGTTCACAGATAGGCTCTTAGCGGGCTGACTTACTACGACCAGCCAGATGTACTCGTTCCGCAGGTTTTCGCAAAAGCACGCTAATACAGTGACTATTGACGTCCGTTGGCCTGCGCTGATTAGCGTAGCCACTTCGGTGCATACATGGATTAGGTCACAAACTTCAATCTTGCAGCTACAGTCGTATATTGTACATTGAGCCCACAGGCCCGGGAGTCGGGGCTTTACAGGCCTGATAGCGTACCAGTCCTGACTGCCGCATCGTGGGCGCGAGCGAGCATGCCGTACTCGGGGAGGTACCTCCATCGTCCGTTAGCATTGCCTACCACCACTCACGGCGACTACGCACCTGTCGAAATACGGCAGCATCTCCTTGGCGCCGGGCGTGTTGCGCCAGTCACGCATGAGCTCGCACGCGATCGCGAAGAGCGAGAGGACCTGCACGCCCGCCGCGCGCATCCGGTCGTTGGCGTCTTCCGCCGTCTTGACGTCGAATGTGCCCGATGCGTCGCTGTTCGCGAACACGGCATAGCCCTCGGCGCGCAGCGAGAGCGCGAGGAACGCCGTGCACACCTGCGGGGCGGGTCAGCGGGCGGGAACGAAAGCGGGCACGGACCGACGTACGTCGGTGGTGATGCCGGCGATGATGACCTGCTTCTTGCCTGTCTTCTTCACGGCGGCGCGGAACTCGGCGTTGTCCCAGGCATTGACTTCCCCGTTGCGCTTGATGAACGGCGCTTTCGGGTGCATGTCGATGATCTCCTGCGGGAGCGGGCCATTCGGGCCTCGGTAATCCCCTTGGTTAGCTTTGCGCGCCAGTACGGGAAGATTGCCAGTATCTACCAGTCTCTGCGCTGGTGGTCAAAATCGTGGGCAGATTGAACACCTTGCCGAGCGCGGCGTGCGCGAGGATATTGCTCTTCACAGCTATCGGGCCCTGGTCGCGCGCCATCTGGTACAGACCCTCCTGGTGGTCTACGACGAGCAACATTGCGTTTTCTTTGTCGAGACGCTCGTATTTGAACACTACATGACAGTATCAGCTCGGGTGCGGGAGTCTGGAGAAAGAGGCGCAGAACTCATGCTGGTGGTGAGCTGTGACATGCGGGTGTTTGGGCGATGACCTGGACTGCTAGAAGCCGAGGGCGGTATTTGAGCTCCTTATACTACTCTGACGGCCAGTGATGGTCTCCCGCTGTTTCCTACCCGACACGCATGCATGCTAGAAGCGTGATCTGGCTCTGTCTGACTGCAAACGTTGGGGTTGTCGGCTAGTCGCTGAGAAACCGTGTTGGGACATCGGATGACCACAGAGAGATAGCAGCTGCCCTTCTGTTCACAGCGCCTTGGAGGATGTCGTGCACACTCGCCGGCCCAAGCCCGTACTTACAATGCAGCGCATCAAATCTTGCAATATGCGACCTGCCTCATGAGAATTCGACTGCTTCTTTGGCCGGCTGCGATGATCTGCCAATCCAAGAGCACTCCAACACGAAGCAAGGGCATGCACTCACACGGTAGACAAGCTTCCCTGCGATCGGCACACGCAAGCAGGGAGATGGGGACGGTGTGAACTCAAGACCTGTGTATTTCGCCAGACCACCACTGCGTGAACTTTGACATCTTCCTATGTGTTATATAACCTCGAAACCCGAGATCTACAAAGATTTCTAGGGGGCTGCATTCATTTGGTCTTCTCGTCCCAGCTGTCACGAGAGAATCAGCGGTGCCGAAGGTTAACAACGGAACAGTTCCCACATTTTCAGGAAAAGCTTCCAGAGTATTGAGAACAGCAAACCTTGCAGACCGTTTGCAAGGATGCGCGTCTTGAGGCCGCGGCCGAACAGGCCCCTGAGGCCGTCCGCGGCGATGATGGCTTCGGCAGCCTCTGTGTAGCTCACGCGGCGTTCGTGCACCTGCCTGTACGTCTTGACGACGCGCAGCGAGTTTGAGATCGTGTCAGAGACAACGGACGCGGAAAAGCCTATGAAGGCCTGGCGCAGCAGCGTCTGCGCCAAACCGTGGGCCTCGGGAAGATTTGCCTCCAGGAAGTTGTACGTGCCGAACCAGGGGTAGTGCCCGGCGAACGTCGCCGCCGCGGTAGCGAAGGCACCGTACCAGAGCGTGCCAAAGCCGTACTTCTTGACCTGGAGACGGCGTGAGATGACAGGACGAGGAATGGAGGAAGGTGGCGTACCCTAGCCCGCAAAATTCCCAATCCCGCCTTTCCGTCCGTCTGCATAGTCGTCTTCACGGTGTCAACGGGCATCAGGATCATGCGGAATCCTGCCGCAGCAAGGCTCGCAAAGGCGGTCTGGATGAGCTTCGGCAACTTCTTCATGTACGAGTTTGAGCTCAGGAGGGCCAGGATGCCAGCGTTGGCTGCCGTATCGCCGAACCGCGCGACGGGTCCTTGGATGAGCGCAGCCGTCAGGCCTTGGTAGTACCGTGTCCAGCCCCCATCGGCGTAAAGCGTCTTGATCGCGGCGGTCATGAATGTGCCGTAACGGTACTGGTAGTTCATGACGGTACGCAGAGGCATGAGAGTCAGCACCTGTAGAACCATTGCTGACACCGGTCGTGAGCATAATGGTGTGATAGATGCAGTAGCATCGTACCCGCAGCACCACTCAGGCCTCCACCCAACGCGGACCACAGAGCTTTTTTCAAGTCAAACTGAAGGACATCTTAGCACTGGCACATCGCTTGTTGAATGGGACGTACATGGACATCATCGGCCTCGATGAAGCCCTTGATGAACAAAACTGCAAAGAATATCCCAAAGCCCGCTAACATGGTGTACCAGAAAATCTTCCACCAACTCCTCTTCTTCTGCAGTTCCTCGACATTCTTGGTGGGCTCCCGCGCGAGATTGCCTGGGTTCTCCTCGTCGTGAACCTCCTGGTCGCTCACGAGCGCAGCTGGAGGTAGCAGGGGCTGTCTCTCGCCCGCAGCGTCAGTGGACATGGTAGTTGGGTATCAGAAGAGAGTCGGAGGGTCCTCATGCTATCGTCTGCATTTAGTCTGGGAATACGTTTGCTTAGAAAGACGAATGCTGGCTCGGGCAGCGCTTTATCTAATCTTGGTTTGTCCCCGCGATCGTCTTCGGCCAATCACAGCTCAGTACTCAGAATCGGCGTGTGGTCGGAAAGTGTGGGTATATTCAACGTTCAAACGTTCACCCACGAGGTGTAGACACAGGGTGGTAAGCATAGTTTTTTTCTTGAAGAAACCCGGCCAAAATTGGGAAAACAAGAACCAATTGTTCCCCGGTTGTATATTGGGGGAAATTGGTGCGTAAATTGGTGCAAAACCGGCCAAAAGAGGCTGAAATGCGACAAAACTAGCGGAAAAGGAAGTTTTGTCTCCAAGTTTTCTCGAAAGAAAACCGGTTAAACACAGGTTCTTGTTCGCCTAGCTTTTGGCTGGTTATGGCAAGCAAACAAACTGCACCTACCACCTAGTGAGAGGATGTGGTGAGTATTTACTGTCTTGTCGTAGAAAAATTTAGTTGGCTTTCGCGTGAGTCACGTGACAATGAAACGTACAGGTCTTAAAGAATGACAGGAACTTACCAGTACCACGGAATTGTGAGGTCATATTTGTTTTTGACAGCAACTCTAAGGGCCGTAGTTGTTGGGGTAGATAGTGCACCTGAGACATGCGATACATCACATCGTCTCACACATAAATGCATCATGTCTCGCTGTCTTTAATTTAGGAGAAAATTTACAATAGTTTCGGAGTAGTTGCAGCTGCCACCGCTCGAGAGACCGCCCGCCTTAGCTCAGCGCATCCAGCGTATCATTCCATGCGACATTTGCAACCCACCGGCGCACGATCTCGCGGACAAGTGCAGGTTGGTCGTGCGTCACGAAATGGCCGGCGCGCGCCATGAGCACGAACGCGAATACACCCGCACCCTTGCCGCTCCCGTCACTATCACTACTGTTGCCGACAGCGCGCACGGTGGCTTCATGCCCAGGCCAAGGCAAGTCAGGTGCATCATTGAATGAGGATTGGTACGGCGACGGAAGAAGGCGAAGCTATGATGTTTGCATGAGTATGTAGTTGCAGAGAGCGATCGAAGAGAGAGCATACAGTCGAGAGCACGCCCGGCCAGCCGCAGTTAGCATCAAGCTTACCGATATAGTCTACATGCAAAAAGAAATTAGCTTCACCCTTCTCAGATGCAGATGTGAGACAAGCATACGCAATACTCGGTAGCCGGCTTTAAGGAGAGGTTCGTATAGAAGATACGCTTGCTGTGCCCTGAAAAGCCATGCGTTATATCAGCCTTGAGCTTGAGAACGACCATCCCCCGTACATGTCGCCCGTTTCAAAGAACGCCTTCCACACGTCCATACGAACGAATGTAAAGTTGAGCGCATCGGGTACGCCGAGCTTCTCCTTCGTGCTTGCGAGGTTCATGAACGCATCTACGTATACTGCGGCAGGATAGCAGTCCTCAATCGTACCGTTGCACTGTTAACGCCCAGTTAGCACCACAAATTAAATTGAATGTTGGTGACAGGACACGCACGCGGAGCTCGACGTTCTGCAAGTCCCGCCCTTCGACAAGCTCCGGGTGTATGTTGTTGCATATGTGTATTGAGTCGAAGCGGCGAGTGATGGTATCGTCCATATAAGCCATTTGGATGGCCTCGAGACACGAGGGCAGCTCCTCGTAGGCCGCATGGCAGGCACTCGCATTATAGAAGTCAGTGAGGTAGCACCGTTGTTGCAGCGCCCAGCGATTGTGCGAGAGCCAGTCCTATGGAGTGAGTTGATCATATTAACAAGCAAGAGCCTTGAGACTGCTGGGACGCACCGACATCGGGTTGCTAACCATCATACTCTCAAGATTGATATGTTTTGCCCCGGGAACACCGCGTCCTGCGGCGAGCGCAGCATTCTGCTCGTGAATTACTGTTGCAATGTGCGGCACATAAACCTTTTTTCCCGTATCTGTAAGTGCACCAACTGCCAAGGTACGAGACTTACACCACCATACGACCCACTGGCAAGCACGAACTGGTTCCTGCATAGCGTCAAGTTAGATTGGCGTGAAGTGAAAGCTAGAGTAAGAGACATGCTTGGCAAGGTGCGGATGCAGATGGAAGAACTTGAGCAGGAAGTCATATACATCGTGCGCCGCGTCGCGCGAGTTATTGACCATCTTGCCATATGAATACCCTACGCCAATAGGCTGCGGGAAAGCATCATCATTTAGGTGTATAAAAGTGGGTAAGTCGAGAATGACGGTAAGTCGAGAATGACGTACGTGGTCAAGAGCGAGAAGATTGTGGTGTTCAGACCAAGCGTCGGGGTTCGGGTATGCCGTGAGGTTTGCAGAGATCTTGCAATGAGATTCTAGTGAGGTAGTTGGAAGTGGATCAAACCGGGATGTGTGAGCTTGCGATCTGCTGGGATGACTGGGAAGGGGGCTGGGACGGACGGGTGAAGGACATGTTAGAAGATTTTAGAGAGAAGGTTGCGCCTTGTGTACATGTATCTGATACCGAAGTACACAGAGCAGCATTTCGAATTAGCACTGAAGTGTAATTTGCAGGTGCCACACAGTACAGAAGCTCAAGAAATCTAGAAGTGAACAATGATGCGCCTCTAGCCAAATTAGGATTGATCCGCCATCTAACCTGTTGTAGCAACCGACGGTGCCTCACGGCCACTCCTTGCCGCTGTCTTTCCCACTACGTAGCAGCAATACCCACTGTGTGGCCGTGCACCAATACATTCGTCTCAGCATGCATGACGCGAACGCTGCGCGCGTCCATGTGGAATGCATATCAGGCCTCTCACAGGGCTGATAAAGCTCTTGGAAATAAAGATGCCTGACTCAACTTCCCCACCAGGTCCCTAGCAATTAATGCCCACTAACCACCAGCAAACATGTCAAAGATGAAGCAAGACTACGTTCTCCCTGTTGAGGCTGTTCGCGAATTGGCCTACGAGGGCGGCAGACATCGCAGGCGTTTTTCAGCGTGCTCGGCTGTCCTTGTTTTAGTTGCTCTCGGAGTAACCACTATCTTCTTCACATTCTATGGCCACCTCACGAGGGCGTTGGTGCTCAGCCACCATGGAGGCATCAAAGAGCTGGGCCCATTCTACCACAGTGTCATGACGCATGACGACCTATGTGCTGGCGGAGTTTCGCACTCGGGATACATTGGTCTGCAAGGCGACAGCGAGGACACGCCGAAGAGATCTTTCTTCTGGTGCGTAACCCGCCCCCCTGCGAAACTGTTTTTCCGAAGTGCCCCTCAGGTATTTTGAAGCGCAACACGACTCTAAGAACGCGCCTGTGATGTACGTCCCCGTGCTGTGAAGCTGAAACCATATAACATGTTGCCCAGACTAACCGTCGGTGGCGGTCCTGGATCTAGCGGAATGGTTAATCCACTCTTCGGTCGTATGTTTTAACATAGCACATGCAGTCCTCTACAGTTCGGCATGGGGTCCTTCTTTCTCGCAATATTACCCGGTACACCTGGAGGCACAACACGAGCCCATCTGTTTATCCCTTCTCTCTGGAAGCCCATGCGCTCTGCCGCACGCACGGAGGCAGTGTTTTCCGCGAGTGCGCGCCACTGCACGCGGCGCAAACGGAGATCTTCGAATGCGAAGCGGAGGAGCAGTGCCACGGCGGTGCGGGTGACGTGTGTGCGCTGAAAGGCAGGCAGCGTGAACAGCAAGCCGATCTCAGTAGCCAGGTTCTCTGGGGTGTTCAGGAGGCCGACAATGCCTGCGACAGTCCCCGCATCTCCTGGGTCACATTTGCAGGAGCAGCCTCGTACGCCCGTTTTGTCTATCATCGCGAAGAGCACGCGTGACGGGTCCTGCCGTATCGCGTCGACCCACTCGTTCAACAGGTCGACGCTAGCGAAAGGCGCCATCGGCATGTATTTGAAGAGCTCAGGGTGTCCGGCGAGACCGTCGAAGAAGGCTTGGCCGTGAAGCGATGGCTAGGGTCAACAGCAGCGCAGCCAGTTAGGAAATTCTGGAATAGCTGCTGTCCTACGCCACGCACCTCATACGGACTTAGCTTCAGCACATCATTCTCTAGTTCGCAAGCAGGGTAGCGGAGTTCCAGAGCGCCAGAACTGGCGTCCGACATATCTTGAAGGGGCGTGAATGTCAGCCCTGGATTGCGTTCACGACCGGGGCGTAGTGGGCGAATTTAACGACGAAAACATAGAAATCCGGTGTTGTCGAGTATTATAAACCATACAGCACACAGCAAGCAATACGACAGTTGCCATCTTCTCGTTATTGGAAGCGGCGCAATATCAACGGAAAGTAGCCTGTATATGTACAATCTAAGATCACTCCTAGTCTCTTTGATTTTGAGGAGTGGCAGTGCCGTCTTTCCTACATGATGCGGTGCAAGTTACTCTCCCAGAGGCAGATGCTTAGTGCAAGTCCATATTACTCTCATAGACTTGACCAACACATGACCTGTAGCCGGGGCCTGCCTGTGCGGATTCGAGCGCTCAAGCTAGCCCAAGTCAGAGTCGCGGAGCGAGTCTCCCAGAGGCAGACCGTACGAATCACGTATGGGAACCCGCCACCATCTCTAGTGGCTGGTGTGCGTTGCAGGTGCCGAGGGTGGTCGTCTCCCCTCGTGTCTATCAGCGTAACGTGAGTGCCTTACATCATACAGTATGCACGGTACAATGCGACGGTGGGCATTGCGCTCGTGTTGGAGGCGATGCGATAAAAGGTGCACCCTGGGACGCACTGCAAGGATCCTCCATTGCACCCACATGGAGTACTAGGAATCGTCGCACAGTTAATCAAACCCGACTCGGAGCGCCTCCAGTCGAGTCAGAAACTTTGTATATAGATATTTTGACCATCGCGGCGAACCAGTTTCTGTTCTCTTCTGCTCCAAGATGGCATCTCTGTCCGCCGAGGATATCGCAGCGCTCTCCTTGTACGATCCCAAGAACTGGGAAGTGCAGTTGCACCAGACGGAACAACGCATAGCCCTCATCACGCAGTGGGACGTCCAATGGCAGGGCGCCAAGGTGCTTGAAATCGGCTGCGGTCAAGGCGACTGTACAGCAGTCCTTGCTGAGGCTGTAGGTCCCGAGGGACACGTCACTGCGGTCGACCCCGCACCGCTCACCTACGGTGAGTTGTCGCCATAGGGCACAGCACACCGCATTCTGACAGACGCCCACCCACCAGGCAGCCCATTCACGCTCGGCGAAGCGCAGGCTCACCTCTCCAAGGGACGGCTCGGCGAGCGCATCACATGGACGCAAGCCGACCCCCTCAGCTTCCTGCGCACAGACACGTCTGTCGCGCAGTACGACGTCGTGGTGCTCGCGCACTGCCTCTGGTACTTCGCCTCGCCCGCGCTCATCGCCGAGACGCTTCGCGTCGTGGGCACCCGCGCAAAAAAGATATGCGTCGCGGAATGGAGTCTGAGCACCGCGGAGACGCACCCCGCACACGCACACGTGCTCGCCGTGCTTACGCAGGCTGCGCTCGAGTGTCGCAAGGCGCCCGAGAAGACAAGCTCGAACGTGCGGACGGTTCTCTCGCCGGCAAGCATTAAGGAACTCGCGGTTGCGAGTGGGCTCAAGGTCGAGAAGGAGGCCTTGGTGACGCCTGGGGCACGTGTGTACGATGGGCTATGGGAGACTTCGGTCGTGGTGGGCGAAGGATTCTTGAAGGAAGTGCAAAAGAATGTGAAAGACGGGAGGGAGCGGAGCGTGGTTCTGGCGTTGCGGGATGCCACGATAGCAAGTGTTGCACGGCTGGAGGGGGGTAGAAGAGGGGTGCGATCGATGGACGCCTGGGCCAGCGTCATGTCACCCACAGTCGCCTAAAATCAAGATTGTCAAGAAACGGACCCTGCTCGAGATCCAGTGCTATCCTGTAGTCTTATGACATAGTATACATCCGGAGTCTTAGGTAAGGTGGTCTGCCTATTTTACTTGAGACTTGAGGTATGCGTCGTACTTCAGCGTGGCACCAAGCAAAACCTGCGCGCCGGCCGCACTGGCAATAATGTTCAAAGATGAAACAATGGCTAGTATGATTAAGAGCTTACATATCCTCCGACGATGAGTACTCTGCCGGGTTATGGGAGATACCGCCCTTGCACCGTATAAAAATCATTGAAGTTGGAACTCTGGACGCGGTGTATACACTAGCGAAATGTAATGTCAGCCTGCTCGTTGTTCGCAACAGTCAACGCCAACTCACGAATCGTGTCCCGCTCCACTCTGTATATCGCGGTTCCCAAACCCATTCTCCGTCGCGGTCTCCCGCACAAAACCGACCATGCGCTCATTGAACACTGTCCGCTTCGCGTTCCAGAAGCGGTCCCACGTGCGAATTTCGACTCCCGCCTCCTTCGAGATCTCGTGACACTTCTTCTCGAGTGCCGCCTCGAGCCGTGCGAGAGTCTCGTCATCCTTCGCGCGCGCGTCGATGTTGAACTGCACCACAGACGCGAGTGTGTTAATGGACTGCGGTGTGCTGTTAATGACCGCGACAGACGCGAGTGAGCCGGGGATCGAGAGCGCAATACCATTGATCGCAACAATCATCTGTGCGGCCGTGAGCAGCGTGTCGGCGCGGCGGTCCATCGGTGTCGTGCCGCAGTGCTGTTCGCGGCCGCGGAGCTCGACGTTGAACCAGCTGATTGCTGTATGATGGGAGCGGAGTCAGGGCGAGTGACAGATGAATCGAGATATAAGGTACCTTGGACACCGGTGACGACGCCAATAGGCTTATTCTCAGCCTCGAGAACCGGACCTTGCTCGATGTGCACTTCGTAGTGCGCAGAAAGTGGGTTAGCTTCGCGCGAAGCAGGAACATTTCCCTTGAACCCGATGCGCTCGAGCTCGTCTCCAAGCTTGACTCCCTTCAAATCTGTCCGCTCGTATCTATCTTGATTCGGTAAGCGATCTGATATGACAGATCTAGCCGAGGGACCACGTACGCATATTCAGGCGAGAACTTGCCAGCCCACACGCCCGAACCTAGCATTGCTGGAGGGAAACGTGCTCCTTCTTCGTTGGTCCAGTTGATGACCGCGATCGGTGCGTACGTCTGCACCTTGTTATCATGCAGACTCTTGAGGACCTCGAGTGCAGAGTGCACGCCAACGATACCGTCGTATTTGCCACCCGCGGGCTGCGTGTCGAGATGGCTGCCCAGGCCGATCGGCGGAAGATCGTTGTTCGTGCCCGGACGCGTCGCGAAGATGTTACCAACAGCGTCGACCCGGACGGTGCACCCGTACTTTTTCACCTGCGAGATGAACCACTCCCGCACGCGCCTGTCGTCGTCATTCAAAGTCAGGCGGTCTGTGATGCGGGTGAGTTATACAGCGGAGGGTCAATGCACCAGGCTCACTCATGCCACCGTCAGGGGTTCTGCATCAGCACCCGTGAGAAACATGACATTTCCAAATTAACACTACTCACGATCCCCACTGGCACGACTCCATGAGGTCTGCATTGATACGAGACGTATTGATATTCAGCGTGCTGGCCATAGAAATCAGTGAAAAGAGGTTGTGGGAAAATGTAAGGGGGGAGCTAAGTCAGACGTGCCTATTTATCTGGGCGATATCGGATTTGTAGCGGATTGAGTGAGACCCACAGGCGTGGAGATAACCGATCGGGAGTCGGCCGACCAAGTTTTGGGCGGGGCGCCACAAAGATACTAGAGAGCGCCCAGTTAGCATTGATTGAAGAAGTGAGGCAAAACATCTGATACACCTCCGTTCAGACCCGGAATTGGACAGTGGAAGCAGCGGCGAACGCACACTCTCGGAATCAATGCCTGTAACATGGTGGTCCAGTGATATCGATAAGTGCTCGTTTACACCGGTAAAACCGAAGGTTCCCAGGCTCAGGCTTACCACGGAGTCAGATGGGCGGCATGCACACTGGACTTCATCATGCGACGAACACGAGTTACAGCCGTAAAGTCTTATATCAATAATGGCAGAGTAATCGGGACGTATCACAGAAGAATAATGCAATCGCTGTCCAATGGGACGTCTTACCTAACGACTCAAGATAAGACAGCGATCTGAAGCCCTTGGGTTATGTGTTAGGACCTGGGTATTGGCTTGGCATTGTCCGGCGAAAGATGCTCACAGTAGGCGGTAGCTAGTCTCCAACCCGTTCAAGAGAATATGAGCCTGATGAAAGGGGCGATCGATGGCGACATGCCTCAATACCCGACAGAGCTGGTGGCGGAGAATAGTAGAGTATCATGAACGTGATAGACCTACCCGCTGAAAACCCTCATACAAATAGAGTACCGCGGATAGTCACTCTTAATGAAGGAAGTAGCGTACAGCACAGTATAGACTCATGTAATACATTAAAATCGCAACTATTGCTGAGGTGGCTGTTCCGCATAGATCTACAAAATCGTTAGCAACGGGCTTTGCACCACTCAAGAGAAGGAAGACCTTGATGGTTTTGTCAGCGCCACCGGTGATGAGACGCGTGCCCGTGACGTCGAATGTCGAGCAGAAGGCACCAGCTTCTGCTTCGAGAGAGCCTGGTTGCGGGATATCGTCCATGTTCTGGAACGCAGTGCCAGTGTTGTAGTCCCAGAGCGTCAGGGTTCCGTTATCGCCTCCGGAGAAAAGGACGCCCTCAGAGTTGACCGAGAGTGTGTTGATGATGGCATTGTGCCCGCTAAAGTTACAGACGAAGGTGCCCTCCGGACACTTCCACTTCTTGATGTTATTACCGCCAGCAGAAGCGGATGCAAAGGAGTACTCCGTTGGGTGTATCGCTAGCGCACGGACCGACTTCTTGTGGTGCGTCAGGGTGACCATAGTCTTCCCTGCCGCGAGATCCCATAGTCTACGCGCCAATGAGAATGGGGAATGTGACAATACAATGACTGACGCACCTAACAGTCGAGTCCATACTACCAGTGATGACTTGTGGGTCGGACTCTTGGCATTTGACGTCCGCAACAGTGGCAGTGTGCCCAGCGAGAACGTGGATCTGCGCCTTCGTCCTCATGTCCCATACTCGTGCGGACGCATCACGGCCTGAAGTAACTAAAATGTCGAGTGTTGGGTGCAGGCTCAATGCATACACCCCGGACAGGTGTCCATGGTAGTGCCGAATTACCTTGTTTGCCTCCAGATCCCAGCACTTGACCATCTAATAATCTCCGTCAGTGTTACGCCCTAGCATGAGGCATATAGCTCACGCACCTTGTCTTCTCCACACGAGAATAGGTACGGGTGCCGCGACGATACCGCAAGTCCTCGCACCGTCGATATGTGTCCCGTCAGCGATAACCTCAGCTCGCCCGACGCCAGATCCCAAATTTTGATGACACGGTCCCCCGCACCCGTCGCGAACCACTTGTTGCCCGGTTCCACAGCAACACTCCGTACCCAGCCCAGGTGCCCCGAGATGACACGCATGAGCTTCCACGGTGGGTGGTATGTTGGCTTGATCGTCCGTGTTGTCTTGTGCAGCTGAAGCGCTTTTGTGAGGCTCGAGTTAGACGTAAATGTCGATGGGGTATGTGTGGGCGTGTTGTCTATTTGGGCAATTATGAGTGAGGCATCTGGGGTCGCTGTAGGGAAGGCGTGAGCAGGAGCAAAACAGGACAGAAGCGAGCAGCGCACAGCCGGCAGTGATCATCTTCCTCGGCTCTTTTGGCCTTGCAGGACCCACCTGGCCTTGCTGGGTGAGTAGTGGTGCAGGCAGCTCCTTCACGTCCCGGTACTCGTCGTTGATTTTGACAGACAGACGTATGCGAGCACTAGCATAAAGACTTCAGTTGGAATGAAAGAGGCCGGAAGACATAGGATGCACCTCTTCTCGTCATCCTTCATGCTATCATCTGGGCACGATGCAAAGACGTCCCAAGTCCGCTTCCCGGAGACTTTTAGCAGAGGATTCAATGGCGGTAATGTCGACTCCATGCTCGACAGAGGACCCAGCGTGTATCTTGAAGTGGCTGTGAGGAAAGGGCTTTACGTATCAGAGTAGTTCTGAACTACTTCCGCAAAGCAGCTGTGTGGATGGACCTTGTGCTGGGCGAAAGGAGAGTGCGGAGACAGTGGTTCGCGAATCGCGGTGCAACGCACGTAGGCGCGCGCGCTCTCTCTGGGAAGGACCCCGAAAACTAGTAAACGTGAATGAATAAACGCGGAAATTAAAACCTTCAAGTGGATTCCCTCAGTATCTCTCCAGACACTTCGAGTAGTTATTCTCTCTTGCAGCTCCAAGCCTTTCTCTCACATGACTTAGGACAAGGTTTTTGAGACATATTTTATGCGCGATACTCAATATAACGTGTTTTTTGATGAGCCGATTTGCATGCAGCTAGCACTGGCGTCGATTCAAACCGTGGATGATGGTAGTCTGTTCACGCCCAAACGTCCTGCTATGGCCTCGCCCCGCCGAACGACTCTGCCGAACCAAGATGGCAGCCCTTGAAATTTGTACACCGCGGACATGCTCGGATTGCTCGGTAGAGCTCCGGGGAATCTATCCACGAGGACTGCTCTGCGGTTTGAGCTTCTCGCTTCCTAGTACATCGAATCCAGAGGGCGACTGCGCTGCTCGTATTCTAATGCTCTTCGAGGTATAACCACTGCTCAGCACGAATAGCTATGTTGGTAGCGCAGCATCATGATTATGCCAGTGCTGTTGCTGCCACCGCCAAGCAGACGACTGTTCGAGTATAGAGATTATAGTATAAAACCGTTCTCAGAAGCTCACAGCCCTTTCCTCGAGGATATAGTGGTGGCCAATGGTCGTTCCGCGTCGCACACTCGAAATGAGACAGCCAGGGTCCTATACCGCGATCCGGGGTCTCCTCTCCGCACCTCCGCACCGCAACTTGCCAAAGCCCAGCTCATCGCATCGTAGTATTTACTTGTGCGGTGGTCCATAGAGCGCATCAAGTAATGTGCTAGTTTGATGCGCATGTCTAGGGCTGTCTGTAAATTCCTGAATCTGGTGGTTATTTTGGACTATCTTACTTCGTGGGATGGCTATAACCAGCTCTGCTTACATTTCCAAGATTGTCAGGGTTCTCCATCGTCGAATTGTCGGCCCGCGCAATTGCGTGGTGCAATCTCAGCGGCGGCTCGGGTGAGAGTCAGGAGCTGCTGTGATTGACGCGTGGTGGTGTATATAGACCCGCGACATTCGGCCAACGACCTCAACCACTCCCCGACCACAGCTATCGCCATCACTCACATATCTACTGCTCTCTACACAATCTCAACATGAGCGGAAATCCACCAAGAGGTCGAGGTCGCGGAGGCCAGCAACGAGGTCGCGGGGGTGCGGGAGGGGGCTCTCCTGCACCCAGCGTAAGCACGGGGACCGGTCGAGGGAGTACTCGGGGCGGCTTCCAAGGCGACCGAGGTCGTGGCGGAGGGGGTCGCGGCGGCAATCGCGGCGGGGGCGGTGATTTCGGCGGCGGTCGCGGTGGTGGAGGTGGAAGCGGTGGCGGAAGTAACTTCGGCGGCGGTCGCGGAGGGGGCGGAAGAGGGCGAGGCGGAGGCCCTCACGGCGGACCTACAGAGGTCTTCGCCGCTGGGTCTCCCGCAATTCCTGATCAGCGACTCTCAGAAATAGACTCACTAATCAAGAGCTTCGGCAGCCTCAAGGTTGGGGGTCCAGAGATGCCCCTGCGACCTGGCTTCGGCACCGCAGGCAGACCCCAGAACCTAAGGGCCAACTTCTTCGCGCTACGCCTTCCCGCCAACTTGCAGATCTACGACTACGAAGTGTCCATCACCGGAGACAAGGATCTGCGCAGGGCTCGCAAGGCGCGTATTTTCGACCTACTCGAGAGTAGTCCGGAATGCGCGCCTTTCCGAGACCATATTGCGCACGACAACAGCGCGCGGCTTGTGTCGGCCAAGGAGTTGCCCCAGCCACTGCAAGTGACTATCCACTTTTACGAAGAAGGCCGGTCGGGACCAGGCGACAACGCCCCCGTATATACCGTCGAGATCAAACACAAGCGTACCCTCAACAAACGCGACATCGACCCGTAAGCCTAACACTATGTTGTCTGTCCATTGTCTGACTGCGTTACCAGACATCTCGAGGGTCGAGACCGGAGCTTTGATACCTTACCACACATTTCCGCTCTCAATCTCATTGTTCAAAGACATGCTGCCAAGAACGGTATCCGCGTCGGCGGCGACGACGAGCAGGATGAGAAGAAGCGCCAAGGCAAGAGCAAATACTTCTTCCCAGCCGAGGAACGCTTCCCGCTTATGCTCGGTCTCGAGGCCTGCCGTGGCTTCTATGTTTCCATTCGTCCCAACTTCAAGCAGCTGATGGTGAATATCAACGCCTGCATGACCGCGTTCTATACCTCCGGAAATCTCGCAGAGGCCATGCTCGTTTTCCAACAGCGGACCGGAGGATTTCCCTCGGAGTTCTTTGAGAAAGTGAAGGTTGTGACGACGCACTTGGGGTATCCGAAGAAGAAAGCTATCTTCCGCATTATGAGTACCACGCCGCGCACTACAAAGTTCAACCACAATAAGCACGGGGAGATCTCAGTGGAGCAGTATTTCAAGCAAGGTGGGTTTGCACGATCGTCTGCATCTGACTAGTGTCTCATGAGCGTTCAGAGTACAAGATTACACTTCAGCATGCGAACTCCTTGCCGGTTATCGATATAGGGAACAAGGACAAGGCGAACTTCATGCCTCCTGAGCTGTGCGAGATCCCTCCCGGGCAGCCATACCGAGGCCTGCTCCCCGACCAGGCCACAGCGGAAATGATCAAGGTCGCCTGTAACCCACCGGCATTCAACGCGAGCCTTATCGTCAACCAGGGCTTTGACTTGCTCGGTTTGCGAGGCAACAACAGCACGCTGATCAGCTTTGGCATTAGCGTCAGCTCCGAGATGACGGTCGTCCCGGGTCGCGTCCTTCCCCCGCCGAAAGTGACGTACAGGTCTGGCCAGCCTGTTGTGCGCGATGGCGGATGGAACCTCGTTGGCGTCAAGTTTACCCAGGGCGGGGACATGTCGAACTGGGCGGTGCTACTCGTCAATGAGGGCCGCCGTTCCGAGTTCCAGTCGCCACAGGATCCACGGCTCCAGCGCTTCCTCCAAGGTTTCTCCAACATGTGCCAGACGAGCGGGATGATCGTCGGGCAGGGCCCGCCACTCATCATGCAGACCGAGCGCTTGCCACGTGAAGATCCAGGACGCCGCCGTGGTGTAGAACTCATTCGTAAGGCGCTCCTGGCCGGCCTGAATCCGGCGCGCAAGCCGAGTTTTGTGCTCGTGCTTCTCTCCACCACGGACATCTACCCGGGACTGAAGCGGCTGTGCGACATGCAGCTTGGCCTGGCGACGGTTTGCATGCAGCTCGAGAAGGCTACGAGGGAGCAAAGGCAGGACCAGTACTTTGCTAACGTCGCGCTCAAGGTCAATATCAAGCTTGGTGGCATCAATCATCTACTCGCACCCGACAGCATGCGGTGGCTAACAACAAAGAAGACTATGCTGGTCGGCATCGACGTCACACATCCGTCACCGACCAGTCTCAAGGGTACGCCGTCTATTACTGCCGTCGTAGCGAGTGTGGACGACAAGTTCGTACACTTTCCGGCTGGGCTTGCGCTTCAGCGAAACCGAAACATCAACAAGGATGCTGAAGAAGTGCGTTCAGGTGTATTCACCTCCGGTCGATTATGTGAAAGGCTTACCCGTCGTTTACTCTGTGCAGATGGTAGAGGGTCTTGTTAAGCTGCTCGTGGACCGCCTCACGCTGTATAAAAAGAAGATGAATGCATTACCAGAGCGCATACTCGTGTACCGTGACGGCGTCTCCGAAGTGAGTATCCCTACTTCTCTGCGTCAGTGTTCCTCTGGCTTAGACCGATTCCGCAGGGCCAATACAAACTTTCGCTCGAGAAGGAACTGCCTCAGATCCTCGAAGCGTGTAAGAGGTTGAGCACCGCAGACCGCAAGACCCCTTACCGCCCGACGATCTCTGTCATCGTCTGCGGTAAGCGACATCACGCCCGCTTAAATGCTACGCAATCGGACCAGGCTACAAGGAACGGCAACACACTTCCTGGCACCGTGGTGGACAAAGGTATCACGGACATCTACAACCACGACTTTTACCTCCAGGTGCGCCTGCTTGCGCCTGCGAATCCACCGCACACTGACCCTAGCGATTTGCAGGCACACAGCGGCCTGCAGGGTACCGTTAAGTCCACTCACTATATTGTCATCTACGACGAGAACGGCATCACCGCAGATCAAATCCAGACCGGGACGAACAACGCGTCGTACATGTACGCGCGTGCAACTAAGGCCGTGAGCCTGGTGCCGCCGGCGTACTACGCGGACCTCGCATGCGAGCGCGGACGCCAGTGGTTGAGCATGCTCATGAACGCCACAGACAATCAGACGCGTTCTCAGGTGAGCTCACGCGGAGATTCGGACGCAGCGACGCAGGCGCGCCAGCGCGTGTACGACAAGGCAGTCGAGCTGTGGAGGAATGGCCCCCAGGATGATATCAAGGACACGATGTTCTATATCTAGGTTTCAGCTTGGTTCGTGTTTGACATCGGGCTTGTAGGACTCGGTAATAGGCTTCGAATTACTTGCTTCAGTATATTTCCCCGGATTTCGCGCACACTATTCCTTCATGCTATCTGTACTGCAGTGCCAAGTAGCACGATGATCCCTGAGGCTCGACACGCTCCTCAGGTCTGTATATTATTTGAAGTATCTTCTTGAATAGCTAACATCCTAGATGATGCTCCGAAGTACTGTATGCGGATCTCACTCGGGCTTGCATCCCTGAAAGTTCGTGCGAAAGCAAACTCCGCAATGAATAGCGCATTCACTGTGTAAATAACCCTAGTTCACTCCCTCTTGGCCTTGAACGCATCGAGTGCTCTCAGACGCTCAGTAAGAGTCGGATGCGAGTGGTGGTACGCCGAGTACCTGTTTTTCACTTGTCAGCGCACATATACGTAGACGTAAAATAAAGTTGCACATACAACCAATCTACCCAGACGGTCGACAGATTCTTCACATGGAGCTGTACCAGTGCACGGCCGAGACGATCGCCTATGTCAACCATGTCCTTGCTTTGGAGCTTGTCCGCGAGGATGCAGGCGAAGTGGTCTGCCTGATACTCGAAGCGCCGCGAAAGCGCGTTCATACCGATACTAACGACGGACTCCAGCGGTGTGATAATCATCTGTGCATTAATGTGTTAGTGTTGAGCCCGATTGGTGAAGCATAGAGCCAAAACGCAAGCGCACCTGGAAGAGCAGGAAGGAGATGATGGTCGGTGGACGTGCGGCGACATGCTTCGGGAAGTCGAACGCGCGCAGGAGTGGCGGTGCGTGCATAAATGCAGGGAAGAGTGCAAGGATTGTGAACAGGTGCACCTGCGACACGAGTAGCAGCTTCGTTGGGTGCATATAGTACCAGTGTCCAAGTTCGTGTGCCAGCACTGCCTCGACCTCATCCGGCTTGCTTTGCTTGATCAGCGTATCGTAGATGACAATATGTTTGCTCCACGGCAGGCCGAAAAAATATGCATTGCTGTGGGAGCTGCGCTTCGAGCCGTCGATTTCGTACAGGTGCTTTAGAGGGAACTTGAGTTTTGCCGCGAGTACTTCTGTACGTGAGCGCAACTCGCCAGCAGGAAGCGGCGAGAGCTTGTTGAACAAAGGTTGGATGACCGTCGGGTAGATGATGACCATAATGATCTGGAATCCGAGCAAGAAGCCCATAAGCCATGGAATGAAGTGGTCGCCGGCCCACTTGAAAACCCAGAGAAATCCAGAGAGCGCTGGCGCGCCAATAACGATGGCAAGCAACCAGCCTTTCAGCAAGTCAGCGACAAATAGAGCCGGCGTGGTCTTGTTGAATCCATGCTTCTCTTCGAGGACAAAGGTATGGTAAATGGACAGCGGCAATGTCGGCAGAGATGAAGCGAAGTAAGTAACGAACGTGAAAACGACGGATTGTGTGATCTAGCGAGATTGAATGGTATCAACGCCATACGGGAGCAGGCTAAGCCGCGCACCTCGTATTCCTCGGTGTAACCAAACTTCCCAGTTAGTTGTCCTGCCAGCTCCCAAGCCCAAGCATATACTCCGTAGTGCAGTAGTGCGGACTCTATCACTTGCTTGTAGAGACCAGAGATAATGGCATATCTAGCCTTGTCTTTGCCGTAAGCTTGGGACTTGGCGAAGACTTCAGGGGTGAAATGCTCTGCCAGGGCTTTCGGTGGCTCCTTCTTCGAGTACAGCGGATACTGACGCAGACTACATGCGATCAGAAGGTATCGCGTAATTCAACCAGTCAAGCACTTACAGTAAGTAAGTCTCGAACAAGCAGACGCCCCATGAGAACAGCTGGACATAGAGCTTCCAGTCTACGGGGTCTGTAGCGACGAAAGCCAGCTGCTTTTGGACCAGGCCAACCTGGCGGTGAAGAAAGTCCATCTTTGCGTCTAATTACCTCCTTCGGGCCAGAAATAATAAAACTGCTTTCTAAAAGGCCAACAGGAGGAAGAGGTAGAGTGTGTACGAGCTAAGCGCCTTTTCACCTCGACGTGTCATACGAGCAAAGCGGCAATCAACCCCGCCCGTTCCCCATTTATAGGTGACGTCGGGAAGGAACTTTTTCGAGCTCTTAGCATCATACTTTACGACCTACTCAACCAGCAACGGTGAGTCGCGCTGCAGGATTCCGCCTCGATTGGAATTGTATTGTAACTATATCTTGCTTATATCATTCACAAACACCAGTAGTTAAAGTAAGGTCATTGTCTCGCACAGTACTGTGCGAGACAATAACCTTACTTTAACTACCGGTATTAATTGCGATGAGGTACTAGCTCCTTGTTGGAATTAACATTCGAAAGGCATGTGTACATGTGTGATACGCTGGGTAGTCAATTATATGTGCCTCTTTATGGGGTCAGCGGCTTCGCACCTGGCCTACACGTTTGTAAAGCTCACCTTTCGTATGGCATGGAGAGCGAATTCACATGCGGCGATATTAGCCCAGAAGTACGTGATATTCTTGCTACTCTTGATGTGGATTGGACTGTTGGCTCTTTCCAGCCTCTTTCTATGGAAATGGTGCAATTATAGCGTCTGTGTTGTTCTGACTCATGTGCTTGCGATGACCCGCGAACCGCGTGTGCAGGTTGCGTGGTCATCACCCACCACGATCACTCTCGCAGTGAATATGTGCGCCGCATACGACCCAAACTTCTACTATCCCGTCAAAGAGTTCCAGAGCGACAGGGTCAAACTCGTACCCTTCCATGTAAGTGACTGAGAGTACAAGTTCACCACCCGAACTTGCTCACTGATCGAATCCCAGCCAGAGCTGAACGGCAAGGCGTTTTACGATGCATCCGCGCTGTATCCTGAGGTGTATGATTGGATCCCTTTTGGTCCCTTCCCCACCATAGAAGGGTTCTTGGACTATATTGAAGGTCGTATCCACCGCGATCCCGCTCTTACTCTCTTTGTCGTCTACAACAAATCTGTGGAAAACGAGACAGACCAGATTGCCGGGCTCATTGGCTTCCTGAACACAGTTCCCGCCTACCTCAGCACCGAAATCGGCTTTGTCTTCACACTCCCGCCGTTCCAGCGTACACACGTCACAACACACGCTGTCGGCCTCTTGCTGGCCTGGTGTTTCGACGAGCTCAAGCTGAGGCGAGTGCAATGGCAAGCAAACGCCCTCAATGAGAAGTCAGTGAGCGCGGCGCAGAAGATGGGATTCATATTGGAAGGTATCATTCGCTGGCAGCGGCTGCTCCCGCCTGAAAAGAGCGAACGAGGTCTGAAGCCTCGAGAGGACGATCCAAAGCCAGAGTACTACGGCCGAAACTCAGCACTGCTCAGTGTATGTTGGGACGACTGGGAAGATGGGGTGAGACAGCAGGTTCAAGAGCGCATGGCTCGACGGAAGTAGATAATTCCTTGGCCCCGATTCCGTAAACAATTCAATCCTTGGTCGGTATGATTGTACGAGAACTTGAACATCGGTATCAATTTTAATGTCTAAGATTACCCTCGCTGGCTACTCTCCAGCATTCCTCCGACCTTTTTGCCCCACTCTCCTTCCCAGTCATCCCAGCATATGGCAAAATAGAGCACATGCAATCCATTACAGTCTGGCATAGGGTCAATTTTCCTCGCAGCATGTCCAGGCACACCAGACGATGCGACATAATCCCACCGCCGGATGCCCTCCCTCTGAAAGCCCATATACTCTGCGACACGTATGGACGCCGCATTTGCGGGGTCTGCGCGCCACTGCACACGACGCAGACGCAGCTCGTCGAAGCAGAAGCGCATGAGGAGGCCGACGGCCGTGCGCGTGACATGCGTGCGCTGGAAGGCGGGTAGCGTGAAGAGCAGGCCTATTTCGGTGGACAGGTTCTCTGGAACGGTATTGAGGATGCCGATGATGCCGGCGACGCGGTTTGAACGCGTCTTGTCCAGCATGGCGTACAGCGCGCGCGATCGGTCCTGGCGAATTTGTTTTTCCGCCCAATCGTCTAGTTCGTTGACGGTGGCGAAAGGCAACATGGCCATGTATGTAAAACATTCCGGATGGCCAACGAGCCCGTCGAAAAAGGTCTGCGAGTGAAGTGACGGCTAGGTGATATTTCGCTCAGAAATTTACCGGTACGGGTGTCCCACGCAACATACCACATACGGGGTCAACTTCAACACTTCGTTCTCCAGCTCAAATACTGGATAGAAGAAGTTGGAGTTGTGAGAAGCTGGTTCAGTCATCCTTGAAGCAGTCTAAGTGGATGGCGGATGCGATAAGCACGCCTGATAGACTCCGTGGGGATATCATGGACGTATAAGTAGTGTACAACAATCTAAATGGCTGAGGCGTCGAGTTGTAGTATGGCGCGTAATTCTACAAGTTATGAAGCTTATTGACCGTACGAAAGCATGATCGGGGGCAAGAGAAGATAGTATGGGCGAAAGAAAGAAAGAGGACCCCAGAGAGTGAACATCCGAAGGCGATCCAGCAATTAATGGCCAAGACGAAACACTAGCAGAAGAACCTAGATGTAGAACATAGTGTTCTGTAGGTCTTTGTGGATGCCATTGCCCCACTGTTTCACAGCCTCTGTGTACACTTGCTCGCGCGCACGGCGCTCTGCCTCTGGGTCTCCGCGCGAACTAACTCGCGAGCGCGTCTGGCTATCGACATTCATGAGCATGCTCAACCACTCGCGGGCGCGCTCGCATGCAAGGTCCGCGTAGTAAGCTGGCGGGACGAGGCTCACGGCCTTGGTCGCACGCGCGTACATGTACGACGCATTGTTCGTTCCGACCTGAATCTGGTCTGCGGTAATCTTGTTTTCGTCGTAGATGACGATGTAGTGCGTAGACTTGGCGCTGCCCTGAAGGCCGTAGTGTGCCTGGGGTCGATGAGCGTAAGTTCTGCTATCGCCTACGAAGCAAGTAATTGGACACGTACCTGAAGGTAGAAGTCGTGATTGTAGATGTCCGTTATGCCTTTATCGACAACAGTGCCCGGAAGGGTGTTCCCGTTCTTCGTTGTCTGGTCGGCAGCCGTAGCGTAGACGCGAGCGTGATGTCTCTTGCCGCAGACAATGATAGAGAGCGTAGGACGATATGGCGTCTTCCGCGCAGCGGTATTGAACTTCTTGAAAGCGTCCAGAATCTGGGGCAGCTCTTTTTCGAGCGAAAGCTTGTACTGGCCCTGAAGGCGCCGAACTTTCATGTCAAAAATCCATCGATATAAGACGTGCAGAAACGTACCTCCGACACGCCATCACGATAAACGAGAACGCGTTCGGGCAGCGTCCTCGTCTTCTGCTCGTACAGCTGAAGACGCTCAACCAGGAGCTTCGTGAGATCTTCTACCATCTGCACAGCAGATACATGCGTCAGATCCGTCGTTAGAGCGCGACAGGATGAAACATACCTCTTCGGAGTCTCTACTGATGTTCTTGTTCCGCTGCAGAGCAAGCCCGGCAGGGAAGTGCACGAACTTGTCGTCCACGCTCGCGACAACGGCGGTGATAGACGGCGTGCCCTTAAGACTGGTCGGTGACGGATGCGTGACGTCGATGCCGACGAGCATGGTCTTTTTCGCCGTGAGAAACTGCATTGATTCAGGCGCCAGCATGTGGTTAACTCCGCCGAGCTTGATATTGACCTTCAACGCCACGTTCGAGAAGTACTGATCCTGCCCTCGCTCCTTCATGGCCTTGTCGAGCTGCATGCACACCGTCTGCAGGCCGAGCTGCATGTCGCACAAGCGCTTGATACCTGGGTAGATGAACTTGTCGACTAGGGACAACAGCACGAGCACGAAACTTGGCTTGCGCTGCGGTTGTAAGCCGTTCCTGATCGTATCCCGAATAATGCCAAGTGCACGCGTACGACCCGCGTCCTGGTGAGGCGGCGGCAGCTGTGGGGTTTGCATGATTGGCGGTAGGTTCTGACCCACGGTCATACCGCTCGCGCGACACTTGCCCATGAACGCCTGCAGGAACGAGACAAGTTGCGGGTCTTGAGGCGATTGGAACTTGGCATAACGGCCGTCGGTAACAACTAAGACAGCCCAGTTGGTCATGTCTCCGCCCTGGTGGAACTTTACACCAAGGATATTCCATCCACCATCGCGGACATTAGGCTGGCCTGACTTGTACGTCACTTTCGGCGGAGGGAGGACACGACCTGGGATGACGGCCATCTGGGGATCGACGTTGATGCCAAAGCTGACGAGGGTGCTGTTATTGCCCCGCAAGCCGAGCAAGTCAAAGCCCTGGTTGACGATAAGGCTCGCGTTGAATGCCGGTGTGTTGCAGGCGACCTTGATCATTTCCGCCGTTGCCTTGTCGGGGAGCAGGCCTCGGTATGGCTGCCCGGGAGGGATCTCGCACAGCTCAGGAGGCATGAAATTCGCCTTGTCCTTGCTCCCGATATCGATGACTGGCAAGGAGTTCGCATGCTGAAGTGTAATCTTGTACTCTGAACGCTCATGAGACACTAGTCAGATGCAGACGATCGTGCAAACCCACCTTGCTTGAAATACTGCTCCACTGAGATCTCCCCGTGCTTATTGTGGTTGAACTTTGTAGTGCGCGGCGTGGTACTCATAATGCGGAAGATAGCTTTCTTCTTCGGATACCCCAAGTGCGTCGTCACAACCTTCACCTTCTCGAAGAACTCCGAGGGTATGGTCCTGGTCTGCTGCTGAAAGACGAGCATGGCCTCTGCGAGGTTCCCAGGCACGTAGAAGGCGGTCATGCAGGCGTTGATGTTCACCATCAGCTGCTTGAAGTTGGGACGAATGGAAACATAGAAGCCACGACAAGCCTCGAGACCGAGTATAAGCGGGAAGCGCTCCTCGGCTGGGAAGAAGTACTTGCTCTTGCCTTGGCGCTTCTTCTCGTCCTGCTCGTCGTCGCCGCCGACGCGGATACCGCTCTTGGCGGCATGCTTTTGGACGATGAGGTTGAGGGCGGATATATGTGGCAGGGTGTCAAAGTCGCGTTTTTTCCTTCAAGGTGTCTAGTGAAAGCGTCAAACGATGAACGAGGAGCATTATGATGCACTTACGGATCGATGTCCCGCTTGTTAAGAGTGCGAACATGCTTGATCTCGACAGTATATACGGGGGCATTGTCACGTGGTCCCGACTCGCCTTCCTCGTAGAAGCGGATAGTCGCTTGGAGTGGCTGGGGCAACTCCTTGGCCGACACAAGCCGCGCGCTGTTGTCGTGCGCAATATGGTCTCGGAAAGGCGCGCATTCCGGACTACTCTCGAGTAGGTCGAAAATACGCGCCTTGCGAGCCCTGCGTAGATCTTTGTTCGGGGAAATGGACACTTCGTAGTCGTGGATGGCCAGGTCTGCGGGGAGGCGTAGCGCGAAGAAGTTGGCCCTTAGGTTCTGGAGTCTGCCTGTGGTGCCGAAGCCAGGTCGCAGGGGCATCTCCGGACCGACCTTGAGGTTGCCAAAGCTCTTGATCAGCGAATCCATCTCGGAAACTCGCTGATCCAGCCTCGCAGGCGTACCGGCAGCGAAGACCTCCGCAGGTCCGCCGCGGGGGCCTCCGCCACCTCCACCTCCACCGCGGCCACCACCAAAGCTGCTCCCGCCACCGCTCCCGCCTCCGCCGCCCCGACCTCCGCGGAAGTCGCTGCCCCCGCCACGACCTCCGCGGCCTCCTCCACGACCTCGGTCGCCTTGGAAGTTGCTTCCTCGTCCTGTCCCAGTGCTAACGCTGGGTGCCGGGGAGCCCCCTCCGGCGCCGCCACGACCTCGTTGTGGGCCTCCACGCCCCCGTCCCCTCGGTGGGTTTCCGCTCATGTTGAACACTTGCAGTCGATAGTAGATGTAGTGATAGTCGTGTACAGAGAAGTTGGGGCCATTAGTCCAGTGTTACGGATCTATATACACCACCAGCGCGTCAATCACGGCACTGCATGGTGACTCCTAAGATCTACGAGAACCACCGCGTCCATTGCTGAGCTTACACAACGCAGCATCGCGGGCCGACTATTCAGCGATGAAGAACCGTGACTTTAAGAAAAGTAAACGCAGTCAGTCGCAGTGATCCCCGTTAATGATTCGAAACCGACTCCCAAAAATCTGCATTCAGGGTTGGCTTAGGGGCAATGAGCGTTGGTCTTGGCAAGTTGCAAGCGGGAGAGTGCGGTGGCGCGGGGATGGGACCCCGAATTGCGGCGCACGGCCCTTGCCACCTCAAATTTCAAATTCAAAGCTCGAACCTGATGAGTTATTATCTTGCAAGGAAACTCGGTGCACGCTGATCACATTCCACATTCAAAGTAGTATTCGTATAAGAAGACGTTGACGGGGTGCGGGGAGGATAGGGTTTATACATTGCCATGTACGTCTTCTGACTGAACGTTGGATTGACTCAGGCTGTACCAGGCCCTCAGAACTCCAAGAAGTGCAACCGCAAACTACTATTTGCCTACTCATGTAGTTCAATATACAAGTGTTTTATCGCATACAATTTGTATGTATATCACTATTTTGAGACTCGAGCCACCTGCATATACGCACGATATGCGTCTGAGTCGAGAGTCGATGTGCTACTACCACTAGTGCGGATAGCCCTTCTGTCCGAGGTGAGAATAACTGGTTACTAACATTCTATAGGCTATCCCTCGATGTCTCCGATTGTATCGCAAAGCTGACTCACGCAACCAAAGTTGCCAAACTTTTGAAGCCAAACTGACGCCGATGCCAATGAATTCTAGTTTCAGTACATTTACACCAATCAAAAGGCAAGATGTGAGACGTTCTGAGCAAGGATGTCAATGGAAAAGTAAGGTGGGACCATTCACCTCCGAGCCATCCGCTCCCGCACCTTCTCGTTCACCCCACTCTCCCAGTCGTCCCAACATACACTCAGCAACGCCGTGTTCCTCCCGTAGCATTCTGGTTTCGGATCGCCCTCTCGAGGCTTTAGGCCGTGCTCATGCTTCCCGGGAGCAAGCAGCAGCTGCCAGCGGACGATACCTTCCAGCGTGAAGCCCATCTTTTGCGCCGTACCGATCGACTTCTCGTTGAGCGCGTTCGTTTGCCATTGCACGCGCCGCAGCTTCAGCTCTTCGAAGCAGTGTGCGAGCAAGAGACCGATGGCGTGCGTCGTGACGTGCGTGCGCTGAAACGGCGGGAGCGTGAAGACGGGACCCATCTCAGTGCTGAGATTGGCAGGGTTCGTGTTCAGGAGGCCGATGAGCCCAGCGAGCTGGTGTGCTTGATTCTCGGTAGACTTGTTGTAGATGACGAAGAGGGCGAAGGAGGGATCGAGGTGCATGCCGCCCTCAATGAAATCCAGGAACCCTTTCGCGGTGGAGAAAGGACCGAAAGCAGTCCATTCATATAGCTCAGGATGCGGCGCGGACGCAGTGTAGAACGCTTCGCCGTCTACCTCTGGCTGGGGTTCAATCAGGAATCAGTGCAAAGCTCAACTGGAGCAAACGTGTGCCCTCACGCGGAAGGGTACAAGCTTGATTCTGTCGCTTTCAAACTCTTTGATCGGAAAATAAACGTTTGGGTCGTATGTGGCGCACATCCTTGCTGTGTCAGTGGCTGTTGTAGGTCGAATGACTATATACCAAACTGTAACGACAGTCTAGATGCATTGTTTGAGTCGGGGCAGTCCAAGCGCTGTGATTGCGCAGTTTCTATCGACGATGCCAAATTCGATCTGGTCAGCCGGTCCGCTTTGGAAGGCAGGAGCTATACGTACTTTCGGGTTAACGCGGCCGCACGGCCGCACGTAAACCTAGGATGGTTCGTTCTTCGGATACGGTGAGCCCATCTGTACTGCGGATCCCATCAACATGTACGTCGTAAATGCGGAATTGCTGGCACGTTGATACAGGCAGGCTTTCAGCTGACTCGCTTATCCCCAAGTCGCACATACTTTGCCGTTATCGTTGATACCGCTAGGAACTTCTGTAATTTAAATTTATCAAGGTACAATGCTGATGGGCTGTCATCCTGTGCTATGCGCACCCCCCGCCAGTGGTTGAAGTTTGCTCTTAGTCACAGGCTGATGTGAAAGAGAGACCTCGTGTACCAGTGTGGTGAACCCTGGCCACCGCTTCACGCGCGCCTCGAACGAAAGATGCCGCATCAAGGATCCGAGGGCACAGGGCTAATTAGTAAATATTTTTAGCTAACAGAGGCACAAAAATGACCGCGAGTAAAGAAGCTAAAAAGCCTGACCATTTTCCGGCGGGAATATATGATAGGTAAAATTTGAAAATAAGAGTAAAACAAAGTCGCCTTTTTTAGTCAATCTTGTTGTAAAAAGTTGGTCTGCTCGCAGCAAAAAGAGGTAAAAATACCGCCGGGCTATTCATATGTAGAGTAATATACATGGAGAAAGAAATGATGATGATTTCGCCCTAAGAATATTTCAACTCTTCTAATACCCCAAAAGATGTAAAAGCAGTGTATCTTTTTGTGCTACTAAAACGATAACATCCCCATGGGGGAATAGCTTAAGTGTATTTATGAAACAAACTGAATGTGCTTTTGTACCTCTATCCGCGCAAAATAGTATAAAATTAGCCCCGTGGGGCACAAATCGTTACCTCTCGTACTCTTAAGGGTTTGCCGGCAAGCTGACTGTACGCAGAGATGGACTGTATGCGTTTCCATAGGGCAGATGGTTGGGCAGGGCAATTTAACCGTTGCTACGCCATCAGCTGCAGCCTTTACATTATTCTCTTGCCGGCTGCTGGAGGTGTCTGAACCTCGCTTATTGTGCCTAGAATCGGCCGCATAGCTCCTGCAGCGCCAGCTATGGATCGTATATGTCCGACATTACCTCATTCACTCATTGAGTCCCCGCTGTATACACGTACAGAGAGGGGATGACGAAGTGGAAGCTGGAGAAGGTCTGTAAGGTGGCTTGCATGGCCATATTCACCTCTTACTCCAGCTCGAGCCTAACCTATCTTCACATTTATGAGCGTTGCAAGGCGTTTGCTTGACTGGTGCGGCTCAGAAGATGCTCACCATTCGAAAAGAGAGTCGAGCGACACTAATTTGCTGAGGTGGTGTGGATAGGCTGTATTCCCGATTGTGCAACGCATTTCATGCAATTTCCATGCAAAGCCTAGCAGTCTGCGTGATGTCGTTCAGTTGGCGCATCGGGAGTCGGGACCCACGAACGAGGCATTATATTTAATTGCACAAGACGCATATATGTATATGTACGGATATAATAACAGAAGAAATCACTTAGCTATAATTTACTGCCATACAGCCAACTGAAACGTTCCAAGCAGCGTCCGATTCTCAGAACGTCGTCTCGAAGCAGCGAATCTTGTGCCCCTGTTTCCAGCCTCTGAGCTGGCACTCCTGGCTGCAGTACTTGACCGTCTTGCACTTGGAACACAAGAACAGTGCCTCGTCCTCCTCGAAGCATACCGCACAGTCGTTCAGCCCATGAACCGAGTTCTCCGCGAGCCCGCGCTGCGCGTTCAGCCACACTGGTGCAGGCATGCCGGCGCCAGGGATGTTTGTGAGTGTCGCGAGGGTCTTTGCGAGCCGCGCAACCTGTGCGCGCTGGGTAGCGTCGATGCGCGGGAAGCTCGGGTCCGCCTGGATCTCCGCGACCCTGGCAGCGAGCGCGTCGCGAGTATCCTTGTCGATGCACGTCTGCTTGTCGTCGCCCATCGCAGGGTCGCACCAGACGAGCGCATAAAATAAAAGATTGCAGATGCTCCCTGGGCCCGAAGGTCGCAGCCAGGCGACGCCGCCGCCGAACGCGGACGCGAGGAGTGTCGGGAGCCCTGCGAACTGCGAGGAGCCCAGGAAGCGCCGAAAGTACGGGTCGCGTTCAGGGTCGGGGAGCAGAGAGAGGATCTGCACAAGCGTAGAGAACGCCTTGCGCTGCGTCTCGCGCGAAAGCGTGCGGAGTGCCGTTGCCAGCGCGGGGAGATAGTTGGCAGAAAATGCGATGAATAGGGGGTCTGTGAAGGAGGGAGGCAGAGGAGGCACAAGTGCGTTAAGCTGGATTGAACATCGAGTCTAATGAGACCTCTGACGCAGAAAACGCGAAAAGACGCGACGTACGCGGCTTTGTATCTCTTTCACCTCCTCGTCGGTGAAGTCGGTGTCCTTAGGTAGCGGGTTGTCAAGCAGACGCGCTTCCCTCGCCATATCCTCTGCAAACCTTTCGACTTCCGCACGGGGAGGAATCTTGTCATTCGGTTGACGCGACATGCTGGGCACAGAAGTTGAAGAGCTTGAGGATGTGAAGGACTTCCAATAAATTGGGTCCAGGCGCTCTCTCATTACGCGGCGATCACCGGAAGCTGATAGACGCGAAGTACGCGTCCCGGGAACAAGCGCCCAAGTGTGGCGCGTCGACCCGCCCGACGTCATCGACTATGACGGCGAAATCACATTCTCAATGGCTCATAACCTTCATATAAATAGGAGGACCGGCAAGTCAAAGTCTCGTCAGTACAATCTTCGGCATGACCGCCCTCTCGAGCGAAAAGCTGCTGCATGCAGCCAAGGAGACCGTGCTGCTGCCCTTCACCCTCTTCACTTTCTTCCTCTGGGAGTTCCCCAAAAGCTTTACCCAGTTTGTATTGCGCGTCTTCTACGAGTTCATCCAGCTCCCGATTATCTTAATTTTCAAGCCGGTAAGTTAAACCTTCTCTGGCAAAGTATATAGCCTGACCGACGTCCCGAACAGCCGCTTCCACCGAAAGAGCTCAAACGTCCACGCGGACGCATTGCTGTCATTGGTGCCGGCCTAACAGGGGTGTCGTCCGCGGCCCATGCCATATCCCACGGGTTTGACGTTGTCATCTACGAGAAAGAGAACAAAATCGGTGCGTAACGTGAAATGTCCACTACGTTATGTACCAAGACATCTCGCACAGGTGGCATCTGGACCTCTGTCAACAAGACCTCAGGTCTCCAGCTGAACTCGATTCTTTACCGCTTCCACCCTGCCGTACTCTGGGCAAAGTTCTTTCCCCACCGTGACGAGATCCTAAGCGGTATGCAACACCTCCTCATCCCGTGAACCTCAGCTGAGATCGTGCATACGCAGAGATCGAGAGAATATGGACAGAATACCAACTTGAGGATCGCACGCGCTTTGACACACGCGTTACGTCCGTGAGACGTGTTGCTGGCGGCGAGGGCGGCGAAGAGAAGCGTGCTCGCTCTAAGTGGCTCGTCAACGACCGCGCAGACGGCGAGTTTGACGCAGTGATCGTCACTATCGGGACTTGTGGCGAGCCCAACATGGTGCAGTTCCCTGGCATGCCTGGGTACAAGCCCAAAGAACACGCAAAAAACGAACAGAAGCACGACTCAGACAACAAGACCGAAGTGCCTCGCCAGGACCACAACTTTGAAGGCGAGGAACACCCACCAAAACAGGCAGCGTGGAGTTCGCAGAGCAAGACGATGGAAGCTATCAAGCCGAAGAGAGGCCAGAATTCAATAAGGGCACAGGGGTTTCCCAAGCTTGGCGACGCATTGCAGGAAACTCCGGCCCAGGACGAAGATGTGGCACTTCTGGACAAGATTGGAGATGTACACGGCGCGAGCACGATCGTCGGGGGCATGGCAGGCGCGTGGGATACTGTTGAGGAGTCGACGTGGGAACTTGGGCGCGACCAATCGAACAAGAAGGAACAGGGCTTCCCGCGCCCCGAGGAGGCTTATACGCCGGGCCCGGATGTGCAGGAAGACACGAAGCGGCCAGAGGATGCGCAGAATGAGACACAACGAAGGAGGAAGAAGCAGCACACGGCCGGTCACAATCGCAGGGAGACCCACGACAAGAACCGAGACGCAGACGGCGAAGTTTTCGAGAAGCCGATCCTGCACTCGTCCCAGCTCACGGCGTCGGGCACAGACTTTGGCGGCAAGACCGTTGCCGTTATCGGGGGCGGTGCAAGCGCGGTCGAGGCTGTCGAGACTGCTCTTGCGGAAGGTGCACGGCACGCTATCATGGTCGTTCGCGACGACAAGGTACGCTGATCCTTACTTCGTTTTGAGAAGGGGTTCTTTTGACATCCTGTGCAACAGTGGATTATTCCCCGCAATACCTTCATTGACACCCTGATCGCTGCGCAGCCGTTCGGCAGGGAGATGCCCCTGAGGTGCACCATCCCATCTCCTGCCCGCTATTGCTAACTGACGCGCCTCTCGTAGCTTCCTCTGGGAAAAGTTCATCACACTATGGAACTACCACGGCGTGCAGGATCTCACGCCTGCGCACCTCGGGCTCTTCCAGGGCACACCGGTGTGTCCTTACCGTTCTCTCTCACCTAACACAAATGCTGAGTATATGTATGGGTGCGTCAGATCGTAAACGAGGAGTTCCTGGACCACGTCCGCGCAGGCCGCTGCGAGTACGTGCGCGGCGACATCGAGCGGCTCACGAAGGATGGTGTGCGTGTGAGCGTGCGTGGGCGCGACAGCAAGCCCGGTGACGCGGGCGAGGAGAAGGAGGTGCGCGCTGCCGTTTCCTCGCTGCTTTGATTGAGATTAACTGAAGCTGGAAAAGTTCTCAGCCGACGTCGTCGTGCTTGCGACTGGCTTCAAACAGCCTGACATGGAATTCCTGCCGAAGGAGCTCTTCCCCGAAGGGTATGATGTGCGTGCATCCGCGCTAATGGTGGAGAGACGCATGCTGACGAGGAGCATGGGCACTCACAGAGGCCGAACTTGTATCTGCAGAACTTCCCGACGGAGGACTGGAGCGTGCTCCTTACCAACTCGGCGTACATAAACGCGATTGGGACTGTGTAAGCGGCTGCGTATCTTCCGTGGCATTGATTCTGGTTGACGCAAATTCTCTTAGGGGGCATTTGTGCGTACCTATCCCCTTGGTGATGAATTAACCCGGCTGACCCAGATCTTCCTGCGTCTCGCAGCCATATAGGCATCTGTAAGTATCCAATGCCTCTATCTGACCCGCGCTTCCGCTAATCACCCTGAGCACAGACGCGCGTATCTTGATGACTTTCCTCATGGATCCGGGCGCGCGCCCGACGCCGCATGATATGAAGCTCTGGGTCGACGCCGTCGGCTTCGTGAAGCGTGGTGCCAAGAAAGGCGCATTAGGATTCTTCACCTACATGGAGCTCAGTACGTGCTGCTGCTGCTCCCTATACGCTCTACCGCTCTAATTGGCAACACGCCGTACAGCAATCTGGCTCCTGCTCTTCCATGTCTTCCGGCCAGACAGGCTCAGGTGGTGCGTCGCCTCCTCTTTCTGTTTGGAATTCAGAGATGGCTGATGAGGCATGCAGGATGTTCTTCATTCTAAATGGGTGGGGTGTCCCGCCCTTGAGCTAAGGGACTGCGAGCTCAGCAGACGTTGTTGGATGAGAATAGTATGTGCTGGTGCAGACAATTTGGACACAATTACGGAAATATTGTAAGATATATATATGTAATAGAAGGCCCGGGGATTGTATATGTAAGTTTCATATGTGTATGTAGTTTTGACATGTGGTGAATTTTTCCAAGGCGATGGTAAATGTGAATAGTCAGGTCGAATACCGAACCCTGGATGCTGCTGCATTGCTGCAGGTGTTCAGGTGCCCTGTGTTCGGAACGCCAGTCAGGAACGAGAAAATGCACCATGACGGCCTTAGTGCATTAAGGGGGAATCGAACTCCCGGCCAGGTTACCACTGCCCCATTAATGCACGCGTACTATGAACTGTCTACTGATCACTCCCTCCGTAACCCCCGAGACCCGAGTCCGCGACACAACTCTGCTAGTTCTCAAAATCAGCCTTGAACAAGCACCGAAGCTTTCCCTGTTCCCCACCGGATGTTCGCAGGCTGTCCCAACTCGATCCCGGGCAGCGAAAAGTATGATTTGTATCTACAAGCCACAGCTAGTAGTATATTCATTCGTAGTGCATTCTAGCCGTCCAAAGAGTATTATACGCAACCACTGGTGCGAACTTCACTTCTGAGCGAGAAGCCTGGCACGCTCATCCCAGACCTTCTTAACGGCGGGGCGCTCGAGAATCTTCTTGTGCCACTTGGCGGTGACAGGGAATTCCTTTTCGAAGTCAAAGTTCTCGAGGAAATTACCAACGGTGATCTCATTCCAGCTGCACCGGCGCGGGTAAGTACCAGCGAACTGAGACCAGAATTAGACGATGCTCACGTGAAGAAGGAGATGTCCGCGACGGTGGGCCTGTTGCCGACGAGCCACTCCTGCTTCGAGAGCACGCCCTCGAGGACGCCGAGCACGCGCTTGGTCTCGTTCGTGTAGCGGTCGAGAATGCTCTGGGGCTTCTCCGGGTGGTAGGTGATGAACCAGGCCAGTTGGCCGTAGTACGGACCCTGACCGGAGCTCTGGAAGTACAGCCACTGAAGCTGCGTGTAGTATCTCTCCGTGCCGGGTGCCAAGGAGATCTTGCGCTCCTTGTCGTACTTGTCGACGACGTACTGGACGATCGCGTTGGACTCCCTGTCGCGTCTGCCTTAGCAAAAGAAAACTCTGCGCGAGTGTAGAGGACTTACCAAATGACGAAGTCGTTGTTTCCGTGGTCGATGAGCGCAGGGATACGGCCGTTCGGGTTGTACTTGGCGAGGCCCTCAGCGCCCTTGTGTGCCCTCATGTTTATTTCGGGGAACACGGACTCGTAGGTCAAGCAGAGCTCCTCGAGGATGAAGGCGACCTTCCTGTAAACGAGGTCGGTCAGCATTTCACCGTATCACGCATGCCAACGGTGGGGTACATGCCATCCGTTTGGGCCGCCCTTGTGGTTGAAGAGAGTGAACTGCTTTCCGTGCGACATGGCTGATATGTGCGGAGTGCGAGAGGTGAAGAAGAAGAAGAAGCTGTGAGAGTGTTGAATCGACTGCTAGTGTTTCTGTCCGCCTCGATGGCCCTTATAAGCAGCCCAGGAGGCAGGGAGACAATGATGACCAAGGGCATAGGTGGGACACTCCATAAGCACCTCTTCCAAGTGGAGATATCACTGCATGTGTGTGTGCAGCGTCGCATAAGATCTTGTGTAATCAAGAGCGTTGCCTGGAGCGCGTACAGGGATTGCAGCTGACCAATATGAAGATTAATAGTGAGTAGCGGACGATATCCAAGCTAACTGTCGCAGAAAGCGATATTGGGACATGGAAATCACGATATACCAGCGAATCACTCCAGAATTTTTGGTCTATCGCGTTGGCCTGGCATCAGTATTCCAAATTAAAGTAGGAAAGAAATGCTGCCCCAGCCCAAGAAAGATAGTCAAAGACGTCGTGTCAAGTCCTTGCTGACGTTCTCTGCATTGTTCGTTTCCGACCATGCGATATATTGCCGCCACAGAAACATCGAAGAACTGCTCCGGTAGTCACCGCTTCTGTAGACTGACTCAGCCAAACTTCTTACCAATCCTGTGACTCCAGCCAGCAGAGAAGACGCAGCTGCCAAATAGAACGAGTCATGCCGGTATTTTCGCGGGCCATCTGCGCGAGAAGCAAGTATCCATCAGCCGCTGTGACCAGAAGCATAACATGTCGGCCAGGTCGCAAGATTGACTTGCCAAGCTGTGACTCGGAAGCGTGTGATCCGTGGATTACCAACTTGAAGCCTGAAAGACGAGTCAGCTCACATTATCTGCGCCCGTCTACTGCGCATAAAGCAGTAGTAATCATGCGGTGGTTGACGAGTGGTGTGAAAGAAGATGGTGTACTATACGTTTGAGTGAGCGCCACAATGCTGGCGCACCATCCTGGGGCATATCCCCAATAGGTCCGACCCTGGATCCCCACTTTTAGACGGTTTATACCCAAATGTGGATTAGGCTCCCTGAAAAGTCCTAATTTATGCCTAAATGGGCCATCTATGCTGTAGGAATGAGCGAGGAGTCGTAATTTGGCGGTGGCACGCGAAGCACGCCCCAACGATATCTCCGAAACATGACGCCAAATTAAGGCAGTAACAGGACTAAAGTGGATATGTCTGAGTTTTTTTTGCAGCTATTCTCCATTTTCAACATAGTCCGACGCCATTTCGTTGCGGGTCGCAGTTTCCCGTGGGCTGGTGACCGCTGACCTGCCCATTTGTACCCGTAACCTGATTGGTCCTCGGCCGAGGGCTGGGGTGTATGTCATGCCCGAGAACATCATCTACCACTAGCTGCCCATCATGAACCGCCTACACAATATGGGGCATGGGGCCGGTCCTTCGCAAGCAAAGTACACCGGCTCAGGCTCGTTACAGCTCTTCCAGAAGCGATGATACAGGTCACACTAGGGTGGAAAGCGCCTTTTTTGATGGTGAGACCCGGCCAAAGCTGGTTAAACAAGGTTGGGGTATTAAGGCCGTCGTGCCCTTTTGTGCAGCGGTAATAACTGGTCCTGTTGCGGTGGTCTTTGTGGACTGCACGACGGCGCCCAGTCATCTAGTTAGCTGTGGGGGCGGTTGATGATGCGGAGTATGTATATTGCACATACACTGCACGGTATCAACAACAAAGTCACAAAATGTTCAGTTGCGGGAAAGATTGTATGTCCAAAGTCGAAAACGCATGTTTGGCGCACAACCCATCATCCGCTCACATCCTCCTCCTAAACCAATTCTTCTTCAAGAATGTCGACTCCCTCAACACCCTCTCTGCCTCGCGCAGATCCAGCGGAACATGCGCATCTCGCGCCGAGATCGAAACACCGCCGAAACCGCTCGAGTTGTTCGGCGCTTGGAACATGAGGGTGTCCGTCTCGCAGACCGTGCCCGGCGCGGGCAGCGTGCCGTTCTGGAAATACGCGCGGATGGCGAGCGCAGTGCAGGTCGAGAAGCCCGAAAGGGAGGTGTGCTGGAGGTAGGTGGGTAAGTGGTACATCAAAGGGGAAGCGACAGGAGAGTGCGCACCCCTGTGGAATTTTGCTGAAGGACAACGGAGCCTGCGAAACCTGCAGACATGTTTCGCGCGCTAGGTACAGAGTTAGTGCCACAAATATTACTAAAATCATGTGTTGGTATTACCTTTGAATCGGGGTTACGGGATCTAAAACGAGTCAGCAATCCGGATAGACGTTAATACGTAGCAGCACCGACCAAATGTGTTTCCAATAAGCAGGATGGGCGTGCTTGTGTTTGTGTCGAACGTGCCTAAAACTCGCATAAGCCCGTCGTCTAACGCCTTCTCATTCACCTTACCATTAAACAGATCCTTCGCCTGGATAGGCCACGACCTGCCGAATCCCTCAGCACATCAGTGAGCATAGAACCCAGATGCGACTTACGTGCACGTCCCGGAAGTTATGGGGTACCACTCCGTCGCGAGCGAAGACATCCCGAGCATCGCCTCATAATCCGCGCGAGCCTGCTCAAACGAGCGATGCTTGCTCGCGATGCTGTCTCCACAGAGAATTGGAGTCACTGTGTCCAGGATACCCGCGACGAATGGTTGGCCATCGCTTGCACACGTGTCGAGCGCGTCGATGGCGCTCTCGATCGAGCCCTGGTATATAAGACTTCCGTTGCCCTGCTCGAGCGCCACGATCGCCTCTGCTGCGACCGGCGCATCGCTGAACGGCATGTAGATCGCCTGGAACAGGTTCTGCACGACGAGCGAATAGTCTACGACGGCGAAAGTGATCGCTGATGAGTTGGTGTCGTTGAAGAGCGGCAGCGGCGCGATGTGCACGGCGTTGATGGCGTTATCGACGCGTGCGCGCACAAGGTCCGTGCTGTTCTCCCAGACGGCGCACAGAGAAGGTCCCGCTGCGACGCACGCTTCATAGATGGTTGTGAGGCCTGCATCTGTGTCGAGTAGCGAGGAAGTGTCCGTCTCGCCTGCGCACAGGTTAGATGCTTCAAGACAAAAGCGTGTGAGACTCGGGCAGCTCACCGAAATACCACTGATGCGAGTCGGAGACGCCATCAATGATCAGCCGGCCAACATTGTCCGGGAACATCGCCGCGAACCTAGGATGCATCGACAACGGTTCATGCAGCCATATAGGGCGTAACTTACGTTGCACCGAGAATCGAGCCATAGCTGCACGCGCAACCATTCAGGACATCACTCTTTCCAAGTTGAATGCAGATGCTTACGATATTCCCCAATAGTTCAGCTTCTCTTGCCCTAACGCACGCGCAATGTTCAACATATCGGTCGCAACTGCTGCGGTGCCCACAGACTCCGCGACGAGCTGAGCACGGTTGAGAGCGAGGTCCCCGAGGATCTGCGCCTGCGCATAGAACCGTCCGAAGGACGAGACAGACTCGTTCACGTTGAACGGGTATGTCTTGTAGAACTGCTCCGCCTCGGCCGGCGAGTTGAAGATGGAGAGGGCTGGCGTGGTCTCGCCGACACCTGTAGCAAACACGTTGGTGTAGTGGGAGACGAGGAAAAGTGAGACGTACCACGCGGGTCGAATCCGACCAGATCGTACTGCGGCCCGATGATAGCACGGAAGTACGGCTCGAACTCGAGGACGAAATCGACTCCGGAGTCGCCGGGCCCGCCTGTAAGAGTGCGTAAGACCATGTAGTCGGGGCGCAGAGCGTTCGAGAATTGTACCTGGGTTGAACAAAATGGATCCCAGGTGGTCTGGGTCTCCGGTTGAGAAGTTCGAGGGCGACATGACCAGAGCAACTTGTGTTTCTCCGGCACTCACGTTGGAGTATTGAAGGGGAACCTGCAAGTTTCCTGAGATAGTTTTAGCATTTGCTGACACGGCCGCACTCACGGTGAACCTAGCACACTGGAAGGTGCCATGACAGGAAGTCCATGTTAAGTTAGAGGACGAATTAAGCTACATGGGGCGTCAGTACTTCAGTCACTGAGACACCTAGTGCAACGCACCGCCGACCAGTTGAAGTCGACATCCCGACGTGCCAGGCGGCGTGCTGGCACTAGGGACGCCAGAACAACGATTGAGAAGGAAAAGCTTGTATGGAGGCGCATTTCGGTGCAAAAGATGAGGCAGGACTAAAGACCATAGTCACCATACTCTTGGGCTTTTATACTCACACTGGCACAGCCTGGTGCTAAAATGAACATAGTGACATAGAACTTGCCGAGGTCAGCGGTAAGCGATGTGTTCGGAGTATATAGCGAGTCGACTGCGGACAAACCGTAATATGATACATTGGAGGCTGTGTGCCTGAAGAGTCGTGCCGTTGCCAGCTGTCAAAAGGAGCGTGCTCCCAGCGCAGTCACCGCAGGAGCAAGGCTGTGTGCCTAGTGAGCATTCGTGGAAGGGCAATCAGACGTTGAGTCGTTGGGCCATTTCCATGTAAAGAACCTCTGGCACGTCAGCTCCGGGTGCGTGGCAGATACAATATTGTGACAATTTCTATCGGCAAGAGAAGCAATCATGATGTGACATATGCACGAGTGTTGAAGCTGAGGAGAACTGAAGTACTAAAGCTTGAAGCCTGCTTTGAAGCTCCATGCAAGCAACAACATCAGAACAAAAGGGTAACTTAAAAGTCCGATCGCGACGCCGAACAAACGTAAGAGAACAAACAAGTCCAAATAAATACCGCGAGCAGTATCAAGACAGCGTGGGAAAAATGGGTGAATACGGATTTGAAGTTCGACGCGATTGATCCGCCAGCTCAGCGTGGCAGTGTGTCCCACTTGCACTGTCCTTCAAGCAAGTCGCCGGATCATCCGCCCAGCCAACATCCTCTTCGTGAAGCCTGGGTTGGACCTCCGAGTCGCCGGAGCGCGTGCACTGCCTGTGAAACCAGACTCAGCCAGGCCTGGGGGTTCCGAGTCTTTCTTCATAAAAGAAGGTCCAGTGCTTCCAGGGGGTCCGAATATCTTGGTGTCCGAATCTAGCTGACAGACAGTGCCCGGCGCCGGAAGTGTTCCGTTGTTGAAGTATGCGTTCAAAGCCATGGCAATGCAAGTGGATTGTCCGGACAAGGACGTGTGCTGCAGACAACATATCAGGAATCAAACACAGGATGATACCTGTAGCAAGAGACATACGCCTGTCGAGTTTTGTTGTAGAACTACAGAGCCCTTAAAGCCTGCGGACATGATGTGTGCGCTGAAGAGGACCATCAGGTTCTTCGCAGACAACCGGAAAGGACAATTCTTACTTGACCATAGGCGTCACGGGATCTTAGCCACGACCCATTAGTAGTGGTTATCAAATAGTAGCTGGTGAGACATACCGAGAGAGTTTCCGATGAGCAAGATCGGGAAGCTTGTGTTCGTTTCGAATGAACCTGCCGCGCACGTTAGAGTACAATCAGTTTCCTAACGGAGAGCGTACCGTTGAAGCTATCCTTGGCCCGGATCGTCCATCCCCTGACGCAGACAGGTGAGATGTGCCAGTGCCAGCGCAGAGAGACAGAAGCTCACGAGCATATGCCTTGCGTCCTAGCATACCACGCTGGCCCGAATATTGCCGACTGCTTCGATAGCTCTTCATACTGGGCACGTGCCTCCTCACGAGAGAGCTTTGCACTAGTGAGAATGTCACCACAGCCAATGGAGGCTTGAATGTCGATCCACCCCGCCGAGAAGGCCTGCGATGCGTTAAAATTGCACGTCGCTAGTGGGTCGGCAAGTGTCTGGGCGATCGAACCTTGGAACATGAGTGTGCCGTTCCCTTTCTCGAGCTGAACGACCGCTTCGGCGAACTGAGCCGCATCGGCATATGGGTCGTACAGCGAGGTGAGTAGGCTCTGCACAACGATACTGTAGTCCACGACGGCGAAGGCAGCACCGAGGCTCTCCTCCGAGGGGTCGATGACCGGGACGGGTGCGAGATGGGTGTTTTCAATGAGCTTATTCACCCTGTCCCGGACCTGCTCTGTCGTGTTCTCAAATATCGGACAGGCGGATGGGCCGGCCGCCACGCAGGCCTCGTAAACAGATGTGAGGACAGCGTCTGTATCAAGAAGGCTGTCTTTCTCAAAGAAAGTTCCTGCACATCAGTCGTAGCAAGAGTGAGCATCAACCCGTCAACCTACATGGTAGGGACGGAGGCTTACCCTGGTAGTAGTCATAGCCGTTGACAATCCCATCAATGACGATGCGCCCGACATTGTTGGGATACATTGCAGCAAAGCTAGGAGTCTTACCGTCAGCGCCATTGCTAGATATGAAAAACGATACTTACGTCTCGCCGAGAGCCGAGCCATATCTGTGAAAAAGTACATCAGGTTTAGGTTCACGCAAACGCGACCTCATCACCAAAGGGCACTCACGAGACACCATAATACGCCAGCTTGTCCTCCCCGAACGCCCTCGTGATGCTCAGCATGTCCGTGGCGACAGTAGGGGTCGAGACAGACTCTGCCAGCTTTTTGGCGCGAGCTACGGCGAGCTGGCCGAGGATCTGACCCTGAGCGTACTGCCTGCCGAACGAAGAGATAGACTCGTTGGCGTTTGTTGGATAGGCCCCCAGAAACTCGAGAGCCTCAGGGGGGCTCTGAAAGATAGGCACCAGCGGTGTGGTGTGTCCGACTCCTGTGTGAGAACTTAAGTACGAAGTCGCTGAAAGCGATGGTAACTCGAGGGCGCACCTCGAGGGTCGAATCCCACGATGTCATACTGAGGGCCGAGGACTGAACGGAATGATGCAGCATCCTGTATAACAGATTCCACACCAGAGCCACCGGGCCCACCTGGGTGAAACAGTTGCTGAGGAGAGGAACATTGATGTTAATTATAACGGCCAGCTTACCTGGGTTGAAGAGCCAAGGGCCAAGATACGCGGGATCGTCATGCGACAGATTAGATGGGGCCATCACGAGTGCAACCTGAGCCTGCCCAGCACTTGGGTCGGAATACTGAAGGGGTACCTGCAAGCCGACGCCTCGATGAGCACCACCAGCTGAGCACGATCGCCCTACGGTCCGGAGGCACATACCGTGAGCCGTGCGCATTGAAGTTCAATGTAGCACGGTACCCAAGATAAGTTCGTGGACGGAGTAAGCTGGGCTTGACGTTAGCTTCTCCCGAGAAAAACATCAGCCTGCAGCGTACACTGAGCCAGTCGAAGGTCGCATCGTCTCGGGCAGCAAGGGTGTTCCCTAGGGCGACATGGAAGATCCCGAAGGCGGTGACAAGCCATGTACCCAACCCCTTGAAAGAACGCATGTTCGGTATGAGGAAGACGACCATAGTTGAAGTGTATTTTATACTCACTGCCCAGGCATCCCAATTAGCATCGGCTCATGCCGGCGAGGCAATTAGGTGAGGCCTGCTGCAATGTAAATAATGATCGCAGTTCCGGCGCTGACGAAGCTGAGAGAATTGAACTGCCCCAATCAGTCTATGCTGTGTCGATATGGTGGTGGATGCGCTCACCTGACGTACAGCATCGATTAACGAGCCTGCGGCGCAGATCCTGCAGGCAGCAGTGATTACAGTTCTCGCTGACCGCAGTGTATTTTACCAAATCGCTGTACAGGTTCAATATCACTTTTGCATAATTCGAGCGTGAACGGCGGAGAAGGGCTGCAATTCCACTGCCGATTTCTGCATGGTGGTCGATAGACGCCTGACGCCATGAGTCGCAGTGGGGCTATCTTATACTTGTCACTACCGCGGCAGACGATATACTGCCGATGATCCACTGGCATGTTTTTGGTCAAAAATAAGCTAAAATCGAACTTCTCGACATATGCAGGGCAGAGCGACCATTAAGCGTCCACCACGCGTGAGCGTAGCCTGGCGCATCCAATCTCTTCGAAATACCCTAGCCTCACGATGATCTACCCTAAGTCGCCCGTCCACCAAAAGTGCTCCTTGACGTGACCTTCTTCCTCATCAATGCGCGAGCAGAAACACCAAGACCCTGCCCTCTGGCTGCAAGCGAGACATTGCTGCTCCCGCCTGCAGGCGGGCCGAAGATCTCTGCTTCAATCTGGCACACCGTGCCTGAGTGCGGCAGCGTACCGTTGTTAAAGTACGCGTTGACGGCCAGACCGGTACAGGTCGACAAACCGGATTGCGAGGTGTGCTAAGTCAAACATGAGTCAACTTTCGAACAACATCGTCTGATCAGAATGACGCACCCCAGTAGAGTTCTGCTGTAGGACCACGGATCCGACAAAACCAGCAGACATATTGTGTGCGCTGTAGGTGCAGGTTAGCTTGTAGCGGGCGACAGATTTTCATCCCATCTTACTTCTCTATAGGGGTCGCCGGATCTGCGTTGCAGCACAAGTGAGCTGACATGGGTTAGGACCGATGCTTGGGCACATACCAAACGTGTTCCCAATTAACAGGAGCGGGAAGCTGGTGTTCGTCTCGAATGAGCCTGAAAGACACATCGCTGTCAATACACGAATATTCCAAACATAATAAACACACCATTCAAGTGGTCCTTGCCACGGATGGACCACCCCCTGTGGTTAGGTTAGCAACGTACGATGTAGATACGGAGCACGAGAACAACGTACGCGCAAATTCCCTGCGTAAGTGGGTACCACGCAGTCGCAAGCGATGACATCTCCAGCATACTCTCGTACTCCGCTCGCGCGGCCTCCAGCGTCCGCCTCGTGTCGACAATGCTGTCCCCGCATTCAATCGCACCCTCGACATCAATAAACCCTACGCTAAACGGCTCCGACGAGTCGAATGTGCACGTCGCCAGCATGTCAATGTTCTGCGTGTCCGTGCCTTGGAACATCAGAGTGCCGTCCCCCTGCTCAAGCTGGACGACCGCCTGCATGAATCCCAAAGCATCGGTATACGGGCTGTCCAACATTCCTAGTAGCTGCTGCACCACTACAGTGTAGTCCACGACGCCAAATACGTTCCCGGTGGTGCCCGAGCTGTTGAACAAAGCGACGGGCGCCAAGTGAATGTTGCTGATGAGCTGATTGACTCGTGCACGAACGAGGTCGGTGCTGTTCTCGAAAATAGGGCAGAGCGAAGGTCCTGCTGCGACACAGGCTTCGTACACGGACTCCAAAGCGGCATCGGTATCCAGCAGGCTATCTTTCGCAAAGTATGTTCCTGCGTGAACGGCAATCAGAAACGGGCTGGAAGTTGCTGCAGGTCGGAGCACGAACCTTGGTACCAGTCATGGGCATTGATGATCCCGTCAATGACGAGACGTCCAACTTGGTCGGGGAACATTGCAGCAAACCTGGAAAAGCGGTTAGCTATGACGACACACAGTTGCGATGCACAAGGACGTACGTAGCTCCAAGCAGCGAGCCATAGCTACAAATAAGGATATATGAGTTTTCGTGCCAGTCAAAACGGATCTCAAGTCAACTCACGATATACCATAATAACTCAATTTGTCCCGTCCAAAGGCTCGTGTAATAGTCAGCATATCAGTCGCTACAGTCGGCGTCGAAACTGACTCCACGACAGTCTTCGCACGTGCGTTCGCCAAGTCACCAAGTATCTGGGCCTGTGCGACGATTCTGCCCAGGGAAGAGATAGACTCGTTGGCATTCTGTGGATAAGGTGCAAAGAACTCCAGAGCCTCGGCAGGAGACTGGAACAAAGATATCACGGGCGTAGTGTGCCCGACGCCTGCAAGATGGGTATTAGTGGACCTACTTCGCGTAGACGCTACCGAGGAAGCTCACCTCGCGGGTCGAAGCCGACGATATCGTATTGAGGCCCGAGGATCTCACGGAAGAGCGCCGCGTCTTCCACCACGGAATCCACACCGGAAATGCCAGGTCCACCTGAAATAATAGCCGTTCAGCAACGCAAACTACAGACGTGTCCGGAAAGTCGATGCACCTGGATTGAAGAGCAAAGGGCCGAGATACGCAGAATCGTCATGGGATAGGTTGGATGGGAGCACAACAATCGCGACCTGAGCTTCTCCGGCGCTTGGATCCGAGTACTGCAGAGGGACCTATACAGTGGTGTCAGGAACGTATTCACTTCTACGCAGCTTCTGGGCTCACGGTGAGACGCGCACACTGGAGATTACCATAACACGGAGTTAAAGTCAAATTCGGGGACGCAGTGAGCTGTAGGGGCTATCAGGGCTTGTCGTGGGCTCTGACAAAACGGTACGCACATTTGTCCAATCAAACGTGTCGTCGCGCTTAGCCAGGGATCTCGCCTGGGTAAACCCACTCAGGCATAGGAGAAGGGCAACGGGTCTGGAATGCGAAGAGGTGAAGAAGCGCATTGCGATGTTGAGGAGGCGAATCGTGCCCGTGTTCTATACATGCGCGATATGCCTGTGTGATCTCAACTCCCGAGACAGCTGGTGGATATGCCAAGTGCGCTGCGGCCTGTCAATGCATATCCACCTTTCAGCTACGCATTGAGCATCCTGCTCTTCTGCGTCTCGTAATGGGGCGATATTTCCGTGATGGTGGTCGTCGGCAAAGCGGCGGAAACAGTGAGAGATCCACCTGACGCCCCGGCCTTGGCAAAGCGGTGCGGGATAGTAGCCGCGCGCCGTCGGGTGACTGCGCATCATTGACAGCGGCATCGGTGCCTCGCTGGCTGCGCTGCGAAAAGCCCACACAAAGTCATCGTGGACAGCCTCCACCGAACAACCATCACTCGCCGTCCTAGGATATGAGCAGCCTTGTATGTTGTGCGTAAAATTACGCTCTTGATGAGAAGAATTGGCTGTTATATAGGATATATTTTGGGGTGCTACCCCGACCGTGTAACGTTGATGGTCTGAACAGAGGCTCATGCACAGTCTCGAGCGTACGACGCGCTATACTCGGAGATTATATTATAAGTAAAACACTCGGTAGTGTTGAATGGTCATACTGACGGTGTGACGGCTGGAAGGCTGGTGCACGACACGTTGTACGGCTTCTAGAGGAGTAAATTGGCGAATTTGCACAGGGTTGGACGGGCCGGCAATGATGATGCCCTCCGTCGATGTTCTTTCCATGAGGAGCTTGAAACTGTCGCAGATGGACACAGTGATGTGCAGGTATATGCAGAGGTAAATGGCGAGGAACTCGCACAACGGCTCCGCCGACGTCTCACTGCGCCGCGGTTTCAGTACTTAGGCGCGTGCTTCAAGAATTCGCCAACAACGACCCCGCGACCTGCATCGATGACTAGAGCTCCTTTCAGGCTGGGACAATTCGCAAGCGGGAGATGGGCAACTGTCTTTTGGCGCGAGAACTCTGCGTTCAGTGCATTTGACGAGACCGTCGGGAGCGAGAGTGATGTCGCGGTGTTTTCGGACTGGAAGCGCCTTTGATGCGCCCTCGGCGATCAGTTCGGAAGAAAGATTAACATTGAATATTGAATATTGATATTGATCTCGGAACCGGTCGCTGTTCCATTGGGGCCGCAATTTCACGGCCGATTTCTGCATACACAAGGACCCCTGACATTGGGTGGAGAGGCCTGATCCTGATTTTCGCCTGACCACGCTTTTTTATCCGCACAAAATTTCGGCCCTCTGGCCCAAAAATGTACGGATTTTCCTCTGGCCCCGGCCTGACGGCCGGGTTTGGATGCGGATCAGTCACCAAGCCTCTACATCTTCAATAACTCGTGCCGTTCTGTGTCCATAGACATCCCTGTAGTACAACTAACATCTCTGTATACAATAAACTAAGTTTCTGTCTCACCTTCGTCACCATCTTCTGCCGCCACTGCCGCCGCCGCTCTCTTCTCCCCTCGCCTCCGGAAAGTATCGAGGGCCTTCACGGCAGCTTCAATCCTGGAACGGGAGAGGGCATCGTTTAGCTTATAGAGCACTTTGTATGTGATGCTGTTCAGGCTAATCATCTTGCGATCATATGAAAAAGTCGGGATTTCACCGGGAAGGGTGCGCAAGAAATGATCAGATGGGGCGTGAGCGCGAGGCAGCTACCGGCAAGTACAACGGCGGGTGTGTCAGAGGCATGATAGATTTGTCTTATCCCTATCCACTCGGCGGGGTTCCAGCTTGCCTCGACGGCAGCTTCGCTGTCGGAATCAACTTCGACTGTGCTGCCAGGAGCCATTGACGGAGGCAGGAGCAACAGCTTGCAGCGGCATGCCAACTTGGGCAACTCAGGACAGAAGCAAAGTGACTCTATCCTAGCTCTGACTGTCCCCTCGAGTAGCATACAGGTGTACAGACACAGGAATAAAATATTTTATTTGCTCCTTCACTTGCATTCTTCATTCTTACTTGCCTATCGTAGGTGAACACTGACAGCGGTGCGATCTGAATAGCCACGAGAACGATAACCGATTCCCGGTTGGGGCACACTTTGTATTAAATGTTGCACTACATATGGAAAAACCACCAATATCGACGAGGAAAGTGTCTTAGATATATATATATATATATTTAACCCTTGGGCACCAGCCAAATGAGGCTGCTAACGTGCTCCAAAAATTCGTATACGGACGGTCCTTAGGCCTGGTAGAGCGGCCGCTGGCGCGGTACGGATTATTCCTCCGGCCCTCCCGGGCCCAAGGGGTGTTTTGGACGCGGATTGCCCCAGGCATGGGGGTCCCGAGACCCCATTTTGGATGCGGATTGTCCTCAGGCCCCTCCGCCTAATGTCAGGGGTCCTCATACACAGGGCCCCCGCGGACAGCATCCTGGGCACTATCTGCGGGATTTTGATAATCGTGTGACCCAGATTCCGATTGCAGCAGAATCTGAGCGCTCCTGTCCAAAATCCGTTCGATTTTTGTCTGATTACACTTTTGGCTCTGCTGTAATCACTATCAGCCGGATTTGGTATATCTCGCAATCCGATTCTTAGTTGAAAGCTTTTCCGCATGGTACGAAGCGGGATACACCCGTGTGAGGCCAGAGGAGCACAGAGGTACATTGAAGGCCTATGGGCAAGTTCCCTCTAGTAACCTGTTCCTCGCTTCTCTAGTTGCCCCTGCCACCTCGCATCTACCGCCTTCCGAGCTGTCTCCTAGTACAAGTGAGGGCCTATACTGCACCAGGGCGGCCCGTACTGTGATGCAATATGTGTCGGCCGCCCTGCCGAGCTCTCCAGGCATGCCGGAGCAGCAGCATCCGTCGTACCTGCATCGGACGACAAAGATGTTGATCCAGGCAGTGCGTTATTTTCCCCGCTCGTAGGACAGATCTTGTATCACTGACATTACCGGCTTGTGATCGCCATGACAGATGGCGGGAGACGGTTATAGCCGCAGATGAAGTCAGGCATAGTCATAGTTTTTCTGGTCATCACAGCACATCTGATGACGATACGAACCATGATGACATTATGAAGATCAGCAGGACGATACTCATGATCCCGACGATGCTTTCCTGCAGACCTGCGCCCCTGTCCACTGTGTGGCGCTGAGCAGACAGACGGCGAGACCTCTCAGCAGCATTATTTGTTGCACATCATATATACACTTGGGACCGCTACATATATCTTTGATATCTGGCGCAGAAGCCTTCTGCACGTCGCGTCCCACTGTGCGAATCTGCGGTGGGCGGTGGGCGCTTGATCCCACCCGAGGTCTGAGACCTGGAGCGAGATTGCTGTCAGGTCAAAATCCGGCTGTTGTGAGACAACAATCGAACGGATTTTGGACCTCAGCTATCTGGACGTTGATCTGTGGGCAATCCCCTGGAAACCTGGTACACGCAATCTCCCGGGGCCCTGTGTAGTGGGGCTTAAGCGCTTGAGCTTGAGTCGCTACGCGGCAGATGATATACTGCTGATAATCCACTGGCATATGTCTGGTCAAATATAAGCCAAACTCGACCGTCTCGATGTAATTAGTAATAGTATCTGATGGTACTCAGGTGAAATAAATGAATTCTTTTGTCGCTTTATTTATTTTTGTTGAGGGGATGGTATTTCAATATATTTGATTTTGGCCATTAGATTGATTGGGTTCGTAGAAGAAACGCCATCCATATTCAACTCTTTTTTGTTTATAAAAGAAGCAGTACATATATATGTGCAGGGCAGAACAACCAACAAGCATTCATCACGCGTAAGCGTAGCTCGGCGAATCTCTTCGAAATACCTGGCCTCACGATGATCTACCCTAAGTCGCCCGTCCACCAAAAGTGCTCCTTGACGTGACCTTCTTCCTCGTCAATGCGCGAGCAGAAACACCAAGGCCTTGTCCTCTGGCTGCAAGCGAGGCGTTGCTGCTCCCGCCTGTAGGCGGGCCAAAGATCTCTGCTTCAATCTGGCACACCGTACCTGGTTGCGGCAGTGTGCCGTTGTTGAAGTACGTGTTAAGGGCTAGAGCGGTACAAGTCGACAAACCAGACTGCGAGGTGTGCTAAGTCAAACATGAGTCAACTTTCGAACAACATCGTCTGATCAGAATGACGCACCCCAGTAGAGTTCTGCTGTAGGACCACGAATCCGACAAAACCAGCAGACATGTTGTGTGCGCTATAGATACAGGTCAGTCCATAGCGGACGACAGATTCTCATCCAATCTTACTTCTCTATAGGGGTCACTGGATCTGCATTACAGCACAAATGAGCTGACGTGAATCAAGACCGATGCTTGGGCACATACCAAACGTGTTCCCAATTAACAGGAGCGGGAAGCTGGTGTTCGTCTCGAATGAGCCTGAAAGACACATCGCTATCAGCACACTAACATTCCAAATATGCCAAACGTACCATTCAAGTGATCTTTGCCGCGGACGGACCACCCGCTGCGATTAGGTTAGCAACGTAGAATGCAGTGACGAAGTATAAGAACGACGCACGCGCAAATTCCCTGCGTAAGTGGGTACCACGCAGTCGCAAGCGACGACATCTCTAGTATACTCTCGTACTCCGCTCGCGCGGCCTCCAGCGTCCGCCTCGTGTCGACAATGCTGTCCCCGCACTCGATGGCAGCCTCGACATCAAGAAATCCCACACTAAATGGCTCCGACGAGTCGAATGTGCACGTCGCCAGCGTGTCAATGTTCTGCGTGTCCGCGCCCTGGAATATCAGAGTGCCATTCCCCTGCTCAAGCTGGACGACCGCCTGCGCGAATCCCAGAGCGTCGGTATACGGGTTGTACAGCATTTCTAGCAGCTGTTGCACCACTACAGTGTAGTCCACGACGCCAAATACGTTCCCGGTGGTGCCCGAGCTGTTGAACAGAGCGACGGGTGCTAGGTGAATGTCGTCGATGAGCCGGTTGACTCGTGCACGGACGAGATCAGTGCTGTTCTCGAAAATAGGGCAGAGCGAAGGTCCTGCTGCGACACAGGCTTCGTAGACGGACTCTAGAGCAGCATCGGTATCCAGTAGGCTGTCCTTGGCAAAGGATGTTCCTACGAGTACACTAGTCAGAAAACGGCTGGATATTGCTACAGTCCGGAATATGCACCTTGGTACCAGTCATGTGCATTGACGATTCCATCAATGGCGAGACGTTCAACTTGGTCGGGGAACATTGCAGCAAACCTGGAATAGCGGTTAGCTATGACGACACAATTGCGATGCAAAAAGACGTACGTAGCTCCAAGCAACGAGCCGTAACTACAAATAAGGATGTATGAGTTTACGCGTCAGTAGAGATAAATCTGAAGTCCACCCACGATACACCATAGTAACTGAGTTTGTCCCGTCCAAAAGCTCGCACAATACTCAGCATATCAGTCGCTACAGTCGGCGTCGAAACTGACTCCACGACAGTCTTCGCACGTGCGTTCGCCAAGTCACCAAGAATCTGGGCCTGTGCGACAATCCTGCCCAGAGAAGAGATAGACTCGTTGGCATTCAGCGGGTAAGGTGCAAAGAACTCCAGAGCCTCGGCAGGAGACTGAAACAGGGATATCACGGGCGTGGTGTGTCCGACGCCTGCAAGAAAGATATGAGCGGATACATTCCATATAGACGCTTCCGAAGAAGCTCACCTCGCGGGTCGAAGCCGACGATATCATATTGAGGCCCAAGAACCTCACGGAAGAGCGCCGCGTCTTCTACCACAATATCCACGCCGGAAGAGCCAGGTCCACCTGAAACGACAGCCGCTTAGCAATGCGAAACACAAGCGTGTCCGGAAAGTGAACGCACCTGGATTGAAGAGCAAAGGGCCGAGGTACGCAGGGTCGTCATGGGATAAATTAGACGGGAGCAAAATAATCGCGACCTGAGCTTCGCCGACGCTTGGATCCGAATACTGCAGGGGGACCTATACAGCTGTGTTAGGCACATAGTAACTTGTATGCAAGTTCTGGACTTACGGTGAGACGCGAGCACTGGAAACTACCATAACACGGGGCCAAAGTTAAGTTCGGGGACGCAGTGAGCTGCAGAGGCTATCAGGGTTTGTCATGGACTCTGACAAAACGATGCGCACATTCGCCCAATCAAATGTGTCGTCGCGCTTAGCCAGGGATTTCGCCTGGACAAACCCACTCAAGCATAGGAGCAGCGCAACGGATCTGGAATACGAAGAGGTGAGGGGACGCATTGCGATGTTGAGGAGGCGAACCATGCCCGTGTTCTATAAATGCGCGATATGCCTGCGTGATCTCAATTCCCAAAAATGAGCTGACAGCTTGTGGAAATGCCGAGTGCGCTGCGGCCCATTAATGTATGCCCACCTTTTAGCTACGCATCAAGCATCTTGCTCTTCTACGGATCTGGAATGGAAAGAATTTCCATCATGACGGTCGTCGGTAAAGCGGCGGAAGCACCCACTTGACGCTTCGTCCATGACAAAGCGGTGCAGGGTAGCCGCGCGCCGACGGATGACCGGTAGTTAGTGACCGCGCATCATTGACAGTGGCATTGATGCCCCGCTGGCTGCGGTGCGAAAAGCCCGCACAAGTTCATCACAGACAGCCACCATCGAACGGCATACGAGCAGCCCTGCATGCTGTGTGTATAGCTCCGCTCTTGATGAGAATAATCCGCTGCTACTGTACCCGTACGGCCAGTCCAGCGCGTCACGCGTCACATAGCCCCCGACCTTGAGAGCAGCGGTCACGTCGCCACAAGGGGTGCCGCCGCTTTTCACAACTTTTTCTGCTAGACTCAGTATTTGGGATTTTTATGGCCTGCGGCGCAAAATGCACGAGAGAGAACTTACCGGCGCTTTCTGCGGTGTGGCGCTATAGCTGTTCCTCACTATGTTGCCGCACTGTCGGATCACGCTTGGGCCGCCGCCACCGCTTGACCGCCGCATACTTGAACGATGCTACAGGTCCCCGTCAAATTCGCCGCTCTGCCAGACTGGTGGTCGACCATCACGCATCACATGTCACACTCGCCGCCGGACAGGTCGTAGGAGTACAGTATAAACTGTAGATACTACGTAAGCGATGCTTGGGGGCGAAATGTCGCGAATTAGATATATCTCACCTGTTGAATTCGTGTTGCTTTATTCAGTCTTCCTGTCCATACCTCCAGCACCAGACGACCGAGCACCTTCTATTTTACCTCGGAGCAGAGAGCCTGCAGTCTATAATCCTAACGAAGAAAAAGTCAGCTTCTGGCTTTCATAGGCGTCTGGACAGTGTGAACATACTCACATGATGACTTACATAGCCCGACCAACGAGTTGAATGCGGGGGTTCCCACCGTCAAGAGACTGGCAATATGCTTAAGCGGAAAAGATACAAGCCATGATGTTCTCAGGGTGGAACCAGTCATCCTGCGCAGTGACGGAATGATTCGCGTCTTCATGGTCTGGCTTCAGTCGTATAGCCTGACGCACATGGCTAAACAACGTCAGAGCCCGAGAGTTGCTCCTACTGCAGTGGACGTACCGAACGGGACAAGGATGCACAGGCGAGCACCGCAGCACGAACCACTGCACGCAAACAACAAAGGGTTCGTAAGTGTCGACGTTGTAGGTGATGTTGTCTATGTTGACTTCATATGAAGCGACAGCCAGTGATACCACTTGGGAACTGCATTCGGACTCATAGGCGGGGCACCTGTGCATGTATGAATATATATTGGGGCTGAACTCAAGCATGTGAACGAACTTTGTGTAGGGTGCACCTGGGGATCGCCGACTCCTGTTTCTCCGGATCCTTCGCGCGGGTGGCCAGATGTATTACACTAGGGAATTTCTTGACCGGATGCACTACAATCTAAAGTCAAAAATTAGTCACAGCTCTCATGGCTGAGGTCAAGCTGTTGCTGCAGGTAAAGCCGTCCAGCGTATGATGAGGCCATGATGACACGAAGGTATCGTGTTCAATTCATTTTCTATGGGTATACGTACAAATCTCTTCTGGAATAGCTCTCTCTGAATTCATTCAGCTGTCCGTGCTCGTACCGTTCACTCCAAATCTCGTGAGCTCAATGTTCTTATCGCTTTTTTTCCGTTCTTGACCTTCTAATACCCTGCAGGATACTACGTGAGTCCAAAGTAGCTTTAATACAAGGCTGCATGATAAGATACGTACCGAACGTAATCCAGGAAAGGCGTGCACCGGTGATGCTCATGACAGTGTCCAGCCACAGAAGCCTGAGGAGACGAACAACAGGTGCCAACAGAGGGATCACAAGTGTTATCTGGGCGAGAAAGGTCTCATGTTCGGCGATTTGGAGTGAGTCGGGGTCGTCTGCGCTTGGCTTCTGCTTAAGGTGGGTGACCATTATATGCCGGGAAGGTTTTCCGGATAATAAGGATATTTTGCCTGTCCGTCGTCTTGAATGACGCTGATTTTGTGTTTTGGTAGGTACGAATAGAAGCCCACGCGCGGTCTTGAGCGTGCGACGAACTACACTCGGAGATTAGAACACAAACAAAACACTCGGCAGCGTCAGATGCCCATACCGAAGATGAGGTGACTGGAAGGATAGTGCACGACGCACTCTAGGGCCGGGTTCGTAGCCAATCCGCTTCCGAGGGTCTTCTCCGATGACGGATCTATCTTCGAGAGCTGGAAAACATCCGTTTTTAGGTCTCTGCACTCCAGACCCACTCGGGTAAGTTAGACCTCGCACGACAGATGGCTTCGTCACAATATTGAGCTGGCTGCATGGGGCTTGCGTGTCGGGGTATATAGTTGCAATAGGGTCTAGTCACTGCGAAGAGCTTAAACTACGAACTTCTCTTCCTACATCAGTAAGAGTAAAGAAGAGCAAGACCACAGGGTACGCACTGCAGCTCAACATGTTCTTCACCCGGTACAACCCTCTGCCAGCCATCTCATGAGCACTCCTTGTAAGATGCCAGGTGTTCAGGGCTTCAAAAAGATCTAGCTGGGAGCTAGCATCGGGACAACGGACCTGAACTGTGTACACGACCTAGCGGACAGTCACAGAAAGCCATTAATCCTGAACGGTTCTCGCTGTGCATCGTCGAGGAGGGGTGCCAAGACGATAGTCACAGGCATAGATAGCATGCATGGCCGCAGATTTAAGCGGGTTGAATGTGTAGACGCTGCTCGAGTTGAAGAGGTCAAGGAGATGGCAAGAGTGATCCAAATACTGGTAGCAAGCAACGCGGCTGAAGTATCACTATGACGAGACGAAGTCGGGGAGATAGCCAGCGGTGTCGAGAGAAAGCCGTGGGAGTCAAATGTCCGCTTCGGACGACTAGGCTGTTGTGGCACCAACCCTGACCCGGCTGATCATAAGTCAACCGTGCCCAAAGAGATACAAACAGTCCGCGCTTGGAACTGACCGTTCAGCATTTCCCAGGACAGCTCTACTCGTAGGTACAGATGTCACCCGCCTTGGTCTCGGGAGATGGGACTGAAATATTGTATCTAGCTCTAACAGAAGGGCTTCCAAAGCGAGAGTGTACAGCCGCCTTCGGGCCTACTTGCCGGAACGGCGACTTATCTAGCCGTCCTGATAAGTGGATGAGCTTGGGCTTCTCGAGCGGTAGGGCGGGCCTTTATGAATTCATATCTCGCGAAAAGAGTACCGATGTCCACAAGGTATGCTGACGATAACAAGACGGTTATCATCCTGGACATGCTCTGAGTGTTGATAATCCCTACCTTTAGCTCCAAAGCCTTCTTCCTTGAGAGCCGAAGACCATATCGAGGATCACCTCCTGTTACCTCCGCATTGGACGGCCCTCCGCTTGAAATTATGCCGAGAGATAGGGAGAAAAAAATGGCACTATCTCCTCCAGTCGCGTGCAGCTTCCTCGGCACTGCTCATGGGACCGGGCCCACACGTGAAACAAAACTTCCGTGCTAAGAAGACCATGGGGAATAGGGTATAGAAAGAGTCAGCGTCGGCGCGATCTACTCCAGACTCTGTTTTGCCTCACTTCAGTTGGCGAACGATGTCCGTCTTGCTGGACGATGTGCATGTCTTCGAGCGCGAGCGTACGAACAGCGACTTGTCGCTCAAAAAGCTCGACCAAGAAAAGATATCATCTGTTGAGGTTAATGTTCTCGACACCTTCAATGATGGCCCGGGCGAGACGGATTCTGGGATCATTCAGAAGGCAGAGGACGTCGCATTGAAGGTCTGTGCGAGGCTTATTTGACACTATGCGTTGTTAATGTCTTGGCATTAGGTCATTTCAACAGATGATGATCCGACTCAGCAAGCCATTACGTTCAGGAGCGTCTTCTTAGGATTTGGTCTCAGCGTGTTCAGTGCAGTGCTTGCTACCATTTACACCTTTAAGCCTCAGGTATGTTAATGGCATGGGCTCAATGGCAGTCTAGAACTGACACAGTTCACAGAATGCTTCAGTATCTCAACTCTTCTGTCTCATCATCGCCTACGTACTCGGAGAGGCGATGGCTAGTAGGTTGCTGATTTCTTCCTCCAGCGGGTGTAGTACATGACCCCTCTGTTTTCGCGCAGCCCTCATCCCAACAAAAGGCTGGTTCAGATACCTCAATCCTGGCCCTTTCAACATCAAGGGTTGGTCCATCCCTCGTCTCATAAGGCGTCTATACTTACGTTCGTCGCGCAGAACACACCGCGATCGTCATCATGGCCTCCACTGCGTCCTCCGTTGCAATTGCTATGGAAGTCATCGCAGCCATTGGCAAGTACTCCACTAGCTTTCTTATCAGAAACTTTACTGATCAAGTGACTCACAGATCTCTTCTACAATGAGAATCTAAATGCAGCGGTCGCCATCTTCCAGATCTTCGCCAGCCAAATGCTCGGTTATGGCATGGCGGGAATTCGTAAGCCCACTCAATTTCCTATACTACCACCGAAGGAGCTCACACAGGCGCAGTGCGTACGCTACTGGTGTATCCAACCTATGCGTTCTATCCGTCCTACATCTCCGTGGTATCGCTCTTGCAGAGTCTTCACTTCAAGGGTGCGCTCAACCACAAGAAGAGGAAGTACTTTTGGATGGTGTTCGCTGCGATCTTCTTCTGGGAATGGTATATATCCGCCCGGCATTGTGCTGCAGCATGTACTCACCCGAGACCTTTGTTCAGGATTCCCCAATATCCATTCCCGCTCCTCACTGCCATCTCCGTCGTCTGCCTCATCGATAATGGCCGCTCGCCCTTCGTCCGGAACCTCTTCGGTGCTGGATCCAGTAATGAGGGCCTTGGATTACTCAGCTTCGGCACAAGCTGGACGCTCATCACACAGGGCAGTCCGCTCGTCTGGCCTCTCAAGACACAGATCAACTCATACCGTACGTACATGACTCAGGAAGCAATTTCGCCCTCTGATATCAGACTCTCAGTGGGCATGGCCATCGGCTATCTCGTCCTCACGCTTGCATATTACAAAAATAGCTTCAATGCGCGCGATCTCGTCTTCATGTCCACCTCGCTATTCGGTGCGGATGGCAACACATACAACCAATCGGCGATCCTGACTCCCGAGAATTCGCTGGACAAGGCCAAGCTCGCGGAGGTTGGCCTGCCTCGGTACACCGCGACATATGCTGTCAGCCAGATGTGTTACAACTTCAGCCTTGGCGCAGCGTTGGTGCATGTACTCTTGTGGCACTGGGATGATTTGAAGAGCGGTGAGTGATGTTCCCTGAGATAGACTAAGGGGCTAAAATGATAAATTGCGGCAGCATTCGTTGGACTCAAGTTCTTGAAAGGTAACCAGGAGATTGACGATCCGCACTACCAGCGTAAGTATCCTGTTCGTGGAATGGCGTACCCTGTACAATCAAGGGTTGTTCTGCAGAGATGAAGAAGTACGCCGAGGTTCCGCAGTGGTGGTATGGCCTTCTGTTCGTTGCGTCTCTTGCCGTTGGTATTGGATGCAGTGTGCGTCTGTGGCTCCTATCGGCCTAGGTAGTTGGCTGAAGCGTTCTTCTCGCAGTACGCGACTCCGACACCCCTCATGCCCTGGTGGAGCATCATTCTCTTCACCGTCATTAGCGCTGTTATCGCCATCTGCTTGGGTTTCAGTACGTGTCTTCAAGTTGGTCCGGACACCCTATGCCCGTACTGAACATGAGTTCTAGTTGCCGCAACCACAGGCTTCCAGATTTCTATCACGTACGCTATCCAAGTACTTGCGGCGTTCATCCACCCAGGGGAACCTATGTCCGTGCCTGAGACCTTCCAGCGTGCTCCGCTAAGCAACTAACAAATTCATTGCAGCACAGTCATGTACGTCAATCTGTACGGAAACAGCACTGCATTCCAGACCCTGGCCATGCTGCAAGGTACGCGTGCTGCCTACAGTTCTACCGGAGGCCTGTGGCTGACAAAACACCCGCTGGATAGATCTCAAACTCGGCCAATATACAAAGCTGCCGCCAAGGGTGACATTCGTGGCGCAGATGGCAGGCTCCATTGTCGGATCCATCTTCAATTACACCAGTATGTCTGACTCACTCCGTGGTACCGGCGGCGTTGCTCACACAGCCCGTCCCAGTGATGATCATAATCGTAAACGCCAACAGAGAGGTTTTGCTTGATCCAGTCGGCACACGTGTGGTGCGTTGCATGCCTTAAGCCCGGATTGAATAAGTGTTAACTCGCGGTGCGATAGTGGAGTGGCTGGATCGTCCAACAATACAATTCTGCGTCTGTGGCTATGGGTGCGCTTGGCAAGGAACTGTACGCCGCTCCCTTCCAACTTTTCCCCGCCACCACTCATGCTCCTTGATCAGATTTACAATTGGCAAGCCATACTGGTCCGTCCCCTTCTCGATCATCCTCGGGCTCTTCTTCCCCATCCCGTTCTGGCTCCTACACCGGTACACCGTGAAGGGCACGTGGCTCAACCGCGCCGCGGCGAACGTCGTTACACCTATCGTTGCACTTTACGTCGGCTACCTGCCATACTCTGTCAACGGCCAGTGGTGGTCGTGCGTCGTAATCGGTCTTGCGTCCCAGTGGTGGGCGCGATCGCGGCGCCCTGCGTGGTTCAGGAAGTACAACTACCTCACTTCCGCGGCGCTCGATGGCGGGAGCCAGGTCATTCAGTTCATCCTGGTATGTAATGTGGTTATGAACTGTGCGCGGACGTGACTGACAGGTCGGGCCTGTAGAGCTTCGCCGTGTTCGGTGCCAGCGGCCAGGCGGTCGACTTCCCGACGTGGTGGGGCAACCCTGCGAACCTCTCTGTCGATCGGTGCGCGGCGACAGACTGAACACTATCATTCTGGATCATCGGGGGAAAGCATGTATCGTACAGAGCACATTTCAAAGCTATCAGCTAGCGGCAGCAGCGTGAGCCTATGCTGGCCTGACGCGTGTTAAGCGAACAGTACTGTAGTACATCAGAGGAGCGTATCTTTTGGCGTCACGGGGCGACGAGGTCTCGTCCCCGTACATTGTGATTAACGTCTAGTCGTCATACTTCTTGCCGCCCTCGTCGTCGCCCTCGTCGTCGCCCATAATTCTCTCTCGCTATTTCTGCTCATGTCCGCCGCCAGTTTCCTCGATCTCGCCTCCACCCGTTGGCCACGACCATTTGCAGTGATACGAGCATCCTTTTTGTCAACCCGCGCACGGCCTCCGCTTACGCCTTCCTCATCTGTATCGTTGTCTTTGTTTATATTAGTATCGATCTCGTCAGGGCGTATCTCGCTTCTCATCCTAGCGTCGCGAAAGCCTGCGTGTAGACCTCCGTTTGCTGACCCTTCTTGTGACCCCTTCGTGTCCCGATCAATGCTACAAATCTTTCTGTCAGGCTCTACCGGGGACAGTTTTTCTCTCAACGGCCTGTACTAGACTAGCTGAATTGCCAATTGCGAGGACGGCGAGGGCTTAGTTACCCCCCCCCCCCCGGGGACGACGTATCAACAGGATTAGAGGGGCCCGTGGGCCCGGCTACTTGTCATGACGATCCAAGTCGCTCTCGCTCCTGGAGCTTCGCGAGCTGCGGGTGCTTCGATACATCTTCTGACGCGAGGAAGAAGCCGAACGCCACGATGAGCTCGTCTGGGAAGGCAGGCTTGCTCGCGGAGGCACTGAGACTTGAGGTGCCTCCACTGCCAGTGCGCTCGAGCAATTTTGTGATGCCGAGGCACTCTTCTGCGACCTTTCGAACCTCGACAAGCAGCTCATCCCGAGAGCAAAGTGTAAAGTGATGATAGTGCTGCTTGTATCCTGCGTGCCACTTTCTTTCTGCGGAGTACTTGCGCAAGGCGACGTTTGTTGCATTCCAGAGGCTTGTCTATGTAGCTGACCTTAGGGATGGCACTATTGCAGTCGGTGGACCGAGGCTGGAGACGAGCAGGGGGCCGCTGGCGAGCGGCCTTGAACGCGACTATTCCCATCGTCAAGAAGTGATGGGGGAAAGAAGCAATTCGCATCTTTGGGGTCCGGATTCAGCCGTGCAGCCTGACGCATATAACTACGTGGCCTCAGAGCCCGACGAGGTGCTCGTGCTTGTAGTAGACGTGCAGAGTGTTGCCAGACGCCGTCCCGATGATCCGCCAAAGCGCATCAGATGCCGCGCCTTCCCGAACAGTCGTGCCTATTTAAGGATATGATGCGCTCTCAACGCTGGCGCCCATTTTTTGCAGCTTGCTAGCAGACTTCCAGTACTGGGACTTGACTGTACTCGTGAAACCCCTCTGCCTGCGCAACCCCACTCAGAGTCACAGCACATTAGAGGACTGACCGTATTACAGCATCTGTCGCGCGCTGCCTTTCAGTGTACTTGCTGTAACTTGAGTGACGGGGCCAACAGCAATTCTACCAGTTGCGGCTAGCACACTTGAGCCCATCGCGTTTGCGGCGCAGTCTGGCTCGTGTCGTCGTCGTCAACTTACCGAGCGTCATTCGCCTTGCAGTTTACGCTTCCATCCGGTGAGTTTGTGTTGATCATCTGGATGGCGCTTTACTCAACGCCAGTCCAGGGCTGGCAATCTGCCGGGCGAAGAAGCACTGATTTTGCGCCATGTGCTTCGAAGGCAGCGGTTTTCACGGCGCTCATAGCCTTTTTGGAGCGCCATATTCATCGTTTTTTGTAATTGAGCCTCATGGGGCCACCTGTTCAACGACGACCCGAGTGCGTACATCTAACATATTCCTACGGAAGGCTACCTGAGGTGACCGTTAAGGCATTACTAGGTGTCTATTTACCGATAGTATATACCCTGTCAATTGTCGTGCTCTTCCGAGTTTTCAATGGCTCCGATGGTGTGGCAACTGGTATTCTCCAGCGGTGGACAATTAGTTCTCCGGCGCACTGCTCAATCACTGGTATGTTTTTAATTTGTGTACTTTCACTAATGCCGATACTATCATCCTCGCCCAAAGCACGTATCACATCAGCATTTCCTCGATATCTGGCTCTCCCTTAAGAGGGATCGGCAACTGCTGGGCCTCTGGGTTGGTCTCTGGGTTGGTCTCACGAATTGCGTTCGTGTACGAAGCGGGTGAAAGTGTGGATCTGCCTCCGGACGGACTGAGATTATCAGGCGGAGAAAGTCCGTCAGCCACTTGTAGCAGAGCGTGAGGCTGAAGCCAAGCGTGAGGCAGCCCAGGTGCTCGCCACTGAAGAATGCCAAAATCAAGTGAGTGTCGTCATTTCTAGCGTGCCGGCCTTGCTCACTCTTCATTTTTGTTCATTTCGGTGCCTGTGTAGTAAGCCAGTTCACCGTTACGCGACCTGCATGGAGAAATGCCCCGTGGGGAGCGCTGCTCCGGCCCTGTCAGACGACAAGTTAACGCCACGGAACCAACCGCCTTCTCACTGGTTTAATTCGAGACCGCGCCCAGACAGACACGAATATTCCGCGTCTAGAGTCAACCTTGATGGCCTGAACTGGGCATTTTCCGGCACATATTTACTCGCAGGTGCGGATGTCATGTGCCTTGGTCACGAGAAATGGGGCTGAAATATCGTATCTAGCTCTAACATAAGAGTTTGCGAAGCGAGAGCGTAGAGCCGCCTTTCTTGCTCCGGCTTATCTGGCCATCCTGATAACGGGACGAGCTCGGGCTTCTCAAGCGCTACGACGGACCTTTACGACTTTATGTCTCACGAAAGCTTCAATGCTACGAAAACCTTGACAAGTAGGGGTACAGGAAGTGCCAGCATCTGTGCGATCTACACCAGACCCCGCCTTGCCTCACTCCGGTAGGAAAACGATGTCTGACTTGCTGGACGACGTACATATCCTCGAGCGCGAGCGTACGAATAGCGACTTGTCGCTCAAAAAGCTCGACCAAGAGAAGACTTCAGTCGCTGAGGGTGACATCCCTGACAGCTCCGACGATGTTTTGGACGAGACAGATCCTGGAATCTTTCAGAAGGCGGAGGACGTCGCATTGAAAGTGTGTCCGAGATTTGTTTGACATGATACATTGCTAACATCTCGATATCAGGTCATTTCAACAGAAGACGATTCGACTCAGCAGATTATTACATTCAGGGGTGTCTTCCTGGGGGTGGGCCTCAGCGTGTTCAGTGCAGTGCTTGCTACCATTTACACCTTTAAGCCTCAGGCATGTGAACAGCACAGTTCAATCGGCAGCCTAGACTGACACAGTTCGTAGGGTGCTTCGGTATCTCAACTTTTCTGTCTCATCATCGCCTACGTACTCGGAGAGGCGATGGCTAGTAGGTTGCTGATTTCTTCCTCCAGCGGGTGTAGTACATGACCCCTCTGTTTTCGCGCAGCCCTCATCCCAACAAAAGGCTGGTTCAGATACCTCAATCCTGGCCCTTTCAACATCAAGGGTTGGTCCATCCCTCGTCTCATAAGGCGTCTACGCTTACGTTCGTCGCGCAGAGCACGCCGCGATCGTCATCATGGCCTCCACTGCGTCCTCCGTTGCAATTGCTATGGAAGTCATCGCAGCCATTGGCAAGTACTCCACTAGCTTTCTTATCAGAAACTTTACTGATCAAGTGACTCACAGATCTCTTCTACAATGAGAATCTAAATGCAGCGGTCGCCATCTTCCAGATCTTCGCCAGCCAAATGCTCGGTTATGGCATGGCGGGAATTCGTAAGCCCACTCAGTTTCCTATACTACCACCGAAGGAGCTCACGTAGTCGCAGTGCGCACGCTGTTGGTGTATCCAACCTATGCGTTCTACCCGTCCTACATCTCCGTGGTATCGCTCTTGCAGAGTCTGCACTTCAAGGGTGCGCTCAACCACAAGAAGAGGAAGTACTTTTGGATGGTGTTCGCTGCGATCTTCTTCTGGGAATGGTATATATCCGCCCGGCATTGTGCTGCAGCATGTACTCACCCGAGACCTTTGTTCAGGATTCCCCAATATCCATTCCCGCTCCTCACTGCCATCTCCGTCGTCTGCCTCATCGATAATGGCCGCTCGCCCTTCGTCCGGAACCTCTTCGGTGCTGGATCCAGTAATGAGGGCCTTGGTTTGTTCAGCTTCAGCACTAGTTGGACGCTCATCACACAGGGTACTCCGCTCGTCTGGCCGCTCCAGACGCAGATCAACTCGTATCGTACGTGTATGCCCAAGGAATCGATTACCTCCTCTGATATCAAACTTCCAGTGGGTTTGGCTATCGGCTATCTCATCCTGACGCTCGCATACTACAAGAACAGCTTCAATGCGCGCGATCTCGTCTTCATGTCCACCTCGCTATTCGGTGCGGATGGCAACACATACAACCAATCGGCGATCCTGACTCCCGAGAATTCGCTGGACAAGGCCAAGCTCGCGGAGGTTGGCCTGCCTCGGTACACCGCGACATATGCTGTCAGCCAGATGTGTTACAACTTCAGCGTTGGTGCAGCGTTGGTGCATGTACTACTGTGGCATTGGGACGATCTGAAGAGCGGTGAGTGATATTTTCTGAGATAGATCAAGGGGCTGAAAGGGAGGATCGTGGCAGCGTTTGTTGGACTCAAGATCCTGAAAGACAACCAGGAGATTGACGATCCGCACTATCAGCGTAATTATCTTGCTTGTATATCGGCGCTGTCTGCACAATTAAGAGCTATATTGCAGAGATGAAGAAGTATGCCGAGGTTCCGCAGTGGTGGTATGGCCTTCTGTTCATTGCGTCTCTCGCTGTCGGGATCGGATGCAGCGTACGTCGGTTCGCTTTCATTCACCTAACCAGCCGACTGAAGCGTCCTTCTTGTAGTACACGACTCCGACACCCCTCATGCCCTGGTGGAGCATCATTCTCTTTACCGCCATCAGCGCCGTTATCGCCATCAGTCTGGGATTCAGTACGTGCCTTTGTCTGCACATCCAATGCTCGCATTCAACATGATTATCAGTTGCCGCAACTACGGGCTTTCAGATTTCCACCACGTACACCATCCAAGTGCTCGCAGCGTTCGTCCACCCAGGGGAGCCCATGTCCGTGCCTGCATCCTCCCGGCATGCCTTGCTAAGCAACTAACAATTCGCCGCAGCACAGTCATGTACGTCAATCTGTATGGCAACAGTACTGCCTTCCAGACCCTGGCCATGCTGCAAGGTACACGTGCTGCCTACAGACTGGAGGCCCATGGTTGACATAACGCCCCCGCTGGATAGATCTCAAGCTCGGCCAATATACAAAGCTGCCGCCAAGGGTGACATTCGCGGCGCAGATGGCAGGCTCCATTGTCGGATCCATCTTCAATTACACCAGTATGTCTGACCCGTTCTACGTTGTCGGCTGCGCTGCTGACGCAACGTGTCCCAGTGATGATCATAATCGTAAACGCCAACAGAGAGGTTTTGCTTGATCCGGTCGGCACACGTGTGGTGCGTTGCAGACCTTAAGTTCGGGCTGAATAGGGGCTGATTCGCGGTTCGATAGTGGAGTGGCTATCTCATTCAGCAGTACAACTCTGCGTCCGTGGCTATGGGTGCGCTTGGCAAGGAGCTGTACGCCGTTCTCCTCCCTCTCTTTCCCAAACTCTGCTCATGTTCCTCAGCTTTACCATCGGTAAGCCTTATTGGCCTATCCCCATCTCGATCATCCTCGGGCTCTTCTTCCCCATCCCGTTCTGGCTCCTACACCGGTACACCGCAAAGGGTACGTGGCTCAATCGTGCTGCGGCTTACGTCGTTACGCCTATCGTTGCACTCTACGCCGGTTGGCTGCCGTACTCTGTCAACGGTATGTGGTGGTCGTGCGCCGTAATTGGCTTCGCGTCGCAGTGGTGGGCGCGCTCGCGGCGCCCCGTGTGGTTCAGGAAGTACAATTATCTCACCTCTGCGGCGCTCGACGGCGGGAGCCAGGTCATTCAGTTCATCCTGGTGCGTAAAGTGTTTATGGGCTGCGCGCGGGCGAGACTGACGGGTCGGGTCTGTAGAGCTTCGCCGTGTTGGGTGCCAGCGGCCAGGCGGTCGACTTCCCGACGTGGTGGGGCAACCCTGCGAACCTCTCTGTCGATCGGTGCGCGGCGACGGACTGAATGCTCTCATTCTGGATCATTGGGGGAAAGCATGTATTGTACAGAACATATTTCGAAGCTACTGGCTAGCAGCAGCAGCGTGGGTCTATGCCAGTCTGACGCACGTCGAGCGGGCAGCAGTACACCGGAGGAGCACATCTTTTGGCGTCATGGGGCGACGAGGCTAGCTTACTGACTGTGAAGGCTGGTCTCAGGGTTGGTGGATCACGGGATGGCAACGACCCCGACGCTCAACGTGAAAAGCGTGAAATAAACAGCAGCAGGCTTGATATGCATGTTGGACAACTAGGGAAGACGATAGTCCGAATAAGAAAGCACCGTGACGAAAGAGAGTGCGATAGCATATAACGGACTCACAAGGCTCTCATTCCGGTAGCGATGGGACATTCAACCATACCCTTAGCGTATCAAACCGACTCTCAAGGCACTAAGTTGTAACGCGGGCAAGAGCCAGAAAACAGTGACGGGGCCGGAAGCCAACTGTGAGCCGTCAAAGGGATGGAATGAGGGAACATAAGTCAGCACACTCGACCCGGCGGCGATAATACACACCAATTTCATGTTCCTCATCCCTATACATTGAGACTAACGTTTAGTCGTCACATTTCTTCCCGCCCTCGTCATTGCCCATAATTTCCTCTTGCTATGGCCGCTCAGATCTGCTGCCAGCTTCACCGAGACCCTCGACCTCGCCTCGACCTCGTTAACCACGATTACTTTTGATATCAACGTCCCTTTCGTCGACCCGCGCATGGCCTCCGCTTGTGACATAGCACGGGGTCAAGGACAGGCTTGAGGACGCAGTGAGCTGCCGAGGCAATCAGGATTGGCCATGGACCGGCATAAAAGGTGCACAGATTTGTGTCATCGCGTCCACCTGGAAATATTCCTTAGGAAAACTCGCTCGGGCATAAGAAAAATGCAACAGGTTCAAAACGTGAAGAGCTGCGGAGGCGCATTACAATGTTGAGGAGGCGAATATTAACGTTGTTCGTACCATAAATGCGCGACGCGCCTGCTTGAGCTTGAGTCCCACAAGGACAAGCTGGCAACTTGTAGGAATGCTGATCGCGCTGTCAACTCATATCCGCCTTTCAGTTACGCACCAAGCATTCTAAGGTAGTATTTTAGTATTGGTGTCGTCAGTAAAGCGGCGGAAGCACTCACCTAGCGACACCTCGAGTTCTTCGGCCATGAGAAAGCGGCGTAGAGCAGTTGTACACCTCCGGGTAATTGCGTATCATTGACAGCGGCACTGGTGTCTCCCGGGCTGCGGTACGAAAAGTCCACACGAAACCATTGTAGATGCCATTCAGCATCATCATTCGTCGGCTTATATTTGAATTGCTCTACGCGTTGTGTACATCTTTGTTTACGCCGAATCATTTGTATGGGTACAAAGGCGTGCGTCTCCCGGTAGCCACTCAGCTATCCGTGTTCGTACCGTTCACTTCAGGTTTAGTGAGGTCGACGCTTTCATCGCTTTCTCTGTCCCTAATCCTCCAGTACCCTGTAGATTATTGCATAAGTGCATGAGTCAAAAACAGGTTTGATGCAAGGTTGCAGGACAAGGTACACACCGAAAGTAGCCTGGAAGAAGCGTGCACCTATGACACTCATGACAGTGCCCAGCCACAGAAGGAAACAAACAACAGGTATCAATGGAGGTATTACAAGTGCCATGAGGTCGTCTGGGTGGTAAAAATCTTCATGTTCGGCGATCTGGAGTAAGCTGGGGTCGTCTACGCTTGGTTTCAGCTTGAGATGGACAATCAATCTGTCACGTCGTGCCCTCACGTTCAGCGAGAGTCTTCAAAAGGGTAGTATCATGCAATCACCTGGAAGGGTAGCCGGCCAGAGGAGAGTAGCGGATATGGAAAACTTGCACAACCTCGATGTATGCTTCGTGCTTCTCCGCGTTGTACATGCAGCTACGAACGTCGATCTTGAGAACAGGTGACATGATGCGATACCATCTGCGTCTCATTTCAGGGAAAATTTCAGTACATGGGCAGGTCACTCACTGCAAGATTCCTATGACCGCACTACGGGATCCAGGGCGCCGCCAAACTCTGCAGAGTGGGTGACGAAAAGCTGCGTCTGGCGCATAGTATCTGTGATTGCGAATGAGTAAGTCGTGAGTACTGGTGCAAATTCTCGCACCTAAGTACGGCTGCCTCTTGTATTTCAGGATTCACCGCCGCGGTGATCAGGTTCACGACGTCCGGAATCTCTTTCTGAGGATCTTGCATGTTGCTCTTGCAGCCGGGAAGACAAGCTGACAATCAACGAGGTACTTGATATGCGCCAGTATCTTCGTCGTATTCAACAACGAAGATGGGACGGTGGTTTAAGTTAAGGTCGTCGGGACTGAACATCGCTGTGGATGCAAGAGGCAGCGGGCACGACGTCACGTCACCGAGGCTCGAGGGCGCGTAAATTCCTTCATCACGTGATTAGCACGTGACTCGAGGATAAACGAGAGACGCCCGCGCTTCCTTCCGAGCAGTCTCTCATGGTCAGAGAGCATCATAGACGAGTAAGTCAAAACGGCGCACATCTTCACCTCACAATAATAGCTTCTTACATATATTTCTCAAACAATATCTCTACGAGAGCTCCAGCTCCTAAAGCCTGAAGGACGTCGCAAGCTTCCCGTAATTGAGTACGACATTGTTCTCGGCCGGTGAATCCTCGCACAGCTTCTTCGTCCCCTTCAGACGATATGCAACGTGTGCAATGTGGGCATGATACCAGAACACCAGCTAGTTCTGCGCCTTACCTTGTGCTTGTAGCTTACAACAGTCGCACAGGTGCCTTATCGCGTCTTGTGAGCAGGCTTCGACTTGGCGCGAGATAACGCAATTTCGGGCGTTTCTCGTGTGCGCTGGGCCATCAAGGGCTTGCGCAGCCAATATTCAGATTACCTTGCACGCTCGTGCATCATATGCCTCTCTCTATACGAACGCAAGACTGAGGAAGGCCCTAGCGTGCGACGCCGAACGTGTCTAGGTCCTTGGCCGTGGAAATGGTCATCGCTGCCCTTGTTTGCGCGATCCTTGCAAAGTTCTTGCTAATATAAATGCTTGTGATGCAAAATGTTATCAGACCAGAAATCCCACAAGTCCCCTTCAGCTCAACTCTTCGTCCCCAACTCCACTATGTCCCAGACTACCACCCAGGCACCCGCTCGGAATCAGCTCGTCTCCCCAGAGACCGAGCAGGTTGAGCAGAAGCTCGCGAGTCTCCGGCTCACGGGCGCGGCTGCTCCTCTGCAGCTGGGCAAGTCACTTGATCATTTCCAGAAGACGGACTCGACACCCCTGATTGGCACTGAGTTCGCTCGGGGCGTCCAAATTGCTGAATTACTTAAGGCGCCCAACGTCGATGAGCTGATTCGCGATCTCGCGATCCTCGGTAAACTTCCCATCTCAGCTGCTTCACTTCTCTGTAATGAGATCTTGAGCACAGTGTCGCAGCGTGGCGTGGTCTTCTTCCGTGACCAGGAGCTCACTATTGATGAGCAGAAATCGCTCGGCACGAAGCTCGGCGAGCTCAGTGGCAAGCCTGCTTCCTCCAAGTTGCACATCCATCCCGTCACTGCAGAGGCCTCCGAGCTCGGCGACGAGATTAGCGTCATCACTTCCGAGAGGAATCGCGAATACGTCGCCTCTCGTGTTGACAGGTCGACGCTCTCTGCGTAAGCTAACAGCTTCCGTCTTGTCGTGAAGACTGGTAACATATGACCTATTTCAGGTTGAACTGGCACGCAGATATCACCTTCGAACCCATCCCGTCGGACTATGCCATCCTGAAGATCCACACCCTTCCGAGCTTCAGCGGCCAGGTGACGGGCGGTGACACGCTCTGGGCTTCGTACGTCCCTTTAATAGCTGATAGCATTGCACTCGGTCATGCGCTGACAGTCCTACAGTGGCTACGAGGTCTACGACCGCCTGTCCCCGTCCTTTGCCAAGTATCTCGAGACGCTCGAAGCCGTGCACGAGGCGCGCTTCTTCCACAAGGTCGCGAAGGGCCTCGGCAACAAGCTGCGCAGCGACATTGAGCGCGGCTCTCCGGGCAACATCGGCGGGCACCTCGAGGCCGTACACCCCGTGATCCGCACAAACCCCGTCACGGGCTGGAAGAGCGTGTTCGTGAACCCGAACTTCACGAAGCGCATCGTCGGCGTCACCAAGGACGAGAGCGACACGATCCTCAAGCACCTGTTCAACCTCATTCAGCTCAACCACGACCTCCAGGTCAGGTTCAAGTGGGAGAAGGTGCGTCTCTGGGCTTTTGGCTGGTCAGTTGGGAGTGGTGCTGACGCGGATTTAGAACTCGATCGCGATCTGGGACAACCGGTCCAACTACCACACTGCCACCTTCGACTATGGCAAGGAGAAGCGTGTCGGCGACCGCGTCGTATCTTTGGTGAGTTGTATTTTGACGGCATGGCTTCGTATATATTGCTAACGCGATGGCATTGCAGGGCGAGAAGCCATACTTCGATCCGACGAGCAAGTCCCGTCGCCAGGCTCTTGGCCTCTGATCATAAACCGAACCTTAAGTTTTATAACCCGAATCACCAGACAAGGAGAAATATAGTATACAAAAAGGAATGACGTTGTACTTGTAGAAAGAATATAAGACGTGCAGACGATTAGATCCGTTTAAGGATCGCCATTGCGCGCGTCAACTACTGCCCACCGCTTCGCCCGTTCCTGTGCCCTTGCACCTTCAAACTTGTCCAACGTAGCCTCGATGCCGACGGAACACGCCTTCAGGTCTTCTTCGAGCTGCGGCAGCGCGACACCGTCCATGAGGAGCCTCGTCGTCGGCAAGCCGCCGAGGTACTCCATCTCCGCGAGCATCTGCGCCACGGCCTTCGCGCTCGCGGTGACCGCCTGCCGCGCGTCCTCGCAGTTGTCGCGTATCTTTCTGACGAGCAGTGCGTCGTCGAGCAGGCCGTCGAGCGCGGTCTCCGCGCGTGCACGCGCCCAGAGCAGGCTCCGCGCCGCCTTGCGCTCCATGTGCTCGATGGACGTCTCCAGCGCGCGGTCCTCGCGCCGCGCGACGGCGTCGATAGCGTCCACCTGCTCCTCGAGCACGAAGAGGTCACCGAGCGTGAAGGACGTGGCGTTCTGCAGGGCCTCGAGGTCCTCTTTGAGCTCTGCCACTGCCAACAAGAAGGTTTGTTCGAACTTGATGGCGATGTCGTCTACGTCCAGACTTGGCAGGGGGCTGTCATCCATTGAGATTTGGACACTGTGGACGATGCGGTATATTCTCTCGAAGGATGCTCCTGTCCTGTATGCGCATTTAAATTGGTCTGGCCTGAAGGAGACCAGCTGGCACTCACCGCATCACGGTCCCAACTGTAGTCGCCCCTAGCCGATTCAAACTGCTCGCGGAAGTTTTTGCGTTCTCATTCAGTAGGTGGAGATCGTGTGAGAGCGTCTCACGGACAGACAGCGAGCTGTCTTTGGCATAGTACGCGAGCTGCTTCGCGCTGCGTCCCTGGTGCGCAAGTTCTTCCGACAGCGTCCACACACCTATGGCCGTGTCATACAGAGTCGCCAGCGTCATGGAATGGATTTGCGCAAGGGCAGAAAAGTCGTGCATGACGACCACATCTTGTGGTCCGCGGCAGAAAGTAAATGAGGTGCGCAGTGGCGATGTGCATATTGCTTTCAAAGACGCATCGAAGGCCGGGTCCCTGACGGCTGGGATAAGCAGACTTGCGAGGCCAACTGCTACAATCATGAAGAGACTGTGGATGCGTAGAATTGCGTGCGTCGTGTCTCGCACAACATAGCCGTGATGGCCTTGCAGAGGCGCGGGTGGAGGAGGATCGACCGGCGTGATGGCTCTAGCAGGTATCTCGGCAATGAACGGCTTAGCTATTTCCATCGATTCCTCTCCTCGCTGGGTCACGGATGAAGTACGATTGGTGCGGGGCTCCCTCGGCGCGAGCTCTAAAGGGGAAGGTTCGATTGCATGTACAGCAACAGCAGAAACCTCGGCAATGAACGGGTTGGTCACTTCCATCGGCTCTTCTCCTGGCTGAGTCACGGATGAAACTGATGTATGGTCATCGCAGAGCTCTTCCGACACGAGTTCAGGGCTAGGCTGCTCAGTATTCTCGGGCATTCGTTCGGGATACACTTCCTGATTGACTGCGTCTACCCATCTGACGATGCTGACAAGAACCCTCAATATCTACCACCCACTCTAGAGCGATAATTTATAGCACTTACCCGGACAGCTGCATCGTTTCTAGAGTGTTCAGTTCGACAGGAGGTGAAGAGGGCTGGAAACGCGCGTCGCAGCGTACGCGCCCAGTTATATGGAAAACACGTGCGGCCACGCGAGTTCTATAAAGCAGCCGTCAACGAGCAACAACAAGGAGTCGACTCTGGCTAGGTGCTTACAATTAGGTCCCTGTCTCTTTATCTCCCTGGTGATGTCGCCTCGCAAGAGGCATAAGCGCCGCGATATCCGGATGCATCCGCCGCTCCACTGGCAGCACTGGCCAGCAACTCAGGCCTCAGGGTCGGGGACGGCAAGTCATCACACTCTCGGGAGCAGAGGATGTGCTCGGGGTGGAAGCTTGAGCAAATTCCGACCCGCGCGAGCCCGTCGTTCTGCTTTGTGGCGCGTGCACTGATCACGGCGGTCGGAGTTGGGCGGGTGTGAGCGGCACACGGACGTTTGAACGGCAATACGTTCTTGCTCTTGTCACTCGTCACCCAACGACTCTCTTTCATAAGCTACACGTTTCCACACACGTTCATTCAATTCCGCAAACATACAATCGCTCAACGGGTCTTTGGGCCGGCACCTCTCGTTGCCCATGACGCGCCCAAACTGTTGAAAGGATATTGGGATGGTCAACGTTATCTCAACGTTTGAAAGCATCCGGACGACCGTCACAAGGCAATATTGCCGCTTTATGACGGCAAAAGGCGGTTCTGACGGGTGATGAACGGGTACCGCGGGGTTATGGTTTGATGACTCACACGTATTGCGGAACATCACAGTGCCCGCATTGAGATGTCACAAGCAAGGTTGCCACCGCGCACTGCTCGCGGGAGAGCCCGTATTAGGTGTTGAACCAGAACACATTCGTCCGATTTCCGCTCATCGATTCGTCGCGACACCCTCGTGGCTGCGGGGAGACGGGTATATACACGCCGTTGTCTTGGGCGTGCGCCAAGACTTATTGCGGCCATCCTCACTTGACCCTGCACCTTCACCATCCGCATCCCCTTCCGCCTTCTTGTCTCTCAAGGCCCTCGGGACTGGCTGATGGAGTGTCCCATATGCTGGGAGTCGTTAGTTTCGACTTCTTCGCCCACTATCAGCATACCATGCGGTAAGGGGTTGGTTCCTATGCGACTGCTGAGCTCCCTGCTAACATCCTCTGTTCCCAGGACACCTCTTTCACGAAGGCTGCCTTTCCCCCGTTCTACGCTCGCGCCTGTCGAATGCGTCAGGAGGGGACCCCGACTGTCCCACATGCAGAGCGCCCATCAAACTCAGTCAGTACGCTGACGCCTTTTTGAAAAGTGCCGACGCTGACCTCACATGTGATGTCCTGTGCAGTCACTGGACACGATCGTGATCGCATCCCGAACACTCTGCGAGAACAGTTCCATCCTGCCATCCGCCGCGTGTACCTGACGCCACCCGATGCGTCCAGTATTGATACCCAGAGAGAGACGGAATATCTGTATGCTCGGCTCGCGGAGACACAAGAAAGCCTGCAAAAGTCTAAGCAGAAGGAAAAGAGTGCGGAGCAGCGACTCAGGGCCATCATGGATCTCTGGAAGCAAGAACAAGCGAAGAACGCCGAGCTGCAACGGTCGATATGTGCTCTCAAAGCTGAACAAGCCCAGCGAGTTGCGAAGACGAGCTCCCCTCCGGCACCTTCTTCCTATGTCCCACCACCGCCACTACCGCTGCAGTCTGTCCCCCCAGTCATCGCGACTGCAACCGACCCATGGCACATGCTCGAACAAGAAATCATTGTTGGTGCTGTTCAGAGGTTGTGAGTTGGATATTGTACCCTCATTTACCAGCACTCAGGCCTTTGACAGTGACAACATGTGGCGTGTGGTGCCGCCCCCGGTGCCGTCCTACCCATATCTACCACCAATGCCTCCCACCGCGCTTCCTTCGGACTTTCAAATGCTGCCAGTAGGATCATCCTATCAGCAGGCGATGCAACCAGTCCCACAGCATGCATCTATGCTGCAGCAGAACAGCATGTCTGTTCCCATGTCTCCCGTGCCCGTCCCCAGTGTCGCTGCGCAGCCGGCACCAATCAGCGGGATCAATCCGCCCTATTCCGTCGCGGCCCAGCCTCAGCTTCATTACGCGCCTGCTCCCATGAGCCACACGTTCGGCCATGTTCCCCAGGCGCCGGTGCAATCTCCTGTCGCCGACCCGCACGTGAACCCCGCCCAATTCCGCTCTGCAGGCGCCCCTTCCGCCTCCACCGACCCGAGGCCCAGACACCTCTCGGGTGCCGCTCGCGATCGCGAGCTGGCGCGCATCAGGCTGCAGATGCACCATGCTCGGCTCCAGCAGGCTATGGTACAGCAGGCTTCGCAGCAGGGCATGCCGAGTACCAGCCAGAGGTAATATTGACGCACGGCTGGTCGATACAGTGGGGCTGCGTCTCTCGAACTTCCGGGCCCCGACGAGAAATATTTATTGCGGCGCTTTCTTGCCACCATGTACCTATATTTGCCGCGAAGCTGATCTCGCGTTATCTAAGTTACGATTCGGTTGTGAAATGGCAGATTGCGATTGGAAAAAAAAAAGGTATCACTTGCGTGGCGGGTGACCTCGGCTATGTCGAGAATACAAAGCCATGCCCATGTCTGGCAAGGCGGAGGTGGATAGGGCCTTAGTGCGTTTCATAAGCGTGGGCCTGGGCCCCGCGCGAACCCCCCAAAAATCCTAAGCGAACGCCCCAAGTTGGCAGCGGGAGAACGGGAGGATGGCGAGGAGAGTCTTGAATCACGTAATGGTCGTGCGCAAAGCAGCGCTCCGCGTCGGGTGCGCTGATACCCGAGGGCGTTGTGGCGTTTTTGCCGTAACGGGAAGCGTATATGGGCGGTCGGAGAACAAAAGCACGTTGCAACGTTCAACTTTGTCTCGACCGCCACAAGCGATGCTGGCGCTCGCACCGACGATGCTGCCGCTGCGTCTCGAGGACCTCTTACCACAGAACACCAGGCCGCAGATACCCTGCTGGGATCGGCACGGGCGATGTAACTGGCTTGAAAGTATCCCCGGACAGTCGCTCGAGGAATGGCGCTTCGGGGACAACATCAGCGTCGAGAGCCAGCAGTTCTTGGACAACGTCGAAATGGCTCTCTGTGGTCATGTCACCGGCGTGACGCTCCGAAGACAACGCGCATACCAGGTGAGCCGCCCTTTGCGCCACAATCAAGCCGCAGTCGAGCCGCAGTCGCCCACCGAGAGCTGCCGAAGGTCTCCCGGAACGTGCTGACTTCTGAACAGCAGATGCTCGAGATCGTGCTCGACGGCGGGGAGTCGTGGTACGTGCGGAGGTCGCTGCGCAGGCGGGAAGGCGACCCGGACGCGGACGTGGTCGGCGAGCGCATTATGCGCGAGGCGAACCTGCTCATGTGGCTAAGGTCATACTCCTCCATTCCCGTGCCGTTCGTTGTCCGCGCCACTCCAGAGCTCTCGATTCTGCGGCAAATGCCCGGGAAAACCGTGCGCGAGTGTTGGGGGCAGCTCGACCGGCATCAGAAGGTGCGTCGTCATCGCTCTTCAAAAAAGGAGCTCCGGAGCTGAATACTGGGGCAGGAAACGGTGGTCATCTCCTACGCCCAGTACGTAACCGAACTCTTCGACCTCGATGTCCCCGAAAAGATTGGGTCGACGGGTGGCGATAAGGGTGGCGGCGCGTACGTCCTCAGGTCTATGCCCTTCGCCGGGAGGGGCCCGGCAAAGCGCGCGCCAAAAGTGTACGACGACCTGCAGGACCTCATCGACTACATCTTCGTCTCTGCCATCTCGGAGGCGCGCCGCACATTCTTTGCGTCGGAGGCGGAGAGCACCGAGGCCATCAGGCTCCTCGAGACCCTGCACAAGGTCGCGGGCTCCACAGTGCGCTCGATCACGACGTCCGCGTCCTGCTGCGCGCTGTCGCACGACGACCTCGGCGACACCGACGTCATCGTGAACGAACGCACGGGCGAGGTCTCCGGCATCGTCGACTGGGAGTTCCACTCTGTCGTGCCGCGGGTCATGGCGGCGCACTATCCCAGCTGGCTTCGCTACGACGGCGTCTGCGACCCCAAGTACGCAGCGGAAGGCAAATGGTGGCTGTCGTCCAGGGAGGAAAGCGTGCAGATGCTTGCGTTGTTCGAGGAGGTCAGTGCGGCATCTTCGAAAATGTGTGGGCTGCTCACGATCCCTGTGCCCGCTAGGTGGTAAAAAGCAAGTCGCAAGACTATCACGACGCTCTGTTCTCCGGAACGGGGCTCAGGTCCATCCTCGAATGGATCTACGAGATGGGCTCGGCGAACTACTGGGACCGGCTCAGGCGTTGGATGGCGGCAAGGCGGATGCCGCTTCACGAAGAAAAGCCGGCAGTCCACAGGCAGCGGTCCGCCACGTTCGCGCTCTAAAAGCGGACTTGCGAGCAGACAAAACCTTTATCCGTCATGGATGCGATTATACCCTCATATAGATACCTGACCTCTCGTCACATAGCATTTGTACACGCGCCATTTTCTTGTCTAAAGTTTGGAAGATGTAGGGTAAGAAAATTAGGTGTTATTGGATTGTCTGTGGAGCAAGGTACACGTTATGAATCGGAAATAGATGGCATTGGTCTGAATCGGTGAAACGCAGTATACAGATGCTATATATGTATTTGACATCAGCGGCAGATATACAGACCAGCTGCAGATCATGCCCCGGCGGGAAAAAATTAGCGCTCGAGCCGACGGCCGTCTTCCCAAGTCCGTAGTTGGCATGCATTGCTACGAAACTTGACCGGCTGGCACTGCAAACACCGCGGCTTCGTCTTATTCTTGCGCACAAAATGTTTCTGTTGGATAGAGATCGGGCCAGGTGATGCAAGCCTCTGCCTCGCCACCATCAACGCGTCGAAAGATTGTCACCAAGCCCGACGTGCATAAATGGCCGTGCGGTAATGAAAAGCAGATGAGGCCCCGAGAGACTGAGGCTTGTGACAATAGAAATGTCGCACAATAATCACGTAAAATCACGTCAGTCTTCATCAAATCAGAAGCCTTGTGTGGAACTCATGGTATTGGTCATGTATCGCGCTTCCGCACTACAAGAAGACTCACATCTCAGCAGCTACGCCGACGAAAAGTCGTTTCCACTCTCATCCACCATCTTCCAGCAATTTTGCTTGTGCCCCGCCTTCCAAGCCTTCATTTGACACTCCTTGCTGCAGTACCGCACCGACTTGCACTGCGAGCAGAGCATCTCGGCCGACTCGTCCATGCAGACAACGCACTCTTCCTGCCCGGGAATCTGTCCCTCCAGATAGTCCCTATTCGACTTCAGGTAGTAGTTGCCGGGCATGTTCTCCACGCAGTTGAGAATCCCCGCGAGCCTTTGCAGCTCGACGCGCTGGAGCTCCGGGAGACGAGCGATATCGGGCCGGGAGATGAGGTCCTGGAGCATCGCCGCGAGCTGCTCGCGCGTTGTCTTGTCGATCGACGCGCGCTCGTCGTCGCCCATGCGCGTGTCGCACCAGAAGAGCAGGTGAATGAGCAGCGTGCAGAGATGGCCGGGCCCGGACGGGCGCATCCAGTCGATGCCCTGCACGATGTGCGACGCGACGAGCGTCGGCAGCCCCGCTGCGCCCGGCGAGCACAGGAGCCGGCGGAAGTACGCGTTCACCTTCGGGTCGGGCATCAGCGAGAGGATCTGGATGTAGGTCGACACCGCCTTGCGCTGCGTCGCGCGGTTCAGCGCGTGAAGCGACTTGACGAGCACGGCGAGGTGTTTTGCGGAGAACGCGAAGTACATGGGGGCCAGGTCTGCGTCCGGGAGGATGGCAAGAGCACTGAGCTAACTCCCATCCGTTAGTTATCGCAAGCGTCGTACTTGTGGGCCTATAGCACTACCTGGGTTTGAACCCCCTCCGACTCCTCCGTCGAAAAGTCGGTGTCAGTCGGAAGCGGGTCGTTGAGGCGTGCGTTTTTGGCCAGTAGGTCAGCCATGCCCTCTATTTCTGCCCGAGGAATTGCCTTTCGTTTGCCAGACATCTTATTGGTAGAAGGGGATTGCGAGAGTCTTGGGGACGTGGGGTTACACTCACTTCAAAATGGCACGGAAAATAATACCACGTGATCCCGAGAATTCTTACAGACGCCTAGATTCGACATCGCATTTTGATGATTGGGGGGAGGGCCGTCTGCGCCGATGGATGCCTTGCTTGGCTCTGGAAAAACTATTTTCTGTTGGCCATGTGTGGCGTGACATTCTGCCAATGTGCTCTCATCAGGAGAAACCGCCCACAATAATGAGGTTTAATTGGCTAGAATTAGCACTAATTGCATAGATTGGACAAATTAGATATTTTCAGTTATGCCCTCTCTGGAGGGCCTATTTTAGCGTTATATCAGATGCGTTAGCTCAGACGACTCGAGAGAACAGCGATTGCGTATCGCCAATATGCCAGTCATATACGGGCCCAGTGTCACAGGATGACTGCGCTAGTACCGCACTGGTTCATACACAGCGGAGTTTTATGCGACATCACTCAACTGGCGCCTGAGCGCACAGGAGACGAGCGATTTTTTAATTTCTACTTCGTAACTTCGTCCTCACACTTCATTCCAGCATTGTTGTCACATTCCTCTCCATGCATGAACATGCAAGCAGCGACGCATTACGGTATTATGCTGGTTGCGGTGCTACGGCTTCTGTATCTATCTGTCGAAAGTGTTCTCGGCTTCTCCTTGTCATGCTCGTGTTATGTTTACCGGACCGAGTTGCCTCGAGTCCTCTTCTAGGCCAGAGCCAGCGATCTCTTTTCTCATTCCACATCGCAACGTGATTTATGCGCAGTCTGGCCCGGGCACGCTCGAAGAATAGGAACTGCTAGCACGAGTTGCTCAATGATGCGCAGCTACTTACACCGCCTTACCAGTCACGCCAACGCCGTCTCGCAGCGCGCGACACTTGTTCTCAGGGATCACCGCATCAATCCTCCTTCAGCCGGAATTCACAGGGGTCAGTACGTCCGGCTCTTCCGGCTCTTTGCCTAGCGCTGACCTTCCTCTCGCCAGCACACTCCTTGTCCGGCTTCTCAAATCGCACTCCAAGAGGCCATCAGTGCCTTCAGCTGACGGTATCATGCCGGAATCAGGTGAAAAGTGTCAGGCCGAATCCCAGATATCCGGTCAGGGCACTGCGCACCACGGCACTGCCGAATCCGGCGTAGAAAGCTTGTTCCACGTTGCCGTTAGCGGACAGGCAACGTCGAACTCCCTGGTCGGGGAAAATAAACTCGGTTGGAGGCATTCGTTCTTGCAAGATTATTCTTCGATATGATGCTCAACTTTTTCCACGCAGCACTCAACACAAATCAATACATGTTCGTTTGAGGCCTCCATATTGTCTGTAAAATGTAACCTGTTCTATGGCAAGTGCTTACGACATATTCCTCAAGGGTTCGATGGCATGATAGCTCCATCTTGTGCGTGCAAGGTCCGTCGGGCTCGTGTTATCCCGGCGTCGTCAGCACTCCTGTAGGTCCGGCAGTGGGCAGCTCATGATTGTAGCCACGCCTGGGTCTGTGCCAAAACGGCCCGGGCCTTGATGGTCGGAAGCTCTTGAGGTCCGAGTTTCGTCGTTATGTTTCGACCGCTCTCGGCGCCTGGGAAACGGGCTTTCACAGCCTCAGCTGCGATAATTTCCGTGCCTTAAGAGCGTATACCCTGCACGAGCCCCGGCACCTTGACTACGTCCTCAAGCTCGAGCGACTATTGGGTTGCAGTACGGCCTGGTTGCATCAAATTTTAAAGTGACCCACTCGGCCAACCCTCCTCCCAACCCCACCGTCTAGTCCAGTCCAGGTTTGTATAGTCTCGCAATATCATCGCAGCCTGTAATCCACTAACTACGTAATTCCCAGCAGTTCCACACCTCTGCTTTGTCCTGGCGGTTTTAGTCTATGCACAGGACCACGGCAGGCACAAATCTTCCGCCGGAGATTCTCGACCTTATCCTGAAATCTGTGTCGCATACCTGCGACCCTACTATCAAGATCGATAGACGCGGCCTTGAAGCTTGCAGCGCGACATGTCGCTACTGGGCCAAGGTTATCCGTCCTGTTCTGTTCTGGAGCGTTACTATACGATCTTACGTAGAAATGGAAGGGCTTCTCGCCCTATCGAACGCCACAAGTGTACGACCACTAATCGCTGATTGCGTGCGGAACGTGATCGTCGAATACCGTGGGTCCCAATGTTATCCATGGTTACGCCGCATCCGCCAGCTGTGGATGCAGCTCCGAAGCGCAACGGTGGAGCTTAGATTAGAAGAGTCATGGAACACCATGTCATCTTCTGAGGACATGTCAGCGCGCGAAGCTAAACCCGGGAGTTCGAGGCTTGCCCTCGCTCTCCCTGGCCAATTGTTGCCAATTACCCTGCCGGGTTCGTTGTTTCCCTTCGAGCGCGTCATCCTACACGGCCTTAAGTTGCGAAGAGTGTTGGATCTTGTCCGCTTCATCCGCGGCTTCCCCATGGTTTCGGAGTGCAGTTTCCAGAATGTTACATTCGCTGAAGGCTGGACGTTGGGCCCTGCGAGACAGGCGTCCCGCAGGCGGGGACCACGGACTGTTACAGTCTCTTCATGCGCAGGAGGCACATTGCGGGAGCAACTCCAGCTTGTATCAATCACGCTCGCTGCTCGGGAACGCTTACGTGTGGATGCTGCCACATGGTCAACCCTCAAGCAACTGGTACTGTCCTTACTGCCGCAATTATACTCTTCATTCAAGTTGGCTATGGACATCAACGAAGCAGGTACGCTCAGCCTGAGAATTTCGATTCTGCTCAATTGATGTGATATCAGAGGGCGAGTTGTTCATTCGACTTAGCAATTCATCCATTGGGACACTGAGGAATACGGGTCAGCCCTGGCAGATAGTTGTCCAAGTGTCTTTCCCGTCATATACGGAGAATAGCCGTACAGTCCCAGCTCATAGAACGCACATTTGCGTCTCATCGGTTGTCGCACCAGTAGAGTAGCTCCATACGCAGAGGATCCTGCATGTGCTCCGTGTTCGGAAGTCTTTTTGGCTGCGGATCCTGCTGCGTACACGGTCCTCGCGCATCGCACTGCAGGCGGGAGTCATGTGTTATATTATGTACTTATCCCTGGTGCAGTATTTATGATGATTTTTGCTTCTTTTTGGGCAGTGGCTTATCGCTCAAACAGCTGGTTACGAAATGTATATGTATATGTCGACATCTCTCCTTGCCCCCAGCACTTACGACGTAGATTGGTGGGGAATGTATCAAGGGTGTTATTGGACAAAAAAAATTCTCACATTCACACCGGCCGCAAATTTTTGTTTTTGATGTGCGTCTAAGGTTATGCGTGCGTATTCGTGCACGATGATGCGCGTTTGGTCACTAACGTGCGCTAACGTGCACGTTCGTCTATTTTTGTGCACGATCATGTACGTTCGCCCACTTTCGTGAGCTTTCGTGCGCGTTCGTGCACGTTTGTTCACGTTTGCGCACCCTTGTCCGCCAAACTGTGAGTACAGTCTGCACCAATTCCAAACTCATTTTTTTTGTCCAATAGCAACCTTCATAGGGAATGGCCCTGGGGTGTTCGAGAGCTTATCAGTTGATTGACGCCCGCACACATCTGCTTCATCCTGGCGCCGTCATCGCATCCCGTACTACGAAAACGTGAGCAGCAGCACTGCGGTATGAGAGTTTAAACATCGTCTGTCACGATATCCAGGATACAACCCACTACAGGCGAGTGAGCAGAATTCAACTTACGACTCTAGCTTACCACGCTCGCCGGTTCGGATTTGCTCCAGGTCCTCTTCCCGGACCGTAGTCCATATTCTTTCGCCTTGCATCACATTTTGAGCAACACGCAGTCTGGCCTGAGTACACGCTAGGGGCAGGAGCCGCTGATAAAAGCCGTTCATTGATGGCGCAGCTGCCTAGTACACCGCCTCACTGCTTATACCAACGTTATCGCCGGCCTAGGGTTAGCGTTCACTACCCGACATCAAGCGCAAATCCATCGCAATTTGTTGTCGGGAGAGTGGGCGGTAGCATTGCCATAGAGCTGCGACGGGCTGGTCTCTCCGCTCGATGCGTCGGCGCCGCTAGTCATTGACTATGCTGATCACGTGAGTACAGATAGGCGGGGTGTATATATTTGGAGGGTCGTGTTCACAATTCTGCAGTACTGTCTCTCGCCGATTAAGGCCGCTTCTACCAGCTTCACCGTCCACCTTTGTCCTTCACCGAGTTAAAGCTCTGTTTTCCTTTAAATGGACTTCAATTGGTTGGAAGTAAGTAGCATATCCCACTAAATATCCACATGTTGTGTCATTCAATGAACCGCAATAGCTTAATGCTTCCACGAACCTGTCCTGGGTATCCTGCTATGAAAACTTCCAATGTGCGAGACTAACTGTAAGCGCTCTCGTCTTGAAGACAAATGATTTAACCTAACGAATTTGCCATGCTAGGTTCCTCTTCTATACTCCGATCCCAGCGCGGGTGAAGCCCAAGTAGCTTTGGTCATATCTCCGTCAAACTACTCAGTCGGAGACCCGAGCTATCTGGGGCCTATCCTCTTCAACCCAGGTAAGCACGACCTTTTGATTCCGTTTATGACTCAATCTCACTCATAGTCATAGGTGGGCCCGACGGTTCCGGCGTGCAACAAATTCTGGAGGGAGCACATTACTTTCGCGAGATCATCGGGCCTCAGTACGATCTCGTAGGATTCGACCCCCGAGGTAGCTAATTCTGCCCCTATACCCTGGTGGACCATTGCTTACGTTTTCGAAAGGTGTCGGTGAAACCACTCCTTTCCTCTCAATTTTCAAGGACCCAGCAGAGGCACTTCAGTGGTACGCGACGTACCCGCCGGACTTAAACGAGTCGATATCCTCCTTCGGAAGAGCCTTCGCACAGACGCAGATCTTGGGCAAGCTCGCAGTGGATCGCGCTGAGAAAGTTGCAGAGGCTGTCACCACGCCCACCGTTGCCGGCGACATGCTGAGCATAACGAAAGCATTAGGCTTTGACAAGCTCAATTTCTGGGGTGTATCGTGAGTTGGACGATCGATATTTCGTGCCAGTGGATTACACTTTCTAACAAATCGTTAGATACGGCTCGGTCTTGGGAGCGACGTAAGCCTTCCTGCATGATGAGTTAAGCACAAGACATGCACTGATACTGGATTCAGATATGCTGCAATGTATCCTAGCAACGTTGGACGCCTGATTATAGACGGCGTGGTGAACTCGCATGAATGGTATGGAGGTGTGTATACACCAAACAGCGTATTTGGACTCTCATCAACTGGATCCTGTGGCAGGAGAAGATACTAACTCTCTGGTGGACTCTGACAAAGCACTGAACTCGATTTACGAGGCCTGTGTAGCTGCGGGACCATCTCTCTGCGCCATTTACGAAAATACTACGGAGCGTATTGCCGCTCGCGTCAACAAGCTCATTAACGATGTACGCTTGGCCCCCGTCCCCTTCGTCGACGACACGGACCCCTCGAGCCTAACATTCGGCGTCGTCGACTACGGCGTCCTGATCGATCAGCTCTCACTGGTCACCTACTTGCCGTATAGTCATGCGCCGTTCATGGCGGAAGCACTCGTACAGCTCGAGCGCGGTAGTGGCAGCGCGATCTTCCAGGGCTCGAACACTCAGAGCGTGGACGCGCTGAGCACATGCAGCTTCAACGCGTCGCAGCCTTTCGTAGCGGGTCTCCTCGATGTCGAGTTAGCCATCACGTGCGGCGATCAGCTTGTACTGTCAGCTCCCACTCTCGAGGAGTCAAGAGCGCGTTACCAGGAGTTGGTGAAGCAGTCGCCGTTGTTTGCTCCTGCGTTCTACGATCTATATCATGGAGGGTGCCCGTAAGTGCAGTTTCATCTGGTGCCCGACATGGTTCCGATGGCTTATGTTGGCATGTAGCGGGTGGACAATTCGCGGAAAGGATAGGTTCAACGGTGAGTTAATTTGAATTATCATCAGTACAGGATGTGTGCTCAACGAGTCCGGTAGCTTCATTCGTCACCAACACCAGCAATCCTCTTCTAGTGATAGGCAACACCCTCGGTAAATCTCTGCGGCATATATTACCATCTCACTGAATGCTAACTTTGATTTATTTTCCAGATCCTATCACACCCCTCGTTAGGTAGAGTTTTTTCTTCAGCAATATTTCTCATATGTCGCTAATTCTCTCGCAGTGCGAAAAATATGTCCTCAGGATTCGCCGGTTCAGCTCTCCTTCAGCAGAACTCCACGGGGGTCAGTATACTAGATGTCCCTATAACTGAATTGAAGCTGATGTCGTTCTCGGAAGCACACCTCTCTGTCCGGCTTCTCGACCTGCACGGCAAAGGTCATCCGGGAGTACTTCTCCAACGGCACCTTGCCAGCGCCGGGCACAGTTTGCCAGCCCGACTTCCAAATCTTTGCCCCAGCGAACGGGACGAGCAGCGAACAAAGGCGCGCGGCTGAGCCAGATGTCAGTGAGCCATTTAATGAGGCCGTCCGCGGACTGGCGACGTCAAATTTCTTGGCTAGGATTCACAAGCCTGGGCGGAGGCGTTCGTTCCCCCGAATTGGATCTTCGATGCGATGATTATGTTGTGCGCTCTTGATTGACATGCCGTACTCGTAGCACGTTCGTTCATGGGCTCGATACTATTCGTAACTTAATGCATTGCGCTTACCACTCACTGTTCAACGTGCTTGTGGCTGCCGCCCGTAATGCATGCAGGCTGTCGAGCTGATGTGATTTCTATGAAGGTCCGCGGTGGACAAAAATAAATATCTCGTTCTCACAGTGCCGAATCTTGTTATGGCTGTGGGCGGCACCCCCCTTCACTACACCATACCGAATCCATCCGTACGGTAGCGAACCCGAGCGCACCCGCGCGCACCGTTGTACACGACGCCGCAGATAAGTGCACAAAAGTGCACCTACACGGACTCAGACTACATTTTGTCCGCATGAATGTGCCCACGGATGTCATGCACAGAGCGAACAAGACCCTCATAAATCCAAATCGAGTCTGTGGGAGCACACAATGGTGGGAAAATGTGTACTTACTTGCGGTGTCATGTATAACAGCGCATACGGGTGCACTCAAGCCCTCCAACACGCGGACAAACTCAGTTCAGTACAGTGAAATGAATTGCCGCAGCCAGAACAAGATTCGGCACTGCGAGAACGAGATTTTTATTTTTGTCCACCGCAGACCTTCATAGATTTCAGTAATGTCGGAAATATGTAGACGCTTTAAAAACATTCCGCAGTTCTAACAGTGTGGTAGCTCATATCGCCCTCGGTCCACCTCTGCCGGCTGAGCTGCGCTAGACGGTCCGAGGTCTTCGGGGTCCCGATACCAACCCCCGCCCTCTAGCGCCAGCCCTCTGTCCGTTCCCGCGGTGTTTTCTTCGCCTTCCATCCCAGTTTCCCATCAACGCGTACTCCGCGCAACCTCTACTGCCTAAGAAAAGACTTGCAGACATTTTAATATGCTGCTCTGGACGTCGGCGCTTGAGCAGAGAAAAACTACTGGTACTGTGCACTGCTGGTCAGTACTAGTCGCGCTGTGGCACTGGTCTTCGCAGGCTACCCCGTGCCCGTGATGCTGTAGGCTATGCTCATGGCGTAAGGTGTGCCTATTTCTTACTTTCTACCATATGCGCAAGTCATTCTATCACCCCTGCGTGGCGGTGCCACTTCCCGCCCATAACTATCTGATGGCGCAGCTAGTACTGCTCACTGCCTCGCTACGCGTTCAGCTACCGTCGGAGACACAAGGCACTGGAAAATCTCCTTCGGGAAAATACTGCGCATCAACTAATGCATCATCCGGCTTAATTCCCGCTTATCTTGCTGGGCATGCATCGGGCATGCATCCCCTACCCTTGCGCGATGCACGGCGACGTTGATTGCGCAGTATTGAAGAAACCGCAGCATGAATCTCGCGGTTCTATAAAACGCAGGTAGCTTGACATTGTGCCACATATCAGACAATTTGTTCACGATGCGAAACCTCAGAAGGCTGGTGAACGGAGCTGCCGTCCTGGCAGTCATTCAGGGCCTGCAGGCAAGGTCGCTTGTTGCTCGGGATGACGACTTCAATTGGGCAAACGTAAGTTGTACTCTTGACGGTTCCGCTGTATGCTGCCCCAGGCTGATCGCGATGGTAGTTGACTGCATCTACCAATCTTTCCTGGACCTCTTGCTATGACACCTTCCAATGTGCGAGACTAACCGTGGGTCTTTGACAAAGGGTATCACGCGGTAGGGAATACTGACTTATCTTCTCCTAGGTTCCTCTCCAATACTCCAATATTAGTGCTGGTGAAGCACAGGTGGCTCTGCTCATGTCACCGTCCAATTTCTCTAAAGACGACCCTAGTTATCTCGGTCCCATCTTGTTCAATCCCGGTTTGTGTCTCAACTCTCGAAGGCTTCATTTTATCGAGAATTTCTTCACTACAGGAGGACCTGGCAGTTCTGGTGTTCAGTTTGTTCAGGAGCTAGCTCCCTATTTCCGTGCCATTATCGGTCCCCAATATGATCTCGTCGGGTTTGATCCTCGGGGTATGTCGCATGTTCTATTCTGGCTTAAAGCTGCTGATGGTTGTGATACAGGCGTCGGAGAGACTACCCCAGCCCTCTCCGTCTTCAATAGCCCAGCAGAGGCGCTTGAGTTCTACGCTCCGTATCCCCTGGATGTGAACGAATCCGTCTCGGCGTTTGGGAGGAGTCTCGCAGATGCTCAGATCTTAGGAAAGCTGGCTGTCGATCGCGTCCAGCAAATTGCCGAGTCAGTGTCTACGGCGGCGGTGGCAACTGACATGCTGAACATCGCACGGGCATTTGGCTTTGATAAAGTTAACTATTGGGGGGTCTCGTAAGCAGCTTCTTTCATATCATTTATAATTTCTTAACAAGATGTTTCAGCTACGGAACTGTTATTGGTGCTACGTAAGTCTGCACCAGACATTGAAATTACTTTGCAAATCTCATCTCCACTCAGGTTTGCGGCCATGTTTCCTCAAAATGTCGGTCATTTCGTTATAGACGGTGTTGTCAACTCGCATGAGTGGTATTCAGGCACGTACCGGGTTTGACGAGGTGACCACGAGAATCAATTCTTACCAGTAGTTTACAGGGAATGATACAAGCTCCATTATGGACACCGACAAGGCGTTGACGTCCATCTACGAAGCCTGTGTCGAGGCGGGGCCGTCACTGTGCGCCATCTGGGAGAACAGTACGGACCTCGTTCGTGCTCGCGTCGACAAGCTCATCAACAATGTCCACTTGGACCCTGTTCCCCTCATCAATGACACGGACCCATCCGCGATCACTTTTGGCGTCGTTGACTACTCTACCTTGGTGCAGCAACTTTTCCAGACTATATACTTCCCCTTTAGCCATGCTTCTACCACCACCGAGGCGTTAGCCCAGCTCGAGCAGGGCAACGGCACCCTTATCTTCCAGAATTCTGATACGCAGATCGTTGCCAATTCACTGGTCTTTTGTCCAGCCGAAGCCGATACAGGGGGATCATTCGTCTCTTCACTACTCGATATCAGCTCAGCCATCGAGTGCGGTGATATTCTTGGAAGCTCCAGCCGGACCTTCCAACAAGCTCGTGAGGACTATCAAATCTTGCTGGACCTCTCGCCTTTGTTTGCCCCTACATGGTATCCCCTCGGTTCTGGGCTCTGCACGTATGTCTTTTCTGCTTCTCCTGCTATATATAGCTGAACTTCATTTCTTCCGAAAAGCGGGTGGTCCCTCCGAGGAAAGGACGTTTTCAACGGTAAGTTCTTGCAACATGCAAGAAGAATTACTGTTGACACCCTAGCTTAGGATCCTTCGCCACGAATACGAGCAACCCTTTGCTCTTTATCAGTAATACCCTTGGTATGTATTCTCGTGTGGCAAGCTAAGCTATGCACCGACCCACTGTCGCGCCCCTACAGACCCAGTGACGCCCATTACGAGTGGACGAAACATGTCGTCAGGCTTTGCCGGATCTGTTCTTCTCCAGCAGAATTCCACAGGTGTACGCATTGGTTGTACCCTTTCCTCTGGACCATCTGAACATATGCTCTATAGCACACCTCCCTGTCCGGCTTCTCGACCTGCACGGCGATTGTTATCAAGGAATACTTCAACAACGGCACCCTGCCTGTGCCCGGTACGATCTGTCAGCCTGACTTCCAGATCTTCTCCCCTGTGAACGAGACGACCAGCGCGCTTCGACGTGCCACTGAACCGGACGCGGGGAACTCGTTCTACGAGGCTATCCGCGTATTGGCGACATCGGATTTCTTGGCGAGGGCCAACAAGCTCGGGCGGAGGCGTTTACACTTGTGAGGGCCTCGTATCCGCTGATAGTGTGTTTTCTGTCTAGTGCGCTGGACTTATAGCAGTTCCTTCACGGACTTGATATTTTTCGTAGCTTACTGTACCGCCATCTGCATACTTCCTTGTAGACGTGAAATTTTACTTGCTTTGGCCGGCCATGCTTGGTATCACACGTGCCCTAAGTCTGGTGCATTCCAGCGGGGCTTGTGGGCCGTGTGGGGATCTTGAGGATATTCATGTAAGCGGGAAGCTGTATGCACCGCCTCGCGTGCCGCAAAGTACTGGCGAACAGGTCTGGCTTCGCACAGTTGTATAAAGAGGTACAACTTCGCCGCACAGAACCGGCCATTTCCCCAGAATAAAAAAATGAATAATGTGTCCTAGCGATGCCCCGCATCCTATGGCATCTAACATTTGTGCAATTTGCAGAAGCGCGCTCCAAGCTCGCGTGCCTCTTTCACCTAAGTTCGCCACAAAAGCCTAGGACGTATCAGCGTCAGCGCATCTAGTTGGACGTTTGATATGCATTGCAGTCGCCCATCATAGAATACGATGCGGCCACCCATTCGAGACAGTATTGCCCTCCTCACTCGAGAGGCTGCTCTCGGCCCACGCGACACCTGGGGCTTGACACCATTATCATATCCCAAAACCATTTCAAGTAGCTATAGGTGGGCCCCAGGAACGCTTCTGATAACCGCTCGTGTCATACCATCTCAAAGGCTTGCATTGTCGCTAGTCAGTACCATGGGCCACCAGCAGATATTCGTACCATCTGTGCGCGTGTAACAACTTGAATTACAACTCGGCTGTTCGGCGTCACACAAAGCCTTCGAGACGTAATTTGTTCATGTTTACGGGCGTGATACTGTACGTTGTGCATTGTATGGACCAAATCTTCGTATTTGTAGTAGTACAAGGTATGTGCTATATGAACACACGGCGTGAGCGAGACTTCAAGGATTCCTGATGAATGATGATATCGGCGGCTACAGCAAACAGTCAGCGACAACCAAGGACCCAATTCGTTAGGGACACTGGCCTTTCTCCGCAATGAACATCAGGAAGCAGCGTCTGACTACGTAGCGAGGGCGCTTGCTACCCTGAGCCACCGCATCTGCCCTTGTCGGGTAGCGCACGCGTAGAGGCTCAGGAGTGCCTGGTAGTACCCAGCGGCAGCGCACACATTTTAGGGGTCACTACGGTATGCCAGAAATTATATATTGGTTATTCAAGCTACAATGTGCAAATTTGTATGCGGGACACACACCTATGTCATTACTGGACTAAAATTAGATTAATGCACCGAAGAGCAGCACTCCAAGGCAAACTCGTGTGGATGTTCAAGCTCAAGCTCAAGAGGCGTCTGCCGAAGTACAAAGACGTCTGCCCTAAAGTGTTGGATGATGGCGCGACGGACGAAGGTAAGCGCTCGAACATCTCGTCGTCCCAGCTTCCACACCAGCCCATGGTAATGCAGCTCGACCATCCCTTCGGTATGCTGCCGAGACTATAGCCGTCACTGACTCTCTGCCTTTCCTGGGACTCTGGAAGAACAGACAACAGCTGGCTGTGGTAGTCGAAGCTCGCGATATCCCCGGACCCCAAGCATACTGCTACCGACATGCCACGTTACCATCGGCGGAGCAAGCAAGAAAAATGACAGTGCGCCCTAGGGCCGTGCCCTGTCTCACTGAGTAAGGAGCTTGTGGACTGCGCGGTAAGCATCACGAACTGCAAGCAGCTGCGGAGGGCCAGGTCGTTGTCACAAATTCGCCCCATACAAGCGCCTATTATATTCATAGCACTCATT